GTAATGCGAGTAATCTTGCTGCGCATCAGCTGCTTAGCTTAGCAGCTATAGGCCTTCTTTAATAGGGCAAAACAGACTACGTTAAGTAGCACTGTAGCTGCAGCAGGTGCATTAAGTGTGGAGGTATACACAAGGTAATAATCTTATGTTCCTTGCAGTACTAGTAGAATTTAACTAAGTTATAGCTCTTATAGCTGTCTAGAATAAGCAGCTAATAGCTGCTAACAGTGCGCGCCTTTGTATACTTATTAAAGTGCTTTAGCTCCTTAACCCTAAGCTTATTATTAGTTTAGCTATTATTAGAGATATTACAAGCCTAGTTGTTAGGTATACTAGGCTCTTTGTACCAGGCAGAGAGGTAGTGCTTGCTAGAGAAGATAATAAAGGGGGGGATAGACCAGCCCTTTGCGTTAATGTCCTAGATAATACTAGTCTACTCCTAGTTGCCCTGCTGCGCTGTCTTTAGTCTTCCTCAACGCTTAGAGCCTGTGACAACAGCTCCTGTAGATATAATGCCTATTATAAAGCTAGATTTGTTAAAGTTATAACGTACTCCACAAGCAAGTGACTAGCACAAGCGAGTAACCAGGTTTTGCCAAGACTACACCAACACTGAACCTACTTTGCAACATTACAGCACACAACAACAATATATTATACTATAACGTACCTCACGGGCGAGTGGCCGGCCCGGGCGAGTGACCGGATTTTGCCAAGACCACACCAAACTTCATACAACCCGCAATGTCTCAACGCAAAAAGGCTTAAAGCGTCTTAAAGGAACTAGATATACAGCTTGCAATCTAGGCTCTTAAACAAGACGTGACTCTTACTATTCCACACGCTGCAACAATCTACAAGGTATTAGAAAGAACGCTAAGACAATAACGTGCTAGAACGCTCTTAAGACGCAATTATAAGGTTAACTTAATAAAGCTGACAAGCACTGAAGAGGAGGTGATTGTGCAGCATGTTCTGAAGCTGGACAAGCGAGGATACCCACCCAGGCTTACTGATGTGGAGGATATGGCCAACTCTCTACTCACTGAGCGCCACCAGCCTCCTGTTGGCAAGAACTAGGCTAGCACGTTCGTTAAGCGTCGCCCAGAGCTCACAGTCAAGTTTAATTGAAAGTACGACTACAAGAGAGCCCTCTGCAAGGATCCTAAGGTGATCTAGGGCTAGTTCCGCCTAGTAGAGAATACTAAAGCCAAGTATAGTATCCTAGATAAAGACACCTACATGTAACAGAGTAGGCGCCCTGCCCTCGAAATCAATACTACGTGACTTCTCTGCCTATACCAAAAGGTAAGCACAAGAATACTTAAGCAAGTATTCGTTGCGTAGTATAATATATATAGACAATAATAGTGCTAGCCAGCTAGCTTTGCCTCTAGCTGCTATGAGCGCTATGCCACGTGTCGTGTTCGTGCATAGTCGTTACACTACAATTTTAACAAGTCTAGGTTTAAAATAGGTGTTATATTAACAGGAGCTGTTGTTACAGGCTTAGAGCGTTATAGAAGACTAAAGACAGTACAGCAGGGCGACTAAGAGTGGAGTTCTTGTCGTGTCATAATGATAGTTCCAGTGTGCAAAGATATGGTTGATAGTGCAAACTCTCCTCTCCAGTGGACGCGGACAATCGTTTCCGTGGATGGTTTACCTCTGTGATCGAGTCGTTACAAGATGATAGAACCGCTGGTATGGTCACAGCTGGATGCTTTGCAAACTGCCACCCACGGGCAAGCTTTCTTTCGTAAGAGTATCAGTTGTTTCGATCTCTGCTTTTCATTCACTGTTCCAGGAGACCAAGTTGACGTTGTGTCAGGAATAACGACACACCGTTTTAATTGTGCCGTACGACTAGGCTTGGAATGCCCTATCACACGAAGAGAGTGGTGCTTGAGCTCATTACCGACTGTTATCTAGAGAGTGTCATGCATAGAGAGGCTTTCAGGGACAATGGCTCTAAGCTGACCTCATCATGCTTGGTGCAATGTCAGTTCGATGGAATCCTAAAGCTGGTTCCATTGACTGGTAGTTCTTCGCAGTATGTTGTAATCTATCATGATACAGTCTCTCATATGAACGTGGCCAAAAATGTCGTGGCCGGCAATAGTGTCATCAGCCACTTCGTCCTACCATTATTGCTTCTCAAAAGCGGCATTTGACAGCACACGACTGCCACAATACTGTTCTTAGCCTCTGAGAATGCTTTGTCACAAGGCTCGGTGTCCAGGGAAGCGCGACTACGGCAGGAAGCATCGCGCCAAGGGCTGTTCTAGCAAGTGAGGATCCTCGGAGTAATATTTAGTTCGAGCCAAGAGAAAAAACTTATCTCCAGCCAATCGTTTGCTGTGAAGTGTCGCTTCTGCTCAGACCACCAGTTCAACCTCAATATTTCTGCCCCGAGCACACGTCTTTACAACGCATATGCTAAGGATCTGACGATACGCCTGATGCAAGCAATATCGATCGTAGTAAGCTGGCATATTTGGAACGACGCTGCCGGTTATCTGCTACCTCCATTGTGAACAATGCTTTCACGCAACTCCAGACATTCACTGTTGTCGTCATGAACAGGTCCAATCTACTGACTCTGCAACTAACGTGTCAAGTGACATCAGCCCAGAGAAAAACTACAACTGTACTACACGTAGCACACCCTCGTTGCAAAAGCGGCGCTGCTTGAGTTCGTACGTCTCGTCTGTCGTGCTACAGTATCAGCAAGCACCACAGACATTGCGGTGACAGGGGCAATCAGGAACAGTCGACCTACTTCGCACCTCGGTCGAGCAATTTTTGACAGCTCGAAAATAGTTCTCCCCTCTCCCCTGTCGTGACTGACACACCAAACCAGGCTTGCTGCATACCTTCGCTACTCTCGCAAGCCAGAGTCACGCAAGAGAGCTATCTCCGCTGGTTCCCATGTGCCCCAACTCGACTTCTACAAGGCCGACTACCGCAAGAGGGCCACTATGAAGTCCATCCTCGAGCGCTACGACAGTCTCTACACACTGAAGTCGACCATCACATCAGTGATCCACTTCGCCGCCTACAAATCGGTCGACGAATCCATCTACCAGCCACTAAAATACTAGTCCAATAACTTCGCAGGCCTAATCGACTTCTGCATGCTGCTCGACCAATTCTGCATCAAAACCCTCGTCTTCCCCTCCTCGGTCACCATCTACAGCGAGCTCGCCACCCACGGCGGCCGCCTCCGCGAAGAACTCACCGCCCATACAACCACCCACTGAAACGATGCAAGCGGTACTCCGCACACGACGCTTCCCGGCTGCGCGGGCCTAACTAGCCCCTACGGCCGCACGAAATGGATGAGCGAGGCTATCCTGTCAGACCTCGCGGCTAGCGATCCAGACTGGAAGACATGCGCGCTCCGATACTTTAATTCCGTCGGCTGCGATGCCTCGGGCATGCTGGGCGAGGATCCGAGAGGCTCGCCGAACAACCTCATGCCCCTTGTGATACGCGTCACGGAGGGCAAGATGCGCGAGCTCAGCGTCTTTGGGTCGGACTGGGATACCGAGGACGGCACTGCGATACGGGATTTCATTCACATCAGTAATTTGACCAGGGGGCATGTCGCTGCTATTGTTACGGGGCTGGACACCAAGTCTGCGTGTGGTTTCCATAGCATCAACCTTGGTACCGGGAACGGCAGCTCGGCGAGGGAAGTTGTGGATACCATGCAGGCTGTGTCGGCGAAAGAGATCAAGACCAAGTCGTCTGGGAGGAGGAGGGCGATGTGGGGGTGTGTATTGCAGATCCTGGGAAGGAGGCGCGGGTGCTGAGGTGGGTGCCGCACAAGACGCTGGACGATTCTTGCAGGGATATCTGCAGGTATTTGGACGCTCACGCGTGATAGTCTTTCTTCTCTGTTTATGCCCATTTTTTTAGTCCCGGGATGAGTCCTCGCATTACAATCGCTGTAGCAAAAGTACGTAGTTCAGCCCTAACGACTGATCATTACCTTTGAGCACTGTTTCTACAACCAATTCAGATCGAATAAGAATCATACGACGCTGGTCAACGAGATTTCCATGCGTTACGTTTTGTTTGCACATAGTCGGCTTCTCCGCGTCTCACACGCTGCGCTTCGTCGGAATCAAAGGAGATTATTTGCCTTCAGCTTGTGAGAGACGACCTCAAACAATCTACAATAGTCTTATTTGACTGAGATTATGAGTTCACTTTAGGGCAACGTACGATATTGACAACATCGCTGTCGCAGAACACTTTTATCACAGAGCAATATACCTCACAAGAATGCGGATGGAATGGAAGGCAGTGCATCATGTTATGTGTTTTTTGTATATCGGTTCCCTGTGTGACTAGCACTGTAATCCATGTACGCCGACGGATGGACGCCAGTCGTCATCGTCGTAATATTGTACATTCCAGATTGCAGCTCACATCCATAAGGAAGACGCCACAAATCATACCGTATTTCGACCCTCCAAGATGGTGCTCAAGATCTCATATGTCGAAGCGTTGAGGTGTTCCCCGTACGCAGCTGTACATATATACTTGAAAGCGCTTAAGCAGCGAAGATGGCAGCCACAATGCCAATGGCGAAAGTAGTGGCAGAAGCGCCGAGCTTTCCGGCGCCGTTGGTGACCTCCTCAGGAGCCCTGTTGACGTAGCTCGCGGTTGGTGCCACGTAGTGAGAATGAGCCGACGTAGTGTTTGGGAAGAAGGGCGTGGGCTGAACGAGCGTGGAGTTGGCGGCAGAGGCGGAGTAGAAGATACCAGTCGTAGTGCCGTTGACAACGGGTGGCGTTATGGTGGGGAAGTCATAGCCAGAGGTGGATGTCACTGCCAGACTGGTGGAGGTCTGGACGGTGTACACAGGGTCAGTCTCTGTCTCGGTGGGAACGACAGACGAGAGTTCTGTAGGAATGGTCGCAGAGAGGTAGCCGGTGATGGAGACGGCGACAGGGGGAGTATGTGCGCTGCCGGGAGTACCAGAGATAACGGTGATCGTCTTGTACTCGGTCAAGGTAGAGTGGATAGTAGTCGTGGTGTCGGGCTCCTCGGTCACAGAGGGAGCAGGAGCGACCCTGCATGGTCAGCATCCATAGCGTCAGAAAGATTGTTGCTCACCTACGCAGGAGCAGTAGGGGCGTCAGTGACCGCAGCCTCAGACGAAGGCGTCACTGTGGTGGTCTTGGTGATGGTGACGTGCACGGTAGAGCGCTCGCGGGAGGTAGTAGTCTCCGGGCATGCATACGTGACGGTCGTAGGGTAGCCGTACATGATAGCTGGTGCAGTGCAGAGTCTTGGAAGCTCAGCGCAGGTGTCGTCGCGGGCGACCTTGGGCAGCATTTCGATGACTTCGCCCTGAGCAATGCCAGCGTACATGGCTTCGGCGGCGGCGCCAGCTCCTACGCGTCAGCTTAAGTCGTTGGGAATTATACCTTGCCTCTTTCCTCGCGTGTCGGTGGCACGTGGGGGTGACATTAAGTTTGGCGGGGAAACATGGGGTGCGAGCGGGAAGAACCTACAAGCGAATGCGGCGAGAGCGAGCGTGCGAACAGTGTTCATGTTGGTGAGAGAGACTGAATGCGCGCAAGGCGAAGTATATCGTGGAGAGAGCGTGGTGGATTCGAACGAATGTGGAGCCAACGAGGAAAACGAGTGTGGGGTTGCTGGTTAGGAGAGAGAAAGTTAGGGAAGGAGCAAGTGTAGATGAGCGCAGTTTTCAGCTTCTTGGCGGGACAACACGCAGTGAAGGCGAAATGAAAGCTCTTTACGGTTCATGTAACGTGAGCCAATAGCAAGAGAGGTGATTAGTGTAACGGTGAAGCCCCATGTGTATTGTTGTGTGCCAGTGACGCAAGCACCCGCGTCGCTCTTTCCTGATTCTGTGCGTTTGTCAACACACTCTTATTGGTAACCAGCATTACCATCGCGAGTCCAGTACGACAAAAATTGATTGTCGCATGGAAGCGAATGGTTCGGTCCCTGGGTCGTGTTGCGCATGTTGTGCCTGCAATCTCAGCTGTGATCGGACCAGACTGGCCGGCACATGGCAGCGTGTGCCGGACTGCAGCACCTGGTCGAGGAACAAGGACTGGAGTGACCCATGGACCTAGAGGGTGTTTGAACGAAGCAGAACATAGACGTTGAACATTGAATGCCTCGATCGCGTGTAGCTTCGACATGCAAAATCTGAGTATTGCAGCGTCCTACCCTCCACTCATGGTGTGACAACAGACCTTGACTAGTCGCCATACAAGTCTAGCAGATGGGTCAACATCTTCCGTTGGAGCTCCAAGACCTGGTTCTGGGTGACCTTTGTAGGGTTGCCATCAGAACCTGTGGAAAGTTCTTCGTCATCACTTGCGAGAAGGTGCTGCCGCACGCCAAAGAACGGCACGCCGAGGACCTTCAACGACGAAGACTGCGATTCGACCATCGCTTTGCTGGCGCGGTATACTTTGGCTTCATATTGTCTGAGCTCTTCCTGTTCGCACTCGGTTGTCTGCTACTGGTTAGTCTTGGAGGGTTTCAAGCAGTGTGAAAGTCGTACGCGAAGTACAGGTGTGTTATCCAAGAGACCTGGTAATGATCTAAAGATGTCAGCTGAGTCAAGGGCATCACACGTCTGGAAGACCCACAGTGCAGCTCGGTGTGTTTGTTCATTCTCCTTCTTCAGCACTTGTTCCTCGATGAGTCGCTTTCGTCCAGCCTCCCACTGTCTAACGTTGCCCTCTTGATCTTTGATCAACTTTTGCACCGAGACAGAAAACTGCGGGTTTTGCGCAGCGATCTTGCTGACGCATCGGAGACCTTGCTTCCAGTCGATGATGGTTGCAGGATCGATTAGGAGCGTAGCAGACCGGACCTGGGGCTTCGGGATGGACTGAGATTGTGATGATCGTCCAGCTAGACGTGGGTCTGCTGTGATATGTTGCTGCAGTAGATAAGTGTCTTGCGGTTGGGGTTGTCCTTGCTGATCTTCAGGCTTTGGTAGACTAGCGAGCGTCCGGAGGATGGCATCCAGGTCCATGTTGGCCGGCAGCGCATTGTTCTCGGTCATTGCGACAATCGATTATGACAAGCAGTTTGTGATCTCAAGGGGAGCGTGCGGTGGATAACTCAAGGTTGTGCACATGAATGGACATGGTGTCTGTGTTGATGGATGCTGACGAAAGTGAAGAGAAGTCTGTTCGCATAAAGTGAAACCAGTATCACGACAACCGCTCCTTCCTCATAACTTGCTCTGCATCTTCTACTTTGATCAGATCCACAGTCCCCGCAAAGTGTGCACGCATCCAATAATGGCAGACGCACAGTTGACAGATGAGGTCGGCATCTCCGTGCCCGCAGGCCGATGTCAAGATCTCAGTCTTGGCAGCGCTCGATGATCCCATCTTTTGTCAAATCAGTCGATCACCACCTCGCACCTCTCCGCCCGCGCCTCCTCTCCACACACACGCAGCATGTCGAAGCACGTCAAAGACGCCACGCGCTTCACGGCGACGGGAGTATGGGCGCATACAAAACCAGGCGGCCGCGCCACGACGCTGAAGTTCGCAGATCCGGCACCCAAGAATGAGACACCGCAGCAGAAAGTCAAGAGGCTGAGGGAGGCTGCGAACCGGGCGAAGATGGCGCAGGTCACAAAGTGGGATTACGCGTATTTGTACGGGAGAATGGCTGCGGATGCGGCGCATAGGTTTACGGTGTACGGCTTGATTTTCGCTACGGGTATGTCGAGTGTTTCATGCCACCCAACTGCTGCCGCAATATGCAAATATTCGCACAGGGACTGTTGCTGATGCGTGCCAGGCTGTGTCGGTGTCCTTGCCGTGTTCTCGATAGGCGACATGATCGTTTACAACCGCCGAAAGCGCGCCATCTACTTTGCGGAGCAGGAGCGCGAACAGGCCAAGATCCTCGAAGCCGCTCGGTCCGCCGTCATAGCTGGAACCGCGTCGCCCGCACAGACAGCGCTCGTCACAGGAATCGCCGAGGAAGAGGAGGCGATGGAGAAGAAGAAGGCGGAGAGGAAAGCGCCGTCCAAGCTGCTGTGGTGGCTGCACGGTGACTGGAAGGAGGAGAAGCTGCTGGAGGAGCAGAGGAAGGCCGCGCTGGCAGAGTTCAAGAGGATAGAGGCAGAGGGGCAGAGCTCTGGCGTCAATGCGGGTATGGCTAGCGTCACGGCTGCAGTGCAGGAGGCACGGGACAAAGTGTCAGACAAGGTCTCGAGCACCCTGTCGACGACAACATCTACGTCAGCACCGGTTGTCGGCGGCCCGCTGGACCAGGAGGCCGCAAAGGCGACGCAAAAGGTTGAGCAGACGAGCAAGGGCTGGCTGGGGTGGATGTGGGGATCGTCGAAGAAAGAGTAGGGGTACTACGTTGAGCGAAAGGGGGCAAGGACCTCGGTGTACTATACTCGACTTGCGGCTGTACATTTGCTGTTTCACTACCATGTTTGCATCGCGGAGTTGGACAACACATGTAGACGGGTGGGGTATCTCTGTCATTGGTGTCTGTAATTGCATATCGACCATCACCTGCTTCTGTCTCTATCGATTCCCTTCTGAGACGGGCATGTAGCTCTGGCGGCGCTGTCGGCATGGTCAGCGTGGTTGTCGTGCACAGCATCCGAGGGTTTCGTGGACGACGTACCTCTCTCCACTGGTCGACCCAGGGCCTGACAGCCGCATAGCCCAGCAGCCCCACTGTCGCCGCGATGAATGACAGCACCACCACCTGGTCTTTGGTCGAGTCTCGCTGGAAGCAGGTCGTGAAGACCTTCTCCTCCTTTTCGCCCTTGCAGAAGCTGTAGCTCAAGCAGAACTGGCGGTTGCAGTCGTTGCAAGACTTTCTGCTCGCGCGCGGGCGCAGTTCGAGGTTTGGTTTGGACGTTGCCCGGGGCCCGTCGAGAGCGACAATGGTGCTGTTGCCGAAGCAGGTGCACTTGCAGAAGGACGTGGGTGCTGCGAGCGTTAGCACGCCTCCGCGAATGTCAGCCATGGCCCAACCCACATGCAGCGAGAGACAGGGACAGAAAAGCGAAGAAGGCCAAGACGGCCAGAAGGTGTTGCCTCATGGTTGCGGTGGCCGTTGCACCGATCGCGCAACGGGTTGCTGTATGCGCCGGTGGCTGCTGCGTGCGCTCAGTCTCGAGCCCGGGGCGCATTGGCGGCCGGATCGACGTCCAGCAGAGAGGCGCTAGTGAAGGCTGCCGTCTGATTTTCTGCCCACCGCCGCGCTCAAGCTTCCCTCACGCGCGCAGAAGAAAGCTTCGGGGCTCGGTCGCATAAACTCGCCCGGCGCCTCAATGCCCGCGCCACAGGCAGATACTCCAGAAGCCGACGAATCCACGACTGTCCGGCTGCACATCACCCCGCTCAAGCCCGAGCTGCTCAGGGTCTACCTCGCGCCGTCCGTCTTACCGCTCGTGCGCAACGTCTCCTACCACGCCGTCGAGACCTTCCCCGAGCGCGGCTTCGGCTACGTCGAGCTGCCCGAGCAGGAGGCGCTGAAGCTGCGGAAGAAGCTGAACGGCACCACGCTCAAGGGCTCCAAAGTGCGCATCGAGATGGCCAAGCCAGAGAAGCGCAAGGCGCGCGAGGAGGCCGACGCCAAGGACAAGCCTGCGAAGCGCTCGAAGAAGGACAAGAAGGAGAGAAAGGAGAAATCCGAGAAGAGGCAGCGGTCGCCTGGTGTCTTCGACGGCGTGGAGCTGCCAGAGGACCGCAAAGTCAAGCGCGGCTGGACCGAACCAGCTTCGGCCAAGACCAAGACCAAAGACCAAAAGGACAGGAAGAGCAAAGACGACAAGCACCACCCGAAACCGTCCAAGTACACCAAAGAGCCTGAGCTGCTGTTCAAGGCCAAGCTTGAGCCCGTCGCCGCGACAGAGCACTCGCGCAAAGAGAAGAAGAAGGACAAGAAGGACAAGAAAGAGTCCAAGACCAAGACCAAGGAAGTCATTGTCCATGAATTCGAAAAGAACACCAAGACACCGTCCTTCCTCAAAGCTGCCAAGGTCTCGATGAAGCCTCCAGTCGACTACGTCGACGGTGTAGGCTGGGTGGACGAGGATGGCGCCGTCGTGGAGCCCGAGACGAAGAAGGCTGCACACAGCAGAGTGCTGCAGCTCGTCGACGGGCAGCCGCTGAAAGAGCCACCGCCAACAGACTCGCAGGGACGGCCGATTGTCAAGAGAGACGCGCCCAAGCCCGCTCAGAAGCAGAAGAGAAAGAAAGCTACCCCGCCACCAGAGCCATCGTCCGAGTCCGAGCTGGACGATGATTCAAGCGTCGTCTCCAGCTCATCCGAGGACTCAGCCTCCGACTCCAGCTCCGACAACGACGACGACGAAAGCGAGCGCCCAGCAGCTTCGCCCACCCCATCTCCTATGCAGACAAAATCCATACCTGTATCCTCACAGCCAACACCCGCACCACCAAACCCTTCCACAGTAACAGAATCAAAAGAAGTCCACCCTCTTGAAGCCCTTTTCAAACGCGCCCCTCCTCCCACCCTGTCAACCCCCACAAAACCACCCCCAATCAACACATCGTTCTCCTTCTTCGAAAACGAGACGACTTCGCCTCCCGTGGGCGAACCTGTCGGCGAGCCAATCGACATGCCCACGACGCCCTTCACCCAGCACGATCTCGAATGGCGCGGCCTGAGGAGCGCAGCGCCGACGCCGGACACGGCTGCTATTGGAAAAAGATTCAGTTTCGACTGGCGAAAGGGCAGCCAGGAAGCAAACGACGACGACGACGACGACGAACTGTCCGACGGCGGCATGGAAGCTTCGAACCAGCTCAGTCTGAACACACGAGCGAACCAGGGCGGGCAGCTTGCTGGCGTCCAGGAAGTCGACGAGCACGACGCCGAGGGCGATGGAGCAAAGGGCGGCAAAGAGGACAGCGAGTTCAGGAAATGGTTCTGGGAGAACCGCGGCGACATCAATCGCGCGTGGAAGAAGCGGAGGCGCGAGGCGCTCAAGGCGAAGAGGCACGCTGATAACCGCAAGATGCCCGGGGGCCGTCGCGCAGCGTAGCGAGCCCATGACAGTCTCGAGAACGAAGTGCACGAGGCGACGAGCACACACAGCCGCCATGAGAACAGATAGACACGATTGCATATAGACCAGCATACTCCGCATACCAACGCGCTCCCCATCCAACCCACATCTCACGCATCAACACCCTTGATCTTCACGTGCCCACGCAACTCGGCCGCGCTCTTTGGCGGGCTCGTACACGCCTCTTCCGCACGCGTCAGAACCTGCGGCTTCGAGGTGCTGGCTGCCGTCGTCGTCGCCGTCGCCGTCGCCGTCGCCTTCTCCAGCGATGGGAAGCCGCAACAAAGGTTCTCACCGACCATGCCCTTCTCCGTTGCTTCAACGATGGCGTCCGGCACGGCCATTGGGGATGTGGCGCGCGCTGCTGGGGAGCGCGATGGGCGCGAGCAAGCTATGCGTGTCAGAGGGTCGGAGTGCATCATCCGGCTTGACAGCGGACATGGTCAGTCGCAAGACTCACTCCTAACACGGTCGACGACGTACAGTACCGGGGTTCGAAGGTGACGCGATCGCTCTTGTCTGCAGGATACGCTGTAGCAAACACGGTGGATTCCAACTGCACCTCCGCTCCTGCGACGATGTTGTTCTGTCCTCGGACGACGGCTGGCGCGGATGCGATTCCCTGGGCGAGGATGATCTCATTGCGCCTCGTGTGTGAGCCGCGTCGGTCCAGCGAGCCGTTTCCCCACTGTAAAAGCGAACCCTGGGTTGCCGAGTAAGTCTAGCAACTTCCACAGAGTCTTCAGTTCTGGGTTGGGCGTGGCACTCGTTGCATTTGTGTGCCAGTGCTCGACCTCTCATGACGCCTTCCAAGCGCTTGGCAATCCTCCCTTTTCTTGACTCTCAGTTGATTCAACACACGTCCCGCGCGCATCTTACTGCGGCTGCTTGGGCCCATGTGCAGCAAGATCAACGCGGGGGTTCGATGCTTGTACTGGACGCTAGATAAGGCCGCCGATCGACATGGCTAGCTCTGGTGTAGAGGGGAACATACAAAGCACGATAAGCAAGCAGATACACGATGACGAGCGTGGAGGGTATGCTTGGTAGGCTTGTAGCTGTAATTCCAAATATTTCCCATGTTGATTCGCTAGAACGCCAACCTCTATCGCGGTAAACATGCTGAGCTGTAATGCCATGAATGTCCATACCTTCTCATACCGGTATGCTCGGAACCTTGCGCAGAATCAAATACTGACCTGGAGGAATACATGATCGAAGCGCCGATGTTCGCAGCGAGTGCTCCGTCATGTCGTCGCTGGCGCACCAGCCTCAGTCGCCGGTGCACCACTCCTTCCCCTGACCTCCTCGCCGCCCCTAATCGCCCTCTCCAACTCCCTAATCCTCTGCTTCAGCACCTCGTTCTCCCTCTTGACCTCCTCCAGCTCCGCCCTGTGAAGTGCCACCTCCTCATACCGCGGCGTACTCACAATGCTGCTGCTCCTGCGCATCTCCACGCTGCCCTGCTGACTGCTGACACTATGCCTGTGACTCTGCGGGAGGCTGTGAATCGGGAGGCCACCGCTACGGCTCACACTGCTGCTGCTGCGGTGCCGCCGCGAGGAGGTGGGGTGCGTGGCGCCTTGCAGGGGCGCGCCGGAGTGTGCTGCGCTGCCGGCGGGATCTGTGACGTCGAGCAGCGCGTTGGAGGCGATGGACGAGGTTGTGGATGCCACGGAGGCGGAATGCGCGCGCAGGGCGGAGAGCTCGCGCGTCAGCCGGTTGACGACGGCTTCTTGCTCCTTTTCGAGCTCGAGGTGCATCTCGGCGGCTGTCATGGGGCGTGGGTGTCGCATGGGGATGTTGCCTGCGTCTGCGCTGGGTAGGTTCGGGGAAAGCGGTGGGAAGGCATGGGTGTGGGATGCGTGTGGCAGCGTACCGCCTGGTGAAGCCAGAGGGAGTGGTGGTGGGCTCATAGGGTAGATTTGCGATGTTCGTCGAGAAGCCTGGCGTGAGCTTGAAGCACCAGCTTGTGTATGCGAGGGGTTGCTTGTGACGCTTGGGCGTGGCGACACCGGTACTGAGTTCAAGTCCGGAGCCATCTTGTACGTGGTGCACCGCGTGCTGTCGTCTCTTTTTGCTTGGGTAAGAGGGGGTCGCAGGCAGCGTTATCTACCCCGCGTGAGGAGTTGATTACTGATAACAGGTTTGAGTGAGCTCGTGGCGTGTTGCGATCAGGGACGCGTCAGGACGTGCTGAGGTACGCGTAGCTGGGGAACGAAGGCGGTGTCGTCGAACGAGGGAGGGGTTCCAGCGGAGCAGGAGCGACCGATGAGGGAGGGGCAGGTTGCGTCAACTGAAGGTCGACCTCATGATGGGATATGTGTGCAGGGCGGTGAAAAGTCGCGCGTTATACCCGTCCCTTGCACTTAAGCTTGTTCGGACGCCGCTGGTCGACAAGACGTGTTGCTCAGAAGCTGAGTTGTTGGCCCAGTCAGCAGCCAGGCCATGGTCAAAGTCATACAGCCAGTCCACATACAGCTAGTAAGATTGATGCAGCGTCAGGTGCGATTTGTTCATTGACACATACATCATCACTCTACTATTCTGCTCTGCACCCCTGGTCGCGGTGCTTTCTTCCCCTTCCACCGCTCTGCTTCTACACGTGCGGTGGCGGCATGGCCGTCAGCCGAGCTTTAAAGCCCTGTGCCCATCACCGCTCGAACCGTGAGCTGTCGCTCGATTATCCGCAGAAATGCTTTTCCATAATGCCGTAAACCCCCAACTCCAAGCCGGATGCTCTATCTCGATTTGGCCAAGGATATTCTCGAAGTGCCTCCCGTGTCGTTTCAACTCTCTAGTAAGTGCGAGCCAGGTTCCTGAGGTACCAGTCGACGAGCTTGCGGCCGACCTTGGCCTCGGAGACGTGGATGAGATCCTGCTTCGTATTAGTCACAACGCTCGATATGTCAGATAGGGTTGCACTTACACCCTCCATGGCGTAGTCGAGGTCCCCGGCGGAGATGACATCGCCCTCCAAAAGACCACCCTCAGTCCACCTGATCTGCCTGTTCCTCTGCTTGTTGACGAGCAACCAGCACCTCAGCTTCTCGGGCTCAACTTCAAGGAAACCAGCGAGCTTCTTCAGGTCCATGGTGGTGTACAGCTTCAGATAGCTCTTGACGGTGGGCGACATCATGTTGTTCTTGACCTCGTCCATGAAGATCCTGAGGTGGTGCTCAACGGGGTCGATGTTGACCTCCGGGTTGTCGAAGTCGGGCGGTGTGGGGCTGATGAACTTGGGGCAGGCGGTGCGGAACAGCTCCTCGAACAGGGGCAGCGACTCGGGGCCGCCGCGCTGCAGCTTGTTGAACTGCTCACCGTACTTCTCGCGGAGGGCGGTGTGGATGGTGTCGTCGAGCCTTGTGGGCTGGAAGGCGACGCAGATGGCGACGAGGGCGTACATCTGGTCGTTCTTCTTTGTGATGGAGTCGTACTGGGCGTTCTTCTGGAAGTTCTTGGTCCTCGAGACGTAGACGAGGATGTGGGAGAACATGCGGATGGCGTCGGTGTAGCGGCGCATCATCATGTAGGAGAAGCCAACGTAGTAGTAGGTGGTGAAGTGGGCGGCCATGACGCGGGCGAACTGGGCCTTCTTGTTGAGCTCGATGTCGTCGAGCGTCTTGAGGGCCAGGCTGAAGTCGCCCAGCAGGCAGTGCACGCGCAGGAGGCCGATGATGGAGAAGTAGCCCAGCATCTTGTACAAGGGCCGCTGGCCATAGTCGCCGGCGTACAGGTTCGAGTCCTCGCCGCGCTTCATGGCGGCCAGCTGCTCGTTGATCTGCGAGCGCTGGATCAGCGAGTACAGGACGTTGAGGACGCTGTAGCAGCCCCATGTGTTCGGGTTCTCGCGCAGCAGCTGCAGCTCTTCCTGGTTGTCGTTCTTGAGCGCGACCTTCTGGCGGTAGCTGCAGAAGCTGTTGAACTGGTAGATGAACTCGTCGATGACGTCCCAGGCCCAATAGTACTGCAGACGTTAGTGTCGCTCGCCTTGCGCGCCCGCCTCGCTGTGCGGCTTACATTTGGCACCTCCAGATCGACTGGCCCGTCCGAGTTGAGGATGTAGTGGAACAGGTTGCAGTAGTTGTCGTAGCTGGCAAACTTGGTCTCCAGCGTCGCCTGGAACTCGAGCGGCGTCGCGGCGGCCTGCAGCTGGGCGTGGATGTCCTGGTTGCTGCCGATCGAGGGCATGCGGTCGAGCTCCTCCATGCCGTCGTACTGCACCTGCTCGCCGCCCATGGGCTGCTCCTCGGCGTCGGAGCCGTAGTCGTTCCGGCTCATGCTTGCGATCGTGGGTGTGCGGCGTCGGGGCTGCTCGTTGTCGGCGGCGTCGTGATCGATGCTCGATGAGGCTCCCCCGCGCTGAGAATTCGATAATTCGCTGCCAAAGTGCGTGTTAGCGCCGAATTGCCCACTGACATTGTCTCCGCCGCACCAGCCAATCACACGGCGGCGGGCCTGTTGCACGCCCGAGTCGGGGCAAACTCACCACTAACGTCCTCTGCCTCAGTCTGTCGTGTTAGCAGGTCTGGCGAGCGCCCGACCGCCTGTGCCGTGCGCACGCGGGGACAGATCCTGCGTCTCCAGCTCGTCGTCGCATCAGAGCCACTCGGGGGCTCAGCGCGCGAGGCTAGGGCTGGCGGTCTTGACTGGTCCCGCCGCCTGAAAGGACCGCAGACTTAAAGCTACGACGGCTTCCACGGAGCTTCTGGAAGTGCATTCCCGCTGTCAGCTCGGTCAGAACCGTGGGCCCTGGTCTTTGTCTACGTGTGCTCTGAGTCTTATACTTCATCAACCATAAGCCCTATACTTGCTCTGCAGTGACAGCCATGACCTACACCATCCTCCTCTTCGTCACCAGGAAATCAAACACCTCGCCCGCCGAGTTCAAAGACCACTACGAAAACGTGCACATCCCCCTGGCCCAGCGACTATGTGCCGGAGACTGGCCCTTCAAGTTCACACGTCAATACCTCGCCCGCGTCACACGCAAAGGCTTCGGTGGGCCAGCCAACCCTGACAGGCCACCCCTACTGCTGCGAGGCGACGCCCAGGACATCGACTACGACTGCGTCAGCCAGATGGAGTTCGAGAGCGAGCACGCATTCCAGGCCTTCTACAAGAGAGTCTACGAGAAAGACGTGGCGGAAAAGCTGGCAGCAGACGAAACGCAGTTCCTCGAGCTGGGGAAAACGAGGGTCGTCGTGGTCGGCGAGACCATTTCGACCGAGCATGGAGTGACCCGGACTGTCAAGAACTGCATGCGCACTAACGACACGTCGGACAGCGAGGGCAGCCTGAGCGAGAAGAGCTGATGAGTTCGACAGTCGGCGTGGCGTTTCGCAGATTCTGTTTTGGCGTTGGGATTGGTCAATGGACCTTATTGCCGAGAAGGATTGTGGTGTAACTCTCGATGCTCGATGCTCGTTCACTACGGCGTCTCATTGGCGCACGCTGCATCAGTCATGACGATGGAGCCGAGTTCCTTCGGATCCGGGCATGTGCATTGATGACGGAGCTTTCCTGGCTAAATGGTACCACCCGGATTTCTTTTCCGTTAGGCTTGATGATATCCCAGGTTTGGAGGTGCCCGTTCCACTGCAGCGAGAGGTGTATTTTCCGGCCTCGTTTTGCTTGTTTTGATTATCGTACAGCATAGAGGATTTTTGATCGCTGTATCAAGCATAATTAATCTCATCAGGTGCCAGCCTGAGTACTTCAGATCCAACTTCGCTTTCCAGTTACGAAAAGGCCGGCTGCGAAGCCGAAATACTCGTGGCGTCACAGAGAATGTGCATATTGACACCGGTCACTTTGTAGTGTTCTTAGAGACCCAGGGTTCCTATCTGAGTACACAAAAGTCTAGTCTCTGCGAACCGGCTCGTCCCACGTCCCTTCGTTGTCTGCCGAGTGCGGGTTGTCCAACCTCGAGTGCCTATAGTCATAGTGCCAATCGCTCCTACTGATATCACTTCTGATCTGGTAATTGGCTTCTGCATCCTCCAGCGTCTGCAGGTCAAGATCAACTACGATCATGCCCTCAGCCGCACTGCCCAACTTCGCCAGAGGGCCCACGAAAGGTACTGTGACCTACTAGTTGTCAGCGTAGATACTTCATAGTCCTATAAAAAGCAACGCAAGCAAATACTGAAAGAAACAGCGATTGGATGCTCACCTGACTCAGCCCAGCATATCCCTTCCCCGGCGGCCCTCCCGCGTTCGCAAACACAATCGCACACGTGTTCTCAAACGCCCTCGCCGTTAATATACTATCCAAGAAGAGTGCTTCAGACGCTGGATTCCTCGCCAGACCCTCTTTGTTGCAATCATTCAGCGTCCAGAACGTAGGGATGATGATGATCTTTGCACCAGCAGCAATGAGCTCACGGAAGGCTTCTGGAAATGCAAGGTCCCAGCAGATTAGCATGCCAACCTTACCAATCGGCGTGTCGAAGACTTCGTGGGGGTGCGTGGTTGAGGAGGTAAGGTGGTCGCGTTCCGGACCCCTGACTGTGTCAGTATTATCGAAGCAGTGAAGCCACCGAAATCTCTAAAGAAACTTGAAGGATTCTGTGTAACAGACTCGGCATGGTAAGATCATAGCGAGGTACTTACCACAGGTTCTTCTTGACATACTTACCCGCAATCTTCCCGTCATTCCTGATGAAGTACGCAACGTTCAACAACCGATCTTCCTCTTTCTCCTCTCCCCTATGCCCCTCGACGATCGTTCCAGGCACAATACAGATCCCACATTCTTTCGCCAACTCTTGATATTTCTTCAAATACGTCTCCCATTGATCACACAGCCCCGCAAAAGACGGGTCTTTGGGCAACCAGTTGGTGAGATGGTACTCTGGTAGTACAACGAGCTCAGCGCCTTGAGTAGCGGCAGACCGAATGAAGTTAGCTGCTTGGTTAAAGTTGTGTTCCAAGTCAAGAGGCTACCGAGATAAGCGTGTAGTCATCATGATGTTGGGCGGCGGGAAAGCTACCTTCGGGTACAGCTGAACGACCGCGACTTTGATAGTAGATGCTGTCATCTTTTTGATTGGTATTGGTGCTCCGCTATTCGAAAGTTTAATGGTTCGTGAGGTTACATGGCTCTGTGAGGTGCACGGGGGTGAAGATATGCTAAGCTCGTTCAGTCAAAGCTAAGCTCCACTCAAACATGATTGGTCAGTACTGCGTAGCCAGTCTCAATCTCATTATGTTTTCCAGAGATCTACAGGATGAAGAGGTAACGAAAATCATTACCATAAGCCGAAGCCGTTCAGCCTGTAATCTTCGATAGCTTAGGAGAGAAAGTCGAATGAGCATGGGATATCTAGGTACTGAGGGTATCGATGCTCCTCAAATGCCATGCTGTAAGTAAGCCATACAAATCACCAAGCCGCCCTATGTACTACACCAAAGGGCTCCCAGACTGGGTACGAGAGTTTCATCAGAATGTTAGGTCCCAGTAAGCAGCGGCAGTGCTGGACCCTCTGAAAAGCTGGCATCACACGCCCACTGCTTTAACCTCGTTGTGAGTCGTGACGACCGCTGAGATGGTAGCTGTCGATGAATCGAGTTTCGATTAGAAGGTACATGGCTTCAAGCTACAGCCGCGCTGGCCCAATCATTGTGATTGAGAAGAATGCCATTGGACCCGAAGGACTCATTTGGTCCGTCTGAGTCGACCTCAGAGACTGTATCGAGAAGCGCGTAAGTGTTCGTCATTGAAAATGGTACTGACGGCATATGCATGACGGGTGCACGGGTCCTCATGCTAGGCTGTGGTAGTGCAGCGGCGCATTCGTCTGATGCCCAGTCGATACGCGTACCCTTGTATACCGTACGAGACATCATACAGGTCCTGGCAAACAGCGCGTTATGAACTGAGTTGGTTGAGATATGCGCGTCTCCGTTCTGGAAGTAGATATCGACCACAACGAGATTGTGAATGTGGTCAAGGTGATCTCGGATCTGCTCTTCGGTGAGCCTGCCGGCCACACCGCGCACGATGAGGTTTCTCGTTGCACCTCCAGCGATCTTGTTAGAGATGTGAGGTGGGACATGGAACTGACGATCAGCCCAGCGGAACTCCAGCTGTATCCCGGTCAGCTTTCAGTCGAACACCTCGTCCGAAGAATCATCAACACGTACACGCTTGGCATGCAGGTAGATGTCGTTCCGCTTGATGTATGCCAGGAAGTCCGCCGCACCCTCGACGAAAGACACAGTGGCTGATCGATCGTTGCGGATGAAGATGTCGAGCAATCTGCCTCCACGAATTACTCCAGCAATATCCTTGTGAGTAGTGCGTTCTGTGAGGTTGGTAATCAGAATGGTGCGCCGGTCATGCACTGGGATGCGCTGATGAACCCCGCGTCCTGGCTTGTAGCAATGTTCGTCGTCAGAGCAGTTATCGGCGCAAGAATCGGTCTGGTCGTTACTACATGCTCGGTGCAGTGTTCGTGGTTGGGGCAGGTCGATATGCTCACTACCGGTCTCGGTGTCGTCCGAGTCAGGCGGACTGTGATGCCTGTGAGGCGCTCTTACGGTGACAGGTACCGACTTGGACTTCACAAAGGCCCGTTCTGAGTTGTGATCGTATAGCCAATTGTCGTCAACGTTGGCCTCGGTTTCGCCAGCGAGAAGTGTGTTCAGTGTGTCCGTTTTCAGGCCTCCTCGAAATAGAGAAGTCTTGAGTAAGGCTAAGTGGCGGTCAGAATGATGTCGTTGCGAAATACTGGTCTCGACAGATGACTTTGCGTACCGTAGTCTCGGCTGCATTGTCGCTTTATATCCTGTCAGTGACTGGGCCAACAACGTGCAATGGAGAGACCAAGGCTGAGTAACAGGACGTGACAGCAAAGGACATACTAGGTAGCCATGCTCCTCTTTTGAGATGACAACATTGCTGAGCAGATCAGGAGTAAGCTCGAACTCATGTCCAGAAGTGTGCTGGCTAAGGTGAGTCTCTTTTAGTTATGGCTGCCTTCGGCGACTCACGAACTGGGCTCTGTCGATCTTTTCTTAGCAAATATGCAAAGTTGATTAGCATCACGTAGAGATTGCTTACCTTCTGAGGAGGGCATCGAAGTAGGCCCTGCCTATAGTGACGGTGCCCATGGTGAATAGGTTGAAGAACAAGCAGAAGGCCGAAAGTGGCTCTCTGTAAGGTGCATAAGAAGAGAAATTCACATAGAGTAGGCTCCAAGGCTAGTTCTGGCCGATTGTTTGGTCACTATCAGTCTGGGGAAGGAGCCTGGCGCACTGCAGCTGCGCCCCCACTTTGACAGGGAAGACGCGACGCGTCGAGAGGTTGTTTCCATCTCTGTTCGAACCAAAACAATCAATAAGACGGCAAATGGCAACCATGCTTTTCGCAACGTGATGTTTAGGTGTCGAATTTCTTGCGCATTTTTGACGCGTCTGAACCACTTGCCTCGACGTGGACCAGACGCGCTAACGACGAAGCTGTTCCTTCCGGGCCTAGTGTGATCTGCGCTTTCCCAAAGTTTTTGTGACGTGCCAATCACCCCAAGCTCATGGACTCCAATGACCCGAAATCGCAGCTGGTGAAGCAGTTCACCACGAGCGGTGGCGACAATGCCGGCTCGCTGTTTTCGCAATTCACTGGGAACCCCTTCTTCACAGCCGTACGATCGATTCTGTGCTGGCTCGCTGAGATGGAGTGTGCTCACAATAGCCACAGGGCTTTGGCCTCGCTGCGTTAGGCGTCGCTGCGCGAACGGGACAGAAAGGACTCCAGCATGGCGCCGCTTTCATACGGAGGCGAATGCTTATCGATCTCGAGATTACTCGCCACGACGATGCCTACCCGTGGCTCCTTCAATGGATGACAACGTATCACAGGGCGCAGATGAACGGCGCCCAACAGATGACAGGCGCATCGCCTGCGCCAAACGGCCTTCTTACGAAGTTATTTAACCGCATCGATCCACGCATGCACCATCTTCAGGTGCGAACCTCCGCGCCCCAGGACGGTCCCGCCCTCGCTGCGCACTTCTCCTTTGTGCCTGGTCCTGGGCGGCATTTTATGCGCTATAAGAATGCGTTTCTGCTGGTAGATCGCCAACGTACACGCGACGCTTTCGACATGCGAGACGGTACGCCGTTCGAAACGATCAGTCTGACAACCCTGTACAGCCACCGCGGCGTGTTCGAAGACATATTCGCTGAAGCGCATCAACTGTACCAGCAGTCACAAGAGGGCAAGACGGTCATCTACAATTCTATGGGTACTAGCTGGCAGCCGTTCGGCAACCCGAAGCGAAAGCGCCCGTTGGATTCAGTGGTTCTGGAGGCAGGCGTGAAAGAGAGAATTGTCGAAGACATGGAAGCGTTCATTTCCTCGCGCGCATGGTACCTTGATCGCGGGATACCGTACAGAAGAGGCTATCTGCTTTACGGTCCTCCGGGTACTGGGAAAAGCTCGTTCATTCAGGCTGTGGCCGGACATCTGGATTTCAACATTGCCATTCTGAACGTCAGCGAACGAGGTTTGACCGATGACCGCCTGAACCACCTGTTGACCAACGTGCCACGGCGGACTGTTGTGCTCCTCGAAGACGTGGACGTTGCGTTCATGAATCGCAAGACGCCAGGAGCAGATGGCTTTGCTAGCGCGTCTGTGACATTTTCCGGACTACTCAACGCTCTGGATGGTGTAGCTAGTGCTGAGGAGCGCATCATTTTCTTGACGACTAACCACGTCGAGAGACTGGACGAAGCCCTAGTGCGTCCTGGACGCGTCGACATGACCGTAAGACTTGGTGAGGCTACAGAGCATCAGATCGAGCAGCTGTGGGACCGATTCTACGCCGAGTTCGATGTCAGCGGTGAAGCGAAGCAGAGATTCATGACCAAGGTCAAGGAGCTAGGACTCGTGGACTCGGTGAGCACAGCAGCGCTGCAGGGTCTCTTTCTGTATAACAAGGACGATGTCGAGGGAGCCATCAGCATGGTCTCGGGCCTCACCGCTGGTCACAGTCGACGTGAAGGCCAGGTGGGCATCCCTGGACATGTAGATGTGAAATGAGCGGGGCTGAAGCATGCATGACATCACACCGGACTGTGTCACTACGCCTGGCCTTGTTCGCACGATTGTCTAGTGTACAATAACTGTACTTAGAAATGTTAGAGCGCTTTAAGCGACCTGCATGTCAAATTTTCTTCATCACAGGGCCCGAGGGGCAGGGTTGCGGCGCGTGGACCCAACAAATGTACGTGATGATGCGCAGCCGCTCCTCCCGCACTTTGTTTGAGGCCGACCGAACTGCACGGCTAGTTTTTCCACGATCACAATTCCCGCTCTATACGCGCGTCTTATTGGCTCATCACGCCCTAATTCTGAATCAAGCCTCGATTCCGCAAGTCAATCTAATCAGATCATCGAAAGGCTACGGACTTATCTGATCGTCTGATACCCTGACTTCGCACGAAACCCTTTTCGTGTGATACACCGGCGCAAAGTGCCACGCGCCCCTTGTGGCCAACGAACCCACATATATGGATGAAGAAGCGTCGTTCCCGCCGGTCGCTTCTTCGCCTGTTCTTCGTGCCACGAGCTACGACCCGGGCCTTTCCTCTCCCACTGGCAGCAGCTACGAGTTACATGACTACCGCCAAAAAGCAAGAAACATAGCCACAGCCGCATCAGATGACGAGCGCGATCTCTCAGCACAACCCACAGAGAGCTGTTCTCCGTCTCGTAAGAGAAGGATGTCGCGCGCGCCGCTGCTGGTGCGATCATCCCCGGCGCAGGGCACAGGTAAGCTAATGAATCATCTCGCATTCCGCGCTCGAGCCGCGCCCAGGCGTTGCACGATGGCTAGCAACGCGCGCTCTCACGATGGTGATGGACAACGGTATGCATTGAGTGGATACTAAGCATGTTATCTAGGGTCCTACGGAGGTTTACCGATACTCTCGTTGAGCCCTGATCAGTCTGACGAGGATCATGTGACTAGCGCCGCACGTCATGGAAAGAAGAAGGCGAAGAGCAGGCTCTCAAATGCCGTGTCGAACACATCCCTAAGAAGTAAGCATGGGCCAGCACGAAGCTCACCCATTCTTACCAATTCCACATCGAGGCGGAGATTGAGGGATGAAAGTGGTAGCAGCACGACGCTCAATGAAGAGCTCGGAGGACAGGAAGCCCACTTTGAAGCACGGTTCAACGCCAGCGCATTGGATCCCTCGATAACTGGAGCATCCCCTACTCTTGGGAGTACCAAGTCATCAGAAAGCAGCACCAATATCGATATCGACGACGACGGTGAAGACAATGATGATGTTTCTGACGGCGACTTACACGATCACAAAGGCAACCCCTCTGACAACTCTCCCTACGCCCAAGTTCGAGCGTCCGTCGCTGCCACCGACAACATAACCTTATCTATCGATACACCACGGATGTGGATCCTGTCCATGTTGTTTGCTATCGCTGGCTCTTCAACTAATTTGTTTTTCTCCCTAAGATACCCTAGCGTCAGCCTTACTCCTATTATTGCGTTATTGCTCGTTCACCCTCTTGGTCTGTTTTGGGATCAACTTCTCAAGCGACCAGATGATCCAGAAGAAACCTTCGTCGATGGCTGCCGAGCCAGCCTTGCTCTGCCGCTTAACACGCCTTGGACCCGCCGGTTCCGACTCTATCTGGCCAAAGGTAGCTGGAACGAGAAGGAGCACTGCTGTGTCTACGTCAGCAGCAACGTATCGTTTGGCTTTGCGTTTGCTACAGATGTCAGTGTACTGTATTGCACCTCTGTCTCGATGTACTGACCTAAGAACAGGTTATTGTCGAGCAAGTGAAGTTCTACCACCAAGACCTCGGTATCATGTACCAGGTTTTGCTTATCCTTTCGACTCAAATCCTTGGATACTCGCTTGCAGGGCTTACAAGACGATACCTCGTACGGCCCAGTGGCATGATTTGGCCAAGCACACTAGTCTCAACCGCTATGTTCACCGCATTGCATAAAGATGAAAACAAGCCGGCCGATGGATGGACTATCTCGCCTCGGAAGTTTTTCACGCGGGTGTTCTCTGGCTCTGTTGCATTTTATTTCCTGCCTGGTCTCCTCTTCCCTGCATTGAGTTACTTCAGCGTCATCACTTGGTTTGCACCGAAGAACATTATCATTGCCAATCTTGTAAGTTATACGCCAAACCCAGAATATTCACCCGCTGACCTCGTTAGTTTGGAGTATCATCCGGATTAGGCTTGTTTCCTGTGACATTTGACTGGGCACAGATTGCCTACATCGGTTCTCCGCTTGTGACACCATTTTGGGCTGCCCTCAATATCCTCGGTGGACTTGTGCTGGTCATGTGGATTGCTGCTCCTATTATGTGTATGTGTCTTGTAGTCTGGATACGGGCACCGCTCACTGACTTGTTGTAGACTATGCGAACGTCATGTACTCGTCTTACATGCCAATCCTCTCGGCCGCAGTTTGGGACAACACCGGTAAGCCGTATGATGTGAGCAAGATTCTGACCGATGACTTTCTGTTCGATGCGGAGGCGTACAAGGACTACAGCCGGGTGTTCCTCCCCATCACTTACGTGCTCAGCTACGCACTTCAATTCGCAGCTCTCACAGCCCTGCTATCGCACACAGCCCTCTGGCACGGCAAAGACATTTGGAGGCAGTGGAATCGTTCATGGGCAGAGATCCGCAAGGCACCTGCAAGCGACTATGAACCTCTCAACAGCCTATTCGAGGGCAACGGGCGCACCTCTCCGAATGCGTACCGCCACAGGAATAGCACAACTTCTGAGCCTGACATGGAAGACCTCCTGGATGCCGAGGACGTACACAATCGACTTATGCGAAGATACCCGGACGCGCCAATGACCTGGTATCTACTCACCGGTATTACCATGGCCGCTGTTGGCATGTATGTTGTTGAGTACTATCCAGTCCATCTCCCATGGTACGGCCTCCTGTTGGCCCTTGGCATCGGCGCAATCCTCTTCATACCGATCGGCATTGTGATGGCCATCACCAACCAGCAGAGCAGTATTTACCTCATTTGCCAATTGATCTGCGGTGGCGTGTTCCCTGGTCGACCCGTCGCGAACATGGTCTTCACAACGTTTGGGTATATCTCTTCGACCCAAGGTCTAAAGTTCGCTTCAGATCTCAAGCTTGGTCACTACATGAAGATCCCACCGAGGCTCCTTTTCAGACTCCAGCTCACAGTCACCATCGTCTCCAGTCTCACGCAGATTGGTGTACTGAACTGGATGTTGAACTATATCCCTGGTATCTGCACAACCGAAGCTATCAACGGATTCAACTGCCCCATCGCACGCGTACACTTCAACGGCAGCATACTTTGGGGTGTCGTAGGCCCTAAGCGCTTCTTCGGTCCCGGCGCCCTTTACCGACCGCTCGTCTGGGCTTTCCTTGTTGGTGCCGTATCGCCAGTCATCCTGTGGTACTTCGCCCGCAAGGATCGAAAATCCATCCTCCGAAAGGTCAATCTCGCCGTTGTATTTGGTAGTCTGAGCTGGATTCCACCCGCTACCGGTCTCAACTTTTCGGTCTGGGCGATTGTGTGCTACATATTCAACTACGAGATTCGCAACCGCAGGAAGAATTGGTGGAGGAAGTACAACATGATGTTGAGTGCTGCCCTGGACTCTGGATTAGCGTTCGGTGTCGTGGTTATTTTTTTCGGCATTGTGTTCCCCGGCTGGATGAAGGGGTTCAAGTGGTGGGGCACTGAGGTGTACAAGCAGGTATGTCCAACTACTTGCGCCATTTTTCATGCATCTGCTAACGAGCATAGGGCTGCGACTACACAGCGTGCTCCTATAAGAACGTACCAGAGGGATCGACCTTTGGACCGAGCGATTGGTAGTTCTGGATACTGCATTGCGCTGCTGGTTTTTGCATATGCATTGGATGGGCGTTCTGTTGTGCACAGTATCCAACAGTGGCGTTCGGTTCTGGATGTACCTATGATCACTAACAGCTCTGACCCAACAAATAGACTGCTTCATTTCTTCTTAACTACCGGTGAGGTATCCTGAATGGATGCGCTTCGGTATTGAGTACAAACTCGTCCAAGCTAATCTCGCTAGGATCGCTGAAAATCAGATAAAAGTATTTTAGCGTCTCGGCCAGCCAGAAGCTCTCCATACTGTCATAGGTCTCCACTGGCGTTTTCATGACGTTACTTATAGCTGCATTGCCAAACTCCGTTCGGGTAAGGTTGCTCACTGCTTCAAACATCCCCCAGGCGATGTCTTGATACTTCGACTCGCCGGTGATTCGGTACATGTACAACATCGACTCGATTGCTTCAGGTCTGAGAACGTAGCGTCCGTCGCCGACCTCGCTGAATGGACTTGAGCCAGCCGGCGCGGTGTACTCGCATACTGACAATGTAGAACATGCTGTCATCGAGAAGACTTCCGGCATGATACCATTTGGCGCATTCTTGTATGTCCATGCGCAGCCGTTGGAGAGCTTGCGGCCAACGTTGATATGAGTCGTGTTTTCGAACAAACGTCCTCCGAGGGCGAACATGCCACCAGCGAAGCACACAAGGTGCTGACCTTTGCTTTCCCTCTCACCGTTGACGTTACCACTGGCGATCAGGATGTCAGCTTTGTCGTGTGTCATGGGACGGAACATCGTATGTGTTATTGCAGTCGACATGGCATATTCGTACATCTTTTGATACTGCGTTGCTGGTCCCAGGCCGTTGAGCAGCTGGTACATCTTCGGCAAATACTCGTATGCAGAGTCTGCCATCGCACCGAGGCCGAAAAAACCATCGAAAGTCAAGTCTGGCTTCCGCATATTGACGCTGATGGGCCACATGCCTGGCAGCTTGGTCGAAGCTTGCTGTTCGTCAAGCACGTTCGTTACTCTCGAGATAGCGTCAAAATAGCGCATGTCGCCAGTGAGTTGAGAGAGGCGAGTGAACTCCACACTGGCAGAGGCGGCCTCAGCAATCAACATTGACTCTGCTGGAAGCTGTTCTTCTCCAAATACTGCTTTCTTGGGATTCCATCTTGAGACTGGCATTCTGTTTGGAGTGTCGAACGCGGCGTACGCCAAGTCTGCGACCTCGATGGCCTTGTTGAGAAGTCGAGCATCATGACATCCAGATACGTCGTAAGCTCCCAAGAAGCCACCAAGGTAGCGAATGATTGTTTCGAAGACGTTGATCTCGCCATCGATTTTGGGTCCGAAGTCGATCTTGGTAGCAGCATCGATGGCCTCTGCAAATTCTTGCTTTAGATCCATGATCCAGAGTGTGTCCAAGCTGTCAACTAGGGTAGCGCCCCAACTTCCAAAAGTATCTTTGGCTCCACCGGAGATAGGACCAAGTTCATCCTTTGTCCACGCGCGCTCTCTATAGTTATTCCAGCATCGCTTAAAAACTTCCCGTACGGCGTCTCTACGAGAGTCAATCCGTTCGTTGCTCTCTTTGGGTACTGACTTGAAGTTGTATTGCACAGAAGGCCTGGGCGACGGTTTTCCTGAAGGTAGTTGAGAGTACTGCTCAATTGGGTGATGGCTCTTGACAGTCCTCCAGTTGAATCGGCCTTGTGTGTCTGGAGTCAGTGCCGGAGATGGTGGTATTTTGGGGCAGAGATGTGACTTGTATCCTGTCGTGGAGGGAGGAGAAGTAGTGTGTTCATTGGTCGGGAAGCTCAAATCCGCAGATGGTACGAAGCGAGCAGAGAGTGGAGCTATCGTTACGAGAAAGATGATGGCGGCGATGATGGACATAGGCCATCTGTATCTTCTGAGAAACATATCGAACTTTCCGAACATTAAGATGTGGTGTCAGAATGTTAGGAGCTCGCCATGGACATGTGTTGGAGGTGTCGCGCCGAGCACGGGTCAGCCTGATCTTACACGGCGCTTACAGTAGCAATCTTTGACCCATGCACGTACCCTGACAATAATCCGCGCCGCAATCCTTCGTTTGAGAGTTCGCAAGGATTTCGCAACATAATTGATCCATGCACCCGATGTCACATCATAGCAGGTGTGTTGGCCGCCGAATCAATCTCGATGAAGCGCGCAAGTCCCATAACGATTGCGCCGCCAGCCTCGAAATTAAACGACGCACCTCCTGCATATGCATCCATTATGTCGGAATTGTGGCCCTTCAGCCTCGTTATAGCCCAATGCGCCCCTTATCCACAGCCTTCCTTCGCTCGAAGGGTGACCTGGCGGCGCAACTTCTCTCACCACCGTAGTACGCCTTCAGTGGTGGAGCCCCATGAAAGGTAGAAATGCACCTTCCACTCGTCCTGACTTTCGTCTTCTTTTCTTTGCAAACATGGTGTCAGACCGTGCAGGATGATTGGACTGCACCGGCAGCTCCCGATGGCTCTACCCCTCTGCAGAGTGGAACCAAGTTCACCCTCCTTTGGAAGCCAGCTCTTCAGAACAACTTTGCGACTTACTGTCCTCTGTGCGATACTGCGAAGCTTGATCTTTGGATCACAAACTTTAATGGGACCAAGTACACCTCCAAGATCGGACGTGAGTCAAGCACACACGCTTGCACAACACGGCAAAGACTAACATTGCGTCCAGGCGGTATCGATCTTTTCACGGCTACGTCTTACGACTGGAATGTCAACATTGCTTCGACCGCGTTTTCGGAGAATGCCTTCTGGGTATTCCGCTTCACTTTCTTCGACTCCGTGGATCCGTACTCACAACAGATCTCGTCGCCCGGATTCAAGATCAGTGGTCTTGTGAAGGCCTCCAGTACAACTGTAGCGCAGTCGAGTAGTTAGTCTACCATCTGTCTAACCTGCTCGTTGTCAAGCTCATTGCGTCCGCAGGTTCAACATCTGACGTCCCAGCGTCTTCAAGCTTCGCCGCCACTTTTACAAGCGCGGTCCCTTCCAACTCCATGTCCAGCACTACAACTCCTTCGGAACCAACATCTACTCCCGATACAACATCGAGAAGCAACACTTGGATTGCTGGCGTTGTTGCTGGCCCAATCGTCGGTATAGCTCTTGGTGCTGCGCTCATGTGGTATTGCTTACGCAGACGGAAGGAGGACAATGCGCAACAAATTCAGGGAAACACGAAAAGGAATCAGCGGGGTTGTAACTCACAGTACACATCTACCGAGAATGCGAAGAATATGTACTCTCAGACGATTGCGAGCGCCCGTCACCCATGGCAGCAAGAAGTCCATAGCCAGTACGTAGCGGAGGCCCCAGCTCACTCAATTCCTGCACCACCTGCGGAGCTGTGGCAAGGTAACTATAGGTCGTAGGCCCGGTGCTCGAGGAACAAGAATCAAAGAGCGCGTTGCGCCCGCGATGGATAGTAGCATGATTGTAGTAGAACCAAACACATCTATGTTATAAATACAATATAATAGCTTCTGCTTCTAGCTCCGCGCTACTTGCACGCTTCATAAGTAGTATATCAATATCCTAGCATAGATCTTACCTTCCCCTAGGCGCAACTATGTAATGGTAATTGTTTCTATTACTTTCTTGTCACATTGCTAATGCAACACTAGAAGGCTCATACGTACTACCTTGGTACTAATCTCCCTAAGCATATGCCTCTCTAAAGGATTATTATAGTTAGTATACGTGTCTGAATCTCTATTGTATTCTGATTATAATGCTCACATAATAGCACACTACGTAGGAGTCTAACAACTGTTAGGTTCAGCCGGCAAGTGGCCACAGGCCACCTCTGACCTAATGGGATGACGATAATATGTACTGTTTTGGCCACGTGTGTGAGGGTTGAATGTGGGTAGGAATCAGAGTATAGGTAATAGTGGTATTGAGACGAAACCTTACAGATTAACTATGGATCAGGAGGAATTGATATACCTCAGGGTACGTGATCTATCCGGAGCCTCTCTGGTAGCTCCCCGGCATGGGCCCTCAGGCCTAGGTTGGGTGAGCGGATGGAAACACCCCTGGCAACATGCGTACTATCTGAGCGAATATTGATACCATTTCAGTTGTCCTGGCCAGGTAGGCTGGAGGTTAGTCAGTCTTGACAACAACAGCCTAGAAGAATTAGTCCTGAAAAAAAGATAAAGGACTTGTTCTATTAGAGGGATAGCTGCTGTTTACTGTACATTCCCCCTGCGGAGGTAGTAATTCTATGCAGCGACACATCAAAAGACGGAGAACATTGCCTCAAGTAAATATTAGCCCTGAAGTAAGATAAATCGATGATCTTTACGTTTAATGGTCCATCTTGTATTTGTCGAAACTACTAAGCACGTGGCTAGTTGTTCGAACCAACTACCTAACCAATTTACTCATGCCTCTGGCACTCTAAGCGAACAAACATTGACAGGGTGTAGCTCGGTCGATGGCCCACTCAAATCCAATAGAGGTCGGAACAGTCCGCTACACAGTCGTGCGTTAGACTTGTGGACTAATGTTGCGTGCAATAGGATCTGTACTTACACAACATGTTGCACACACTCCTGAAGAGATTGCATTGCTTTTGCAGAAATTGAAGCAAGCTTCAGTTGAATCTCCTGCTGGACAACTCTGCCTCTTCTCAACCTGGTCTTTGCTGTCCCCTATATCACTGCCGTAGTCTTCAACTGCCTCACTTTCGTTCACACGGCTAACGCACGACTATAGAAAAGTATTAGACCCACGCCGGTTTTGTTTGGTTCGACAAATCACCTGATGCCTATCCCACCCGCTGCCGCTGTGTCTTCTAGCCAGTGTGCCTTAGAGTTAGTGAATTGGTACATTGATTAGTTCTAATAACTGATCACGTGGTTAGTATTTTCAACAACTACAAAAGCTAAATCACTTAACTTAGAAGTTACCGGCTTGTTGTACAATAGAGGCCCATGTTTACTCTTATAGTATGGGTGCACAGATGCCTTAGTCCTGCAAAGAGTCTAATATACCTCACGGGCGATCAAATTACCGATCGAACTAATTACTTTTGCCAGGACCATAACTAATCAAGACAAACTGCTACACACGAAGTGACTGAAGCCGACCCACTCAGATCGAACATGTGACATCGTACCAAAGTGTTGGGTTATTCGGGTTAGGAGTAAAAGCCTGGCCGAAGGTGGGCGCAGTGAAGCCAAGTGAGAGTGTGCAAAGTCTACTTGCTGGGTTCAGACCATAGACACGACAGCTACGACCACCGGCAGTCCAGGTCTGAAATCTGGTCCTGCAAGAATCCTGGGTCTGCCGAGCGATATTGGTATAGGTAAAGGTAACTCTAGGCCCCGTCTGACCATTTACACCGCATGTAGGTTGCGGCGCAGGGGTAGGGGTGGGTGTCGGTGTAGGTGGAGGAGTAGGTGGAGGAGTGGGGGCCAGTGTTGGCGTGGGCGTTAGCGTAGTGGTCGAGCTACTAGTGGAAGTTGAAGTAGTGGCAGAACCCGATGTAGAGGTGGAGCTGATCGTGCTACGGGGAGAGATGACAGTCGTCGATGTCGCGGTCAAGGCGAAGAGGTTGAGGTCGTTGCTGAACTGCTCGGTCGGACAACGACAACGGCTTTTTTTGATCAGCAAACTTTCGTACAGATGACTTGTTTTACTCACTATCGACACCTTCATTCGCAGAGGCGCCGTTCTTCGTGTCTTTGAGATAACAACGGCCCGCACCTTTGCCACCGACACACGACGCGAATAAACACTGTGCATTGCTTACACAAGACTGCGTGCAGGCCCCAAGACTTGCTGCATACTCATTGGTGAAGTCACCTCCATAGAAGTCGACTCCACACGCAAGAGTCAAAGTACGTAAGCCATCAGTGTATGAGCAGCCGTCATTCTTCGGGCAGGTGAAGCTGGCAGGACATGTCTTCGGATCATCTGGTGCTGGAGCAGGTGTTGTCGGGGCCTCCCTAGAGACTACAGCTACTCCGATTACGTTGGGACTAGAAACAGAGTCAATCGAGCGTCGATCACAAATGTCAGAAGCCATACTTGGGCTGAGCTGCGGTAAGCGTGCTCTAATGTAGCAGTTACCATTCACGTAGCTTGCTGCTTTGCATCCTGTAATTGTGGAGCAAGCCCTCATGCAACCCGCTAATGTGGAGGTCTGAGTTGTGGTAAGCACTGAGATCAAGACATTTGATCTGAGGGCAACGCATGCTTACTTTTACCAATTGCAAATCTCCGCCGTAATAGTCGGTCGCACAGCTGACTTGAAGGGTGACCCCGTTCGATGCGAGGGAACATTGATCGTCCTGAGGGCACGAAGGTGACGCTGGGCAGGCTGTTGCAGAGGCTCACAATGCAAGCGCAAAAGCGCGAAATGCAGGCGCCATTGTGAATCGTAGACTTCTAAAGAATGGGTCCTTTCGAGCAAGACCGGCTGACAAGGAGGAGCAGAACACTTGACAGCTCTTTTATACGTTCAAACGTTCTTTAAGGGGCTCAGCGCGCGAGCTTGACTTTACTCAACGAGAAAGCATGTGCAGTCAGTAGCACTTCGCCCAGCGTCGTGGCGCGTCCATTCTGGAATTTTTTGTGGCATTTCAGCTTCAAACTTTCAGCCTTGCAATACTTATCCCGTCTATGGCTTACCCTTGTGCTGTAACCGAGGCAGCATGACAAATTTGGTCTATGCGTTTCTGGAAAGCGCATCGTTGATCAGCAGCATCGTGTGTATGCGGCTAGCGTTGAGAGTGGGATGCAGTATTCGGGCTCAGCCAGGGGTTCCGCCTCAGCCCGGAACGATTTTTGGGTTAGTGGTGTGGTCCACGTGTACGGCTAGAGCGTGATCGACCATGGGCGCACCCGAAATCTAGACGTTCGGTAGGTGTTGATGGATTATAGCGCAACGTTGTGTTGCGACGGGTTCGTAGAGTATCCTTGTTGCTTCGTATTGAGGCAGACGACCGACTTCTAGATCACGCCTTCTCGGGCATGCCTAAGCAATGCCATAATTGTCGCAGTAGGAACGGGTATCGAGCGATGCAGCGAGAATAGATGTGTTGCATGGACGCGCAGCTTTAGCTCTCGAGTGGAGTGAAGTGACTGATATGTGAAATTGCATCATACTGGTCTTGAGATCTTCCTAATGGCAACCTCTCAATGCGTATACGTCCCGAACGCCTGAATTAATGCTTGAAGCCCTTCACAATGTGACTTAAATGAACGCTCAGCAAGTTCATACGGTGACGGCCAGCTCAATGCTTGTCTACATCTCCATTCTCTCGGTAGCAGACCCCTTCATGGACGTCTTCTTCTTGGTCTTCGTTGTGTCGTAGCAAATCAGACCGAACCACCCCTCGTCGGTGCACGTAATTGTAGTTGCAGTGGGCGTTGGTATAGTTGATTTGTGAGAGCTGCGCGAGTGGCCTGGTGGGTCATCGCCGTCCAAGCAGCCACCGAACCAGCCTGGGTAACTGCATGATGAAGTCGATGCAGAGGAGGTGGGCGAGTGTGAGGTGGTTGTGACAGAAGGTGCGGGCGCTGGACTGGCTACCGTTGTCGTTGTGGTAGAAGTCTCCTCAGTGTCCTTGTCTTTACAGCCGAACCAGCCTGGCGTCTTGCAGGAGGATGTTGACGAAATTGAGGTGGTCTTGATAGTAGTTGTAGCGCTACCAGTGGTCGACTCGTCAAGGCAGCCCCACCAACCTGGCGTCTTGCATGTCTCGGTGCGCGTGCGGGAGCTGCGCGTGAGTGTCGAGCTCGACGTCGGCTTGGATTTCGAAGAAGTAGTGGTCTCTGTGCCGTTGCTTTCGAAGTACTCCCAGGGATAGCAGTCCGTGCAATTGACATAGGGTTCGCACTTCGCGGGCTGGTCATACTTCAAGATCACATCTCGAATGACTTCAGCGATCTTGTGTGTGCCAATGCCCACACGCCAGCCAAAGTCTTTCACAGTATCGTATGTGCACTTCTTGCCAGTATGACACACGCTCTGCATTGCGTATCCACCAATTGTGCATACGCTTGTTGCAGTGTTGCACAGACCCATGAAGACAGGATCTGCCGTATGGCCAAAGTGATATCCGCCTGTCATCTTCCGGTGCTGCATGGATCCAATCTGATGTCCCGGTGGCGTTGGAAGACCGAGTCTAGCCGCGGGCATGGCTTCTGGAACCGCTTCGAAGGTGACGGTCGGGTGGCCGTACGTCAGAGAAAGGAACGAAGAGACAGCGCCTCCAAGTGAGTGGCCAGCGAACCACACCTCAGCATCTGGATACAATTCCGTAACGTTATGGTAGAGGTTCTGCGCAGCATAGTAGTAGCGGTTCTTCTCCCGTAGTGCGGTCACCAAACATGTCGAGTTGCAGGTATATGCTGCAGTTTGACAGTCGCAGACCTGCCGCCAGAGGTACTGACCACCCTGACCACAGCAACAGCTGAAGAACAGATTGTCATTGATCTTGTCATTCGTGGTCGTCTCTGACCCGTCGAACATGGCGGGTGACGTGCCCTTTAGCCCGATGACAACCGTCGAGTTCTCTGTGTCGGCAAAGATGTGTCCACGCAGACCATCTGCCTCCCAACCAAAGTCTTCAGTGTAGTTGAAGCCCCCCCCTACATCTTCCCAGTCCCCGGTCCCTGGCTCCAATATGTATGCATTCGACGCCATACGTGCGAAACTGAGCACCGTCTCTCTGTCGGTCACGTTTGGCCCGGGCAAGTCGTCGATGGTCCAGTCCTCGGCAGCCAGCTGCACTGCCTTCCCTCTCATTCGGCCGTAGTCCAGTATGCCGTCGATGGTGTCCCTGTCCCTGTGCACCATCCTCTCGATGCTCATAATCTCCGACTTGGCGCGTAAGGCAGGCACCAGTTCCCGATTGGGGGCATCCTCGTGTTCGACCATGTACACTGCTGCCTTCTCCGGGATATCGAGCCGGCGGTGCAGCTCGGGATACTTGTAGGTACCATGGTGGTATATGTGGCGCAGGGAGAACTCCTTCTCGGTGCTGTGAACATGGGGCGATGTCGGCGGTAGCGGCAACAGAGGCACCTCCGCAGCGCTGCTAATGGCGAGGAAGGACAGCAACAGCGAAGCTGTGACACGTGATGCAGAGGTACACAGAGGTCGTCGTCGCATGTTGTGTGTATACGTGAGGATCGAATGAGAGGCCGGAGTCGGTGTTGTTGTTCAAGAGAGTGGTGATGGCTGCGCGCAATGACGTTCACGAGCACCCCATGGTCGGTCGCCGCCGGAGCACTGTTCACAGGGTGGCTCCAGCCGCCCCTTGGATTGCAGCCGCGGTTGCGCCTTCCTGAACGCAGCCTAGCAGCAGATGGCAGGCCCATGTCCCCCCATCTCCGCATCGATACCGCAATCAAGAGCACAGACACGCGCTCATTTATGGTGCGGGCAGGCCAATTCAGTCGTTGCTCCCCACGCGCAGGATTGACGTCTTTCAAGAGCAGCCAGACAGCTTCCGGGTGACTTGAGAGCATTTCCTCTCGTCACAAGCTTCCGCCGGGCCAGCCGCGTCTCCGCATGACGTTGCCCAGTTGTGCAGGGCTCGAGCTCCGACATTTGGTTTCAGCAGCACCCCAACCCCGATGCTGGCACGCGACACTCGCTGTAACCTGACCTCTCTCTGCATATAGCCGTCATGTCTGGCCGCCCTAGAAACCTGCATCCATCCCGGTCCTTCTCCCGCCTCGACGCAGCGCCTAAGAGCCCGCTGTCTCGCAGTCGTGCGAGCACGCTACAAGGCCCGCATGTGACAGATATGTTAGACCCACTCAAGAACAACGCAGTGCCCGAGGAGGACGAGAATCTCGATGGCGATGTCTTCGTAAAGAAAGAAAACGAGGAAGAGCAAGATCCGCCCGCACAACCAGCTCCAGACGTCTTCGAGGAGCTACCCATCGAGATACGGAGCCTGACCGAGAGGTAAGGGCACCCGAATCATCCAGCATGATGTGCATACTAATCGTAACAGGTTTCTCGAGTCCCTGTCTGCCAAGGTCCACCCGAGCCCCCCTACCGCCGACAGTCTCTCAGACCTTTTCCAGGACTTCTACCAGCGTGCCTCGGCCAAAATCAACACGCACATAGCAACTCTTTCAGCACGCCTGACAAGCGAGACGTTCATATCGCAGGCGAACAAAGGCTCAGCCCCATCAAGCAGGGCGGGTTCGATAAGAAAGGGCAGCGACTCTAATGCAGAACAGCAGATGCTTAGTGCGTCTGAGATGTCAGACAGGAAGAAGGCCAGGAAATTGCTGGAAGCTAAGAGAGCGTCTCTGGAAGAGGCTGTTGAGCGAGCTGTTTGTGAGAAGGTGTATGATAGGATATGGCGACACAGAAGTACAGACGATGAGGAGAGGGACCACAAGCTCAGGTCGCGAACTGCGGCGTTGACTCTAGTTGGCATTGGATTGAAGGAGCTCCTGATGACTGGTGAGGAGATGACCGAGGAAGAACGGAACAAAGCCAAAGAGAAGGAGCCTGAGATTAGAGAGTTCCTGTCCGCTGCTCGGCAAGACATCATGAAGATGAACCACGAGAAGTACCCGCTTGGTAAAGTGCTACATCTTACAGCAGCGCACAAGTCGATCGTCGATGCTCTATCGAAGATCTTCCCAGCAACTTCGTCCGCCGACGAGATCCTGCCGACTCTCATCTACGCCCTGATCACCCTACCGCCAGTGTATGTCAACGTCATCAGCGATCTGAAGTTCATCCAGAGGTTCCGCGGCTCGAGTCGTATGGACGGCGAAACGGCCTACTGTCTGGTCAATCTGGAAGCAGCCATCTCTTTCTTAGAGACCGTGGACCTGTCATCGCTGCGCGCTGAGGAAGGAAACACATTAGAGAGGACAAATTCGCGGCCATCGACGCCAAAGACAGAAGTTACGCCCATGCTGCTAGGGCTATCTGATGCCCCGGACTTAGTACAGACACCAGCAACACCAACTTCGAGAACGAACTACAATGAGCCTGCAAGCCCGGCAACAACAAAGATTCAGCGCCGACTTAGTAATCTGGTGCAGGCTCAGACGAACCGGATTGAATCAGCTTCAGATGCTGTTCGTGAGTCGATTCTTGACTCTGCTGACCAGGCAATGGGCAGGATCAACAACACACTTGATACCAGTTTCAAGTTCTTCTTTGGCGGGTTACGAGAGCGGGACCCGAACAACGCAGCAGTCGAACAGCCTGCGTTACCAAAAACTTTGGAGGAAGTGCGAGAACTTGTCAGCTCCCCAACACGCGGCCTACACGTTGACGATGACGACCGAAGTGTCAGCGCAGCAAGTGAAGATGATCGCCAGGAACCGCCGCCCAAACAGGACCTCAACGCCCGGATGAGTGACTTGTTTGCCGGCAAGCGTCAAGTGCGCGACCGCAGTGTTGACTCTGCACGGTCTGGCGGGAGCAACAGCGCACGGCGTGTAGCATTTGCTTCGAAGGTCATCGATGAGAAGACTCCATCACCAGCAGTAGCTAAGACCGAGCCAGCGCCTACGACCCCGTCGGCCGTCGATTCTCTCCGCAGTCTGGGCAACAGCTTCAACCCTCTGAACACGTTCAGGAGCGTGAACGTACTCCCGCGTTTTGGCCGTGCCGTCAGCAGCGCAAGCTCACCGACACCGCCATCGCCTACACCTGAACAGAACAAGACCCCGCCAGTGACCATCCTGGAACCCCTCAGCCGCACAGCAACGACTGAAGTGGCGCCCGTCGACGAGAAAGGAGCGAGGGCAATCGCAGCATTAGAGCAGATGAGGAAAACAGCGCCACCGCTCAAAAAATTCCGGGACGCCAAAGATGCGCAAGACCTCAAGCTGAAGGAGGTCGATGAGCTTTTGAAAGATTACCAACGGCTTGTCGCAGCGATGTCAACGGCGATCCAACAACTGTAGATTTTAGCGCAGCATTAGTTGTACATACATGGAGCGAGAGCGTTAGTAGATCAGGCGCCGGACATTTTGTAGACCCGCACATATCGAGTTCCTAGACATTTACTTGACGGTTTCCATGAGTGAGGACTGCTGGGATGGCGATCGGCGGGTGAAGGCTGAAACGCCGAACCTGGCAAACGTAGCAACCGCACCTTCCCGAACTCGGCTAAACCATAACAACATCAACATCAACACGATCCTCGCGCCTCCACACTTTGACACTGACGACACAGCATTGACGCGCTTTATGAACCTCGTGCGCCATGGCGGAACCAATGTCGACGCTCTCTCCGGAGAAAGTGAACGCAAACTCGAACGCTATGCATTACGAAGACGACCTCGATATTTTCGATGAGGGGCCCTCGAGCCCGTTCCTGGAGGACGTCGAGCCAGACGACCAAGAGAACATTGCGCCCAGTATCGCCGCAACACCTGTCAAGCAGAACTTGATCGATTTCGAGGACGACAATGTGCCACAGTCGGCATTCAAGATCGAGTCCGGAAAGAAGACCGGATTGAAAGAGCGCAGCAGCCCTTCCAAGAAGTCGCCAGTTAAGAACCTTATGGAGGACTTTGAAGAGGCAGCAGCAGCGTCGACACCAAATAGAAGCCGTGCCAGCTCTCTCAGAAGCTCACCGAGCAAGCAGCAACTTCTCGAGGATCCCAAAGCCCCCACAACACAAACACCTGACAGGAGCCGCACAAGCACGCTGAGAGGTTCGCCACTCAAGTCACCGTCTAAGTCACCAGCCAAGTCGTGTATGGCTGACGAGCGCCCGGGTTCTTCAGATAGCGCTCGAACCCGCAAGAGCCGATCGCCTTCGAAGTCATCTGTCCTTTCCTCCGTGCCCTCTGATTTTGACATTGAGGCTACACCACGCGCACCTTCCCTCGGCGCCGCCATCGACCTTGCACCCACATCTTCGAAGCGACCATCGCCATCACAAACACCCTCGAGACGTGGGGCTGACCTGCGCGACAATGAAGGTCTCACAGTCGCGGCGAACAGGTTTGTGGAGGATGAGGATCTCGACCGGAGCCATAAGAGACGAAAGTCGCACGAGAATCAGTATGAGGTAAACATGGAGGCCGACATAACAGATTTCAACCCAGATGCAACAACGCCTGATTTCGATGATACTCGCTTCAGCGACTTTTCAGAGATGCCTGGCCTTGACATGACCAAGTTTGCGACTTTCAGAAAGAGCCCCACAAAGAAGGGAGATGTAAGTGAAAGAAAACGCTGAGGTTTACTCGGCACTGACGCGTCTACAGGCGACACCACGTGCACGCCCACAGATGACTCCTTCGACGGTCCGCCGCTCGGAACGCACACCTTCCCCCACACCCCGCCGATCGTATAGAGACAACGATACTACAAACCTGTTGCTTGATTTCACAGCACAGATCCAGTCATTTGCGGCTTCTCAGAACAGCACTCCCTCGCACACTAACGGCAAGTCGACCGCAGAGCCGACTCTCCGCTCGTACTACCAAAGCAAGCGCTCGCCAGCTAAAGCCGGTCATGTCTCATCTGCACCTGGTCAAAATCGCCCATTGCTGAACCTTCTCGATTTCGAGTTGCCCCCACCACCCACACCGCGGTCGCTGCCGACGGTGACCATACGCGAGATGGAGTCTGTCAAGTCGCAATTCCAGTCCCAGATCTCTTCGCTCACTGCCAGTCTATCAGGCAAAGAAGCGGAGGTCGAGTCTTTGTCAAGAGCAGTCGCGGACGCTGAGCGTCGCGTAGGTGAAGCACAAGAGGCCGTGCGCGAGGAGCGATCAACTCGCGAGTATGCTGAGGCGCAGATGGAGGACTGGAAAAAGAAGGGAGAGGAGGTGCAGACCATTCTCCAAGACGTGCAGTCTGAGCTTGCGCGCAACGATGAAGAGCGCGACCAGCTGCTCGCACGCTTGGCCGAAGTAGAGAGGCGTGCTGAAGATGCAGAGAATCGCTCGACGGAGCTCGAAACCAGACTCATCGAGGCTGAGAGCAAGAACGTTGACATGACTACCTTCATCAACAATGACGAGGACGAGGACAAGAAGACCTACTCGGAAATTGAGTGCCAGTCTGCAATCGCCGAAAAGGTCAACGAGGTCGCGCGGGATCTCCACACTGCCTACAAGGCGAAGCATGAGAAGAAGATTAAGGCGCTCAAAGAGAACTACCAGAAGAAGGCTGATGAGCGCTGCAAAGAGCTTCGCGTCCAGATCACGAAGCTAGAGAGACAGATTGGTGATGCGGAGGATAGGCGCGACGACACGTTCAGCAAGTTCGAGGAGATAGGGTCCAATGGCCCCTGCGAGACTTGTGCAAGAAACGCAGCTGCAGGACCTGTCTCCAACCCTGAAGATCTTCACAACCTCGAAGTCCAGCGTTCTGAAATCGAGAGCCTCAAGGCTAAGCTCGCCGGTCTGCAATCCGAACTGCACTCGCTCCGCAAATCGCAACGAAATCTCCTCGAAGACCTCGAAGCCGAGCGCGTCGAAAAGGGCGAACTCGTCGCAGCAGCAGAACAAATGCTCGTCCTCTGCGGCGAGAAGATGGAGTCTATGCAACAAGAAGAAGACTTCCGTCGCAGTCAAGCAGCACCCGCACAATCTCCCCTTGAGCCGCGCCCAACATCCAGACCAAGACAGCAGCCAGCCCCCGAGCAGGCAATGCGTAACACGGGTTTCCTCGCCGGTGGTAGCTCCGTCAACTCCTCTGCCTCGCGCCCTGGCTCTTCGCTCGCAAGCAGCCGCTCCGACGCCAAGCCCAAGGCAAGCGCTATGCGCGCGCCTGGAGGCTTTGGGTTCAAGTCCACGGGCGAGTCAGCGCTGAGTAGAAGTCAAAGTGGTGCGGGTAAGAGCAGGCTCTTATCTAACATTGAGCGCATGGGTGGGACCAAGGGCCAGGAGTAGAATGCCTGGCCAGGTAGTTTGAAAAGTAGGTTTGGCAGTGTTTGGGGGGTCCGGACGGTTTCCACTACGAGCACGGCGTCTGTAGATAGCACGGGTGTGGATGAATGACGGGCTATGTATACCTACCTACATGGGCGTCTTGGATAACGGAGGCGGTGTGATCGGGTTTGGCTGGGTCGGGTCGTGACGGAATGACCTATGGTCGTGCGCTCACTTAGGGTCTGCTTGCGGTCTTTGCACGCTTTTGTTTTGTATACAGTGTACAGTGCACGACCAACGTATCCTTTCTTGTCTGCGCTCAATCCATTCATCTTCCCTGTACGGCATGTCTCTACAAGAGGCTTTGGGCACCTGGTGAGGGTTCCGCCGCCCAAGTGCAAATGAAACACGACATCTGAATAGGATAGAGAGACCGAGACATGGCTCTTGACAGGGTGCAGGTCGAGCTATCCTACCTTGCGAGGACACGTCAGGACAACATGCTCAGAGAGTGTGACCTTTTCGCTTAACTTTGCAGCCTTAATGAAGTCTGACGTCTGAATTGTTGATCCCAACTCGTACTGCTAAGAAGAACGAGACAACCGTGCACTTCCAAGGGCATTGGCAACAGCCAGCTTGCGAGTTCTGATACATCAGCGGGTTGGCAGTGGATGATCATAAAGAGATCGGGGGTTTCCAGAGACTTGGCAAGCAGGATATCACCAGTCTTGTCCTCCGTGCCCGCGAGTTGCACCGTATGAGTGTGTTCCTCGAGGAACCGCGGATGTCGTCGGATGTCGTCGGATGTAGTCGATCAGCCAGAGGTTTCGGTCATCGAGCAACGTAGCTAATGTAAGCTATTCTCAGGTTCCGCTGGTGACCAGTTGTACCTATCAGTTACTTCTGTTGTGCATTCATTGCCGCGCCGAGAGTTGTTGTATAATTTCAGATGGACGCTACACGTGAGGCCCTCCAACTGAGGGCCTCCAGGGCTGCTTCGGTCTTGCAGTACACTTACTGCGACTGTGTGGGCACAGCATCTTACCCCAACGCTTCCTGTGATGTTTCGAACCAATGCAATTTATTTTGCGCATGGCCCTAATATGTGTGCTCAGGGGCGAATAGCCGATAGGTGCAGCAGTACAGCCAAACTTAAAGATGTCGGTGTTGATAGCGCAAACGGAAGGCGCACCACAACGCCAATCAATCGTGCCGCGGGGGTGCTCTTTCCGGCATGAGTCAATGTACACGTGACATGACGACACCTCCTTGATCTCCCTAATCGTGCCGTCGCTCAGCCTTCGAGCTTTCACCACACCAGCAATCGCTATAGCCCACCAAAGGGCTTCCCCTAAGAACTACACAAAGCGTGCCGCCGACACGCTTGCATATCGCATCCATAGCAGGAATCCCTGCCCTGCCGCGAACGCGTCCACCCCGCATCAGCGACGGTAACAACGCGACCAGGACGAACACCGCGTGACAGTCAGCAAACACTCATCGAAAAGAAACTTGGAATGGATCATCTTCGCACCAGAGTCATGGCTTATTCGTGGTACTCCAACCTCCCTAAGACCGAGAAGTTTGGCCATATCATTCTTGTCAGCGGTAACGGTCGCCACGGAGTCTGAACGCGCCGCGTGAGACACGAATTATTCCTACACATCCATCTATCACAGCACAAAAGCACACTGCGAAACCCGACCTTACGACTTCGAAGTTAGCAAGGCAGTATTACTCGACTAAAGCTGCCAAAGATCGCACAAAGCTTTTTCACACTCACCAACAAAGCACGCGTAAAGGACGCGATTTCTGCATTTGTGGTGAAAGGTGCCCTACAGCAGCCCCAGCGTTGTTTTATCTCAGGCTGATTTGTCCTGGCCTTGACGCGTTCTGTAACAGGAAGTTGGAGAGCAAACTTTCGAATTGACCCGAGCCCGGCCCCAAGCGTTCCAGACCACCGTTTCTGGAATCATCCGCAACATGTCCTCCAACACACGGCGCGTCCGAAGCGACGTTTCGGCAAATGCGATCTTCACTCCACGGGAATTTAAGCAGTATCGACGATGGCAAAATTTGCACACGACGTTGAGGCCGAACGAGCAAGGCTTTCTCCCGACAGCAGATGAGCACGAAGACTTCCAACAATGGCTCCGGAAACAGGACTCTGGATATTTCTCCGATGTATTTGAAGATGTGGCGGAGCACATCAAAACTCCCACCGCAGACGAGCCACCTACAGCAATTCTGTGTCGCCATATGATGCATCCAAGCACAGCTGGTCATCTTGTAAAACGATGTCCTGTCTGTACAGTCGACATGTACATCAGCTACATGCGCGCACTTGAGAAGGCGCTCAAAGGTGCCGGAGGGCGTGCACCACGAGCCGCTATGCAAGCGACGACAGAGCAGCAAGAAGCCTTGTATGCTGCTTTTATGATGGGGAAGCTAGAAGTGCTCCATTGCTTGGAGGAGTTCGAGCAACAGGCCGAAGAGGAACAACGGTGGCGGGAACATCACAAAGACTGGAAGAACGAAGACGTGCGAACAGCAAGCCAAGCGCTGGATTTGTATTGGTCTGAAGCATTCGCTCTCGTGGGTCTGCAGCCATCACAGCCAAAGAAGAAGAAGTCGGTCAAATTCACACCAGGCACTGAGTTTTGTGTGAGCCGACCCGAGGAGTACTTCAAACGGCGGTCTCCGCGGTACACGCCGGGAAAGTACACTGTACGGATGCAAGACGACGAAGATGAGGAGGTAGAAGAGGAAGGCGAAGAGATGGTCTCGGAGGATTCCGAAGACTATGCCCGTGCTCCAATCCTGCTTGAGCAAGGACCGCTCATCGTTGGCCAGAACATCGCCGTCTACGACTTCGCTCAGACAATTGGCGTGTTTACGGATACTATACGATCGTACGAAGCCGGGATCCGAAAAGCAGAGGCCACACCGATTGGTAGCTTCGAAATCCCTCGGCTAGAACTGATGGATGATGAGGAGGAGGATGAGGACGGCGATGATGATAGCGACTGCGATTGGGACATGCAGGACGATGAGACAGACGGCAGTGACTACATTTACTTCGAAGCTGAAGAAGATTGCAGCTTCGTGGTCTTTGGAGAAGATTGAGTAGGCAGGCAAGAGAGATCACCGACATGATCCATTCCAAAGTGCTCGTTGATCTAACAGAAGTATCACGGCCACGCAGCACGTCATGCTCAACAGAGCCATCCGTGCCAGCCATGGATGGCGAGGCCAGAGCCCCAATGAAGACATCGGTGTACAATGCGCCAAGACCGCATATAACCTGTTGGCACTATCACTTCTATAAATGAATCATGAAAATCGTTTTCGTTCAATTACCTTGCGAAGTTTGAGTACTTGCTCGACAGATCGTTGTTGAAATGATGTGCAATATGTACGCCAGACGATACAGGCTGGTCCTTCCTAGAACATCACGATAGATGATCGAAGCAAATGTAGTAGGACAGTCAAAGGGTATGTTCATAACACAGCCTAACCAAAGCACAAGCTCAACACCCACCCAGACCCAACCTACATGACGACACAGCAAGAATTCTGCTTCTTCGCCTGCGTGTAGAACATCTTGCTCTGCGCGCTCAACCCATCGCTCTTCGCAACCAAGTTGTCAATCTTCTCGCCCCTCTCCAGCACGCTCTCAATGGTCTTGTGCAGCACAATCTTGGTCTCGTCGAGCTCCTTCTGGATCTTGACAATGCTGTCCGCCTGCGCCGGGTCCTGGTACTGGGCAATGTACTGCTTGAGCTCCGGGAAGCTCAGCTGCGGCGAGCCCTTTGCGAAGTTGGCGTACGCGGTGCGCGGGTACTTGGAGACGAACTCGTCGACGATCTTGGAGAGGACGCGGTGGGCGACCATGGTGGGGTATTCGTCGTCGGTTATCACGATGCCGCAGACGCCTTCGGTGCGGCCGTAGGCGTGGAATGTGTACTCTGGGCGGCGTTAGATTGGGATGGGGCTCGGGCAGGGTGCAAGGACCTTTCTCTTCGACATCCTGTCGCTGACCGGGCCGTGTGCGCTGGGCGACTTCGCCGGCGAAGAATGTCAACTGGCTGCTGTCAGCTCTCGCCTTCGCTTCCTGCCTGGGTTTCGTAGGGGAGGCGGTGGGCATGCGGCTCTTCGCCGGGCGAGAGACGTACGAACTCGGCGACGCTGCCTCTTGTGAAGCGACCGTACGACGACAAATCGCTCTCGTGGGTCAGCTCGACGGCAGGCTTGGCCTCGTTGTTGAAGATCTGCGTACTCGGTCAGACATATGCGTCGCCAGCGGCGGTGAGAGGGGCGCCTACACCGATGTACACAACCTTCATGGCGGCGGTGGGTGCAGTCGGACGGCAAGTGGAAGGGGCCAAGTAGAAGCAGCAGAGCTATGTCTGTACGCAGTCGAACTATCTTTGTAAGCAGTAGAGCTGTATCTGTAAGCAGTGCAGGCGTACTGTGGCTGCTGGTCTGTCTCAGGTGCATGGACGTAGCCGTGATGCGCTGCCACGCTAGTGACGTGGGGGATGGGGAGTGGGGCAGGTCGACGCGACCGTGCATGCAGTCACCGTCATCGATGGGAAACTTTGGACGAGGCGACTCTTTCGACTCACATCGGCTCACGCAGCTTGTGTAAACAACAAAAATCTGTCGTTTGAGCGTCAGACGCACGGAGAGGATCGTGCCCCACCATGTCGTCTTCCATGGACGCAGCACAGGCGCAATGGCTGGAGCAGCTCGCCACTATGCGCAAGGCCATTGCAGAGTTGAACCTGCCTGCCAATGCCGAGAAGGCACCAGCATATGGCGACGACATCGAGTTCGACGACGATGACTTCTCAGGCACGGCCAGCGGAGAAGACATCTGGGACGTCATCAGCGACGAGTACGAGGATGAGTACAGCAGTGACCACCTCGAACCGGTCCAGGAGAGTGCCAGTGGAAGCAGCGCTTACGACCAGCAATGGCTGAGCAAGAAGTGCGAGGGTGTTTCCCAAAGAGGTTCTGGTCTAGATGCAGGCGCGCTGAAGGACCAGATCTTGGCCATCTTGAGCAGTGACAGCAACAATGAAGAGCTGCAGATGATGTTAGCAGACATTGTCGGCTACGAAGAGCTTGATTTGGTTGCCGACCTGATTGCTCACCGAAGGGACATCACTCGATCGCTGCTTGAGCCAAAGCCTGGAGAAGACAACGGTATCTCAAGCCGTCTCATGACACGAGCAGAGCGCGAAGAAGCGTTGCGCAGACAAGACTGGGAGCATAAGAATGCTTCCCTCTCGGCTGCAGTCGATCGTACCGGACCTCAGTATCCCCACGTCTATCAAACCTACTCAGCGGGCAATAAGCTCTCTGCTTACGGCAAGAAGTACGCGCTTCCCACAAACCACAAACATTACGATGACAATCTCTACGAAGAGTACGAAATCCCCGCAATGCCAGTCGGAACTATTGGAGTGGGTCGCAAGCTTGTTGAGATCAATGAACTCGATGGCTTGTGCCAGCGGACATTCAAGGGTTACAAAGCCCTCAATCGCATGCAGAGCCTTGTATACCCCGTGGCGTACAAGACAAGCGAGAACATGCTCATTTGCGCGCCTACTGGTGCCGGTAAAACAGATGCTGCGATGCTCACTATCCTCAACATCATCGGAAAGAACATGATCCCCAACCCAATTGAGGAACCCGAAGCCACCGACTTCACGGTCATGATGGAAGATTTCAAGATTATCTACGTGGCACCCATGAAGGCGCTCGCCGCTGAAGTCACGGAGAAGCTGGGGAAGCGCCTGGCCTGGCTTGGCATCAAGGCACGCGAATTGACGGGAGATATGCACCTTACCAAAGCTGAGATCCTAGACACCCAGATCATCGTCACAACACCCGAGAAGTGGGATGTTGTGACGAGAAAGAGCACGGGAGACACTGAACTGGTCCAGAAGGTGCGCCTGCTCATTATCGACGAAGTCCACATGCTGCACGACGAGCGCGGTGCCGTGTTGGAGAGTTTGGTGGCGCGAACACAGAGACAAGTCGAGAGCACACAGTCTCTTATTCGTATTGTTGGTCTTTCCGCTACATTGCCCAATTACGTCGATGTCGCCGACTTCCTCCGTGTAAATAAGATGGCCGGTCTGTTCTACTTCGACGCATCCTTCCGTCCAGTTCCTCTTGAGCAGCACTTCATCGGCGCAAAAGGCAAGCCCGGAACGATGAAATCGCGAGAAAATCTAGAACAGGTGGCTTTTGACAAGGTCAAGCAGATGCTGGAGCGGGGGCATCAGATCATGGTCTTCGTGCATTCTCGCAAAGACACCGTCAAGACAGCAAGAAGACTATTTGACCAAGCCACGGAAGACCAATGCGCAGATCTTTTTGATCCAACAGAGCACCCCAAGTATGATGCCGCTGTTCGCGATATGAAGCAGTCCAAGGGACGAGAGCTTCGTGAGTTGCTAGGCAAGGGCATGGGCACTCATCACGCTGGTATGCCTCGCTCTGACCGAAACATGATTGAGCGCCTTTTTTCCGAGGGTGTCATCAAAGTCCTTTGCTGTACAGCGACCCTCGCCTGGGGTGTCAATTTGCCAGCCGCCGCTGTTCTGATCAAGGGCACACAGGTGTATAACTCTCAGGAGGGCAAGTTCACGGATCTGGGTATCCTTGACGTTCTCCAAATTTTTGGTCGCGCTGGTCGTCCTCAATTCCAGGACACGGGTATCGGGTTCATCTGCACTACCCATGACCGCCTTGACCACTACATGCGAGCTATCACAGAACAGCAGCCGATCGAGTCTAGGTTCTCATCCAAACTTGTCGACAACCTCAATGCTGAGATCTCGCTCGGCACTGTCACCACAGTGTCAGAAGCTGTTCAATGGCTCGGATACTCCTATCTTTTTGTGCGCATGCAGAAGAGTCCTCTGCTCTATGGCATCGAATGGGCTGAGATCAGAGATGATCCGCAGCTCGTGGGCAGGAGGCGTAAGCTCATCATCGATGCTGCTCGCATCTTGCAGAAGAGCCAGATGATCATCTTCAACGAGACCACAGAAGACCTCCGCTCCAAGGATGTGGGCCGCATTGCCAGTCAATTCTACGTGCAGCAGTCGAGTATCGAGATCTTCAACACCATGATGCGCCCTCGAAGCACAGATGCCGACGCTCTTGCCATGGTCAGTATGAGTGGCGAATTTGATCAAGTGCAGTCCCGCGAGACCGAAGAGAAAGAATTGTCGGCGTTGAAAGAAGAAGGCTATGTCATCACCGAAGTCAAGGGTGGCTATGCGACAGCGCACGGCAAGACGAACTACCTTCTGCAAGCTCATATCTCGCGCGCACGACTCGAGGACTTCACGCTTGTCTCCGATACAAACTATATCACACAGAACGCTGCGCGCATCGCCAGAGCATTGTTCATGATAGCACTTAACAGGCGCTGGGGTTACCAATGTTTGGTCTTGCTCAGTTTGTGCCAATCGATTGAGCACCGAGTGTGGTCCATTGAGCACCCGCTTCATCAGTTTGATTTGCCTCAGCCAGTGCTGCGTGCGCTGGACTATAGGTACCCTTCCATTGAAGCTTTGCGTGACATGGAGCCACGAGAGATTGGCGATCTTGTTCACAATACTAAGATGGGCGGCGTCATCTCGAAGCTGCTGGACAACTTCCCTACATTGGGCATCGAGTCCGAGATCGCGCCACTGAACCGCGACGTTCTACGTATTCGTTTATGGCTCACACCAGAATTCAGATGGAACGACCGACACCACGGCACGTCAGAGTCGTTCTGGGTCTGGGTGGAGAACTCCGAAACTTCCGAGATCTACCACTACGAGTACTTCATCCTGTCTCGTAAGAAGCTCTACGACGACCACGAGCTGAACTTCACAATCCCGCTTACAGATCCGCTTCCGACGCAGATCTACGTCCGCGCTGTCTCCGATCGATGGCTTGGTTCAGAGACCGTACATCCCATCTCTTTCCAGCACCTCATCCGACCGGACACTGAGAGCGTCTACACTGATCTGCTCGATTTGCAACCACTGCCCGTCGGAGCTCTCAAAAACCCGCTTCTGGAAGAGCTGTACGCGCAACGCTTCCAGTATTTTAATCCGATGCAAACGCAAATTTTTCACTGTCTGTATCACACTCCAGCAAACGTGCTTCTCGGATCACCCACAGGTAGTGGTAAGACCGTCGCAGCCGAGCTTGCCATGTGGTGGGCCTTCAGGGAGAAGCCAGGCTCCAAGGTCGTCTACATCGCACCTATGAAGGCACTTGTACGAGAGCGTGTGCAGGACTGGGGCAAGCGTCTGGCAGGTCCAATGGGACTCAAACTTGTCGAGTTGACTGGTGACAACACACCGGACACGCGCACTATCCGCGATGCAGACATCATCATTACGACGCCAGAAAAGTGGGATGGTATCAGTCGTAGCTGGCAAACCCGTGGCTATGTTCGACAAGTCAGTCTGGTGATCATCGATGAGATCCACTTGCTCGGTGGCGATCGAGGTCCCATTCTGGAGATCATCGTGTCACGCATGAACTACATCGCTTCACAGAAGAAGGATGGCTCTATCCGCCTTCTGGGCATGTCGACTGCCTGTGCGAACGCTTCAGATCTCGGCAACTGGCTTGGCGTGAAGGAAGGGCTTTTCAACTTCCGTCACTCGGTTCGTCCTGTTCCACTCGAAATCTTCATTGATGGCTTCCCCGAACAGCGAGGTTTCTGTCCGCTCATGCAGTCAATGAACAGGCCTACGTTCCTCGCCATCAAGCAGCATTCGCCTGAGAAGCCAGTTATCGTGTTTGTGGCCTCGCGCCGTCAGACACGCTTGACCGCTCGCGACCTGATCAACTTCTGTGGAATGGAGGACAACCCTCGACGTTTTCTCCGCATGTCTGAAGACGACCTGGCTCTAAACCTCGAGCGCGTCAAAGACGACGCATTGAAGGAAGCACTCAGCTTCGGTATTGGCCTGCATCACGCCGGTCTTGTCGAGACCGATCGTTCGCTGTCTGAGGAGCTGTTTGCAAACAACAAGATCCAGATCCTCGTCGCCACCAGTACCCTGGCTTGGGGTGTCAACTTGCCGGCCCATCTTGTTGTTGTGAAAGGCACGCAGTTTTTCGACGCCAAGTCTGAAGGCTATAAAGATATGGATCTCACAGATGTGTTACAAATGCTGGGTCGTGCCGGTCGGCCTCAGTTCGACTCGTCAGGTATTGCGCGCATCTTTACGCAAGACGCAAAGAAGGAGTTCTACAAGCACTTCTTACACACCGGTTTCCCTGTCGAGTCCTCCCTCCACAAGGTGCTGGATAACCATTTGGGCGCCGAAATCTCAGCTGGCACCATCGGCACGAAGCAGGATGCTCTTGACTACCTGACATGGACCTTCTTCTTCCGCCGCCTACACAAGAACCCTTCCTTCTACGGTCTTGAGATCTCCGCCGAAGAGCACAATACCATTGCAGCTCAGACAATGGCCAACGACTACATGGTTGACCTCGTTGAGACCTCGCTAAAAGAACTCCACGACTCATCCTGTGCGCAGGTCGACCCCACCGGCGAAGTTGACTCGACGCCCCTTGGCAAGATAATGTCCTACTACTACCTCTCGCACAAGACAATCCGCTACCTCGTCAAGCACGCAAAGCGTAACGCCACCTTCCTTGATGCGCTTACCTGGATCTCGCACGCAACCGAGTACGATGAGCTCCCCGTGCGACACAACGAGGACCTCATCAACGCCGAGCTCTCCAAAGCCCTGCCGCTGAGCGCAGACCACTTCGGCCTGCCCATGTGGGATCCGCACGTAAAGTCTTTCCTACTGCTACAAGCGCATTTCAGCCGCATCGACCTGCCGATCAGCGATTACGTGGGCGACCTGAACAGCGTGCTGGACCAGTCGATTCGAATCGTGCAAGCAAGCATCGACGTTCTGACCGAGCTGGGCTACGCATCGAGCTGCACGCAGATGATTACACTCCTCGCATGCATCAAATCCGCACGCTGGCCCGACGACGGCCCGCTCAGCATTCTGCCCAACGTCTCCCCCGCAGACGAGAAGAAGCGCCTCGAGCACCCCCGCGCGTCGCCGAAGACGCTCACCCAAGCACCAACACTCTCGCCCGCCAATCTTGAAACGGCACTCCGCCACGCCGGCGTCGCGCCCGCGGCGCTCAAACGCGCCGCCGAACCCATTGCCCGCCTACCCGTCCTGTCCCTCGCCCTCGGCGCATACAATGCGCTTTCCTGCAGCGTGAACCTGACGCGTCAGAACGCTGCGCGCGTGCAGAACGGTGGCGTCCGCATCTACGCGCCCCGCTACCCGAAGCCGCAGACAGAAGGCTTCTTCCTGGTTCTGTCGTACAGTAGCTCCGACGATATCATTGCGCTGAAGCGCGTCAATTGGGTCGATCCTACGCGCTCTGGTCCTGGTAGGCGCGGTCGTGGCGGTAGGGAACAGAACCCGATCGCTGCCGGCAGTGGTGCTGGTGGTGGTGCTCGGGGATCGAAACTGCACGCCTCGGCCAAGGTGTTGCTGACACCTGAGGCGCAGGGGAAGAAGGTCGATATTAGCGTGTATAGTGATTCATATATTGGAATGAAGTGGAGTATTGAGGGAGTTGAGATCCCCATGGCGCCTGTTGTGGACGATGGCGGAAAAAAGAAGGAGGGCGGTGGCGTGTGGGATAACGATAATATGTAGGAGCACAGTAGATACAATTGAGATGTTCGTTGATTCGTAGGTTGGAGCAGAATCTAAGCATACCCTGTTCTACCATACCGTTCACTCATCGTACCATGCCTTGTCCATGTCTGCCCGTTATCTCTCATACTGCCGTGTATCCAATATCAACCTGATCTGATAAGACTCACAAGAACCAATCCGTGACCCCGTCCCACACCTTGCCGCCCCACGCATCATCATGCTCTTCGCTCTGTGCCTTTCTCGTCGGCTTGACCCTCATAGCCTCTCTCAAAGTCGGCCATTCCACAGCGCTCGTGTACACAACCTCGGGCTCGACCTTCGCATTCCACAGCTCTTCCTTCACAGACTGCACGGAAGGCTCATCCTAAGAGCGGAACGATCCATAGTCCCCCTCGCTCCAGTCATCTGAGACGCGTGCTGGATATGGCGAAAAGGAAGGGGTTCGCGGAGGCGACGGAAGTGTAACAGGAGACGAAGACACGATCAGCGGGGCGCTCGGATTCTGCATGGATGCATTCGAGACTGTCCGCAAAGACAGCGATGAGCTTGTTCGACGGGCGTGCAGGTTGGGAGAGACCGTAGTCCAGTCCTCGTCTGAGTCGACAGGCACACCCTCAATGACCTCTAGACCCTCAAATTCAGAACCCATGCCCTCTGATGATGAGGTAGCTAGGCCTTGGAAATCGAAGTATGCCCCCTCTGATGAAGGTGTACCCATTACGGCGTCACCGTCGGAAGAGTCACTCTCAAGATCTTCTCCTAGATCTGTGAGATTGCAACCCGCATGGGAGCTTCTCGGTATGGCAACGGGAGAGGACGCAGGCAAGTAGTCCAGATCAGAGTCTGTCATGGTCGTCTCGACAGGCGCCTGTGGACCGTTCATTGTAGTGTTTAGAGGAGATGCGCGCCGTTGAGTCTGGATTTGTGCCATAAACTCACCGATAGTCTGTCTTGAACGCACGGAGGTTGATGGAGCACAAGACAATCCAGGAGCAATGTGTGCCGCTTGCGCGTCTGCTGCACCTAGATTGGCCAAGCGGCGAGGGGATGCGCGCAAATCGCCGATAAGGCCTGCTGCTTCCATCTCGGATTGTGGATTCACGATGGCGTGGTTGAGTGTCTCCATCGCTTTATCCAATGAGGATATGTCGGAGTGAGAGTTATCCATTGGCAAGCTTGCTTTGGCCCCCCCAAGGCGGGCTTCCACGAAATCAGCGGGACTCTCAGCAGAGGGTGAGTCTTTTGAGTGAACGATCACGTCTACTGGGATGTCTGCGGTGCCAGAGCTACTCGTGTGGGCCATACGACGAGCATCCATTGTCCGCATCTGAGGTCGAAGCGTATTCGCATCGTCCAGCGGGACCGTCCCAGTACTTGAACCTTCACCCGAAGCGGTCCTGACAGCGAGATCCTTAGCCTGGAGTGCTTGCTTGTGGCTGTCGCACCAGCACTCTGGGGCATGACCCATCTTGAGGAACTCCTTTTGTATTATGCGACGACCTGGAGGATCCGGAGTGAAGGTGAACTTGCTTTTCAACCTCATTGGAACTGCAGCTGTGTTCTTGAATAGGTCGTTAGGCACAGCCGACGGCGTCCAGGGGCGCGGTGGATATACAAATGGGTACGGAGACGCAACAGGTGCAGTGATCAAGGCTTTCGGAGAAGGATGGAAGACCGTGATACCCTCTGAAGTCTCCTGCCAGCTCCCAGATGACCTTTGCGGAGCAGGCGGGATCGTAGTCAGCATGGTTGAGGTGGGCGCCCACAACGCTTCTGGTGGCGAAGGTGTTGACACTATAGACTGCTTGGCCGGTGGCGGCAATGGGAAAGGGGCGGGCGATGTTGTAGAGATTGACTCTGACAGCGGCGTAAATGGAACAACTCCAAAAGCCGGGAAACTTTTGTAGGTGAGTGCGGCGTTGGTCGACAACAACGATGTCGTTGGCACCGCTCGCTGTGACTCTATCGCATTGCTCAGATGAAGAGCGGTGTTGCTGCTCCGAATATTAAGGCTGCAGTTTCCTGCGGGGAGAGCTGGAGTTAGTAGCGGAGGAGCAGATCGCCGACTCGATGAATTAGATATCCGAGGGGGAGGTGCTGATCCGGGTGCTGGGCTCCTCGGCCAGTATCCAGCGCAGTCCGTTGGAGATGCGAGGTCCTTGAGAAAAGCTGACAATGGAAAAGTAGGTGAGAGTTTTCGAGTTGATGTAGGCACGTCAGTCGAGGGACCCTGATCCAGTGTTGGCTTTTGCGATAGGGTCGTGACTGGTATATTTGTTGGCTCGACCCGGGCAGGTGGTGATGTCGATAGCGAGTCCGGACGAAATTGAGGGGCCCAGTGATGTGTGACAATGTTCAAATCAGATGTCGCGCCAGACGGTGGTCTGTGGTCTGTTTTTCGTGGAGCTGCTGTTGGCGCATTATCGTCCAAATGCAGTGCTGCAAACCGGTCGCAGAGCTCATCCACGCCATCCGCCTCAGGCTTTTCGCATGTCGTCTTCGCCGTGTGCTTCAGTCTCTTCTGCCTACCACCCCGCTTGCCCCTTTTTCTTGTGCTGGATTTCGAAGTGGGGACGTAATCGAAAGCCCACTTGGTTTCTGGAGAAGGGTTGAGCCCTGCTAGGACGCCGAACCGATTCGCTGAGCAATCTTAGCAAACAATCCAGAGTGCGAAGCGAGGGACTTTCTCACGTGTAGGTGCAAAATCGTTCTGGAGGCAAGCAGCGTGGTGCGTGTCCGATGGAGTGCCTGACGGGCACTCGAGGCAGCGATTATCTTTCAGTGCTCGCGCAGGAGACAAGCGTCGAATAGGTAGTCCGTTATTGCATGAAGTTCGTGGCTGTCTCAAGACCATAATCAGGTGCAAGGGTATGCAATGTGTATTAGGAGCTCTAGGAAAAAGAGAGATGTCGTCGTAACTCTAGGGTAGATAGCGAACGTGAGTGGCAGGGAGCGGGAGAGCAGACACGGTTCGGGGTGGGGGGGGTAAACATGGCGTTATCTCGACCACGTGTAGACACCTTGCGATGTGAAGACCAGGAAAGAAGCAGTAGCTAGGCGGGATGCATGTATGCAGGTGCGGAGAAGGATGCTTCGAGACAGACGCACTAACGACTACGTCTAATTGCAGTCCTGCTGTGTCCATTTTAAATATTACCTTCCCCAAGAAACAGACAAGACTATGATGACCGGCCGATATCAGCATATTTCATCAGCGTCCTGTGCCCGGTCGTGCTATTGCCATCACCTCGCATCCTCGACGGGTCTCATCATGTTGACGGGGTCAGGGTCCTGGCTGCGTCCTGGAGGTGTTGTGGTAGGTGCGTTGAGTGGTGCCACTGAGAGAAAGTAACGTGACTAGTGTTAGGTCGACAGGCCCCATGAGGCACGAACCAACGCTGAATTGTTGTTGGATGGGTGTCCACTGCTTCGTACTGCAACAAGACGCGTCGAAATTGCTGACTAAACACAATTGCGCTCTGGCTGCATGTCATAGCGCAGATTTATCTGTGGGGTCTTCAACTTGCGATCTCTCCGACGCACCCCACCGCTCGAACTCACGCCGCCCTCACACGTCCCACGGCGCTCCAGGATAATTGGCAAGCCCATTGATCCGCAATTATCTTGGAGTCGCTATTTCCAGACGCTGCTTCGACTGTTCGCACCCCAACCGCCATGGCCTCAATCTCTGCCGAGGCCGCTAGGCCAGTGCAGAAGCAGCAGGCGCGCCGCCCCGTTTCGCGCATTGTGCCTGCCATTCCTCTCCGTTTGTCGCGTAAGGCACCAGCTGCGAGACCCATCACGCCTGAAGAGTCGCACAAGGGTCTCGTGACGCAACTGAAGCAGGAGCCGGAGCCGCAGCCGCAGCCCCAACCGCCGGCACTGGAGGAGAGAACGGTCGAAGAGCAGCCGGCCGAAGCCGCCCAGACTCCTCTGACGCCGGAGTCTAAGACGTCTGTCGAGGTGCCTGAGGCTGAGGCGGAAGTTGAGGCTCCGGTTCTCACACGCTCTCCGGCGAAGTCGCTGGACGCTGAGGTGACGCGAGCAGCCGAAGCTCAAGGTGAGTCCTCATGCTGCAAAATTCCGAAACAGGCGTCGCAGCTGCTGACCAATGCCACTGCAGCCCCAGCACTCACCGACGCGCCCAGCCATTTGCACGAAGCCCGTCCCGCTGCTCCGGTCGACAGCAAGCCGCTCACGAACGGCGTGCATCGGAAAGAGCTCCCGCCAGCTTTTGTCCCGTCGAGCATGAGCGGCATGAGCACGCCTGTTGCTGAGAACCATGACAACGTCTTCCACCCGGCTAGACCGAGTGTAGACGGCCCCATGGGCGGTTTCATGCAAGACTCGCCAGCCCAGCCTGCCACTCCTCACGGCTACGAGACGGGTGGACACGGACACCGCCAGTCAGTGCCGCGCATTCCGCCTGGCTTTGCGCCGCCCGACTTCACGCCATCCTTCTTCCCTGGGCACTCCCACCATCCCTCGGACGCTGGAGCGCCTTGGCTCTACCCACCGTACTCAATGCCCCCTCCTCCGGAGCAAATGTACGGCAACGGAAGCGAATTCCAGTCGCCTCCGTTCACCGCGGGCCCTTCTGCCTACCCCGATCCCTACCAGAGCGCCTTCTCTCTAGAGGATCCCCGTTTTGCTGCGAACGGCATCGCTACCTCTCACTCGCAGTCGCCCAGCAAGTCACAGTTCGGTGAGGCTTTACCTGTCGCTGACCGAGTGGAGGTGCAACATGCACAGCCGCAGCAGAATGGTGCTGGACCGCGGAACGACGAGATGATCGAGTCGCCTTTCGAGCTTGCTTCTTACCTGTCTACCCAATTTGGCAATCCAGAATTCGCAGATTTTGTCTTGCAGGTCCGCTCGCCTGAGCTCCAGTACATATCTGTTCCTGTCCATGGAATTGTCGTTGTTCGCAGTCCAGTCATCGCCAATGCTGTCCGTCGCAGCATTCCTCCTGCCCATCGATCCAGAGACTCGCGCCGCCTTGTTGATGTGCTTACCACAAACCCGTTCGTCGGCAATGAGTCGATCCAAGAGGCCGTCAAGGTGCTCTACGGAGCGCCGCTTCTGTCAATGCAGGCTTTCTTATACGGTCTTGGCCATTACACTTCAGAGGTACCGCATCCCCAGGCATCAAAAGATGCTCGAAGGCGCATGGATCAGCTTCTGAGCTACGTTGCAGCTGGCAGTGTTTTGAAGATTCCCAGCATGCAAGCAAGAGGTGTTGAGATTGCCAAAGCGCTCCTTCGATGGGATACCGTAGAACGGGTCCTTCACTACGGTCTCCATGCGGCAAGAACGGCCCCTCGACCTAACGCCGATGGCGCCGAGGTTCATGATCCATTCGCCGCCGAGCTCTTGAATTCAGCCGTAGAGTTCATTGCGTACAACTTCCCTGCCGACTTCAACTTTTACAGGATCGCGTCCGAGCTCCAAGACGACCCCCGCTTGCCTAGCCTCACTGAAGCGCGCGCATCATCACACAACCCACGATTGAGCAAGATTCGCTTTGGAGATGCGCCCACAGACGATGACGCACAGATTAGTCCGGTCTCGAGAACACTGTCCAGCATTCTTTTGTCCTTGCCGCTCCCTCTCCTCGACCGCCTATTCAATCACCGAGCGACTGCCAACCAAATCGGATGGACTGGCGCTGCAAAGGTGCTGCACAGTGTTGTAGACGAGCGCGAGAGCCGTCGTCAGAAGGCTGTTCGAGCCCAGCTGCAGCTCGATAGTGCAGCGCCAAGTGCTCTGATGGACAACTTGTACGTTGAGGAGCGTGTTGAGCATGTTGGTCCCTCGCCCGTTCATCCTTCTGGCTACATGCTATCAGCGCATCGCGCCAACGGCCAGGCCTGATCCCTTCCTCATGTATGGCGCTGACGTTCGACTTGGATATACTGTCATGTTCGAACATTTTGATGCCCGTTTCCTACATTTCAACTTACATAAAAACTTGGGTGGGCTTGCTCTTTAGGGTGTATAGCATAGCGAGCGTTGGGCGTTGCGTACTGGTGTTTTGATCATGATTAATGGCACGGTCACCTTTTGGTGGGCGAAAAGCAAGGACGAGCGACGACGCATATTCCCCAAGATTACGACGGCATGGGACAGGCCCGGCTTGCGTTGTATACCATCAGCATTTTCCTTCACGCCCGTCGGCGTAGGCAGTTGCCCTAATGGGCGGAAAAATAGCATTCTTTGAAACTTTAAACCGGTCAGCAACATATGCGCCTCTGAGTCACCGAGTGTGGTTGAGGAATCACACGTCAACAGGACGAGTAAGCGTTGGTGATACTTCACAAGACAAGTCCTCTCTGAGACACAAGATGACTTGGCAGATCCCCGAGAGGGATGGTTGTCAGCTGCCCGTATCCGCTTGGAATCTCACAGAGGTATTCACAAATCTTCCAGCAATTGCTAGACAGCGGTGAGCGTCCTTCCGAAACGCCATGTTACGATTTTTCGCGCACGTTTTGCCATGTTCCTACGCCAATCAGACCGTAACGGCAGTTCAAAACGCCCATGTTTTGCAAAGGTGCGGAAATAACACGGAATTAGACGCATGACGCGACAAACTACGTTTTTTTGCCGTGCACTTCTCTCTCGACAATGGCCGAACAAGCTCAAACGGTTGAATGGACGTGCTGCAGGACGTGCCCACGCCTGCTCTCTTCGCTAAACAAGTGTCATTATTAATAGGAAGGGTGTTTTCCCGTTCTTATGATCACCTTACCCCGGACTTGTATTTCCTTGTCCCAAGGTTCTCGATTCTTGGACTCCTAAGGGCCGCATCGCACCCGTCTTGTCTCCTGGGCTCTTGACGACGTCACTGCGTGCGCATTGCTGCTGAAGCGACGTAAAAGATATTGTTTCTTGAAGGCAAATCGGAGGCGTCGAAAGTCGACACGACAGTTGATCACCGCATCTGCATCACCAACTGCCGGCCAAGACATGGATCACCAAACCGCCGCGGCGGTCTCCAACGCGGACGCTGGGTCGCGCAACCCCGTTCCAACCTCTCAGGGCGAGAAAATCACCCAAGACCCGACGCAGACGTCTCCCTTGTCGAGCCAGAAATCGAATGGTAGTTTGGCGATCAGAGATGCCCCGATCGAGGAAGTGCAAGAGAAGGCGCACGTGACGCATGATAATTGCGTCGCTGAGGAAGAGCAGGGCGGTGACGCTGATGGCGAGGGGTTGAGAAAAGTCAAGAGCAAATACAGCGTGCGCGACGCGGGGAGTATACCCAACGGCGGGCTGTGGGCGTGGCTCCAGGTCCTAGGCGGATTCTTCCTGCTGTTCAACAGCTGGGGCATCATCGTGCGTCTGCCCTTGTGACCATTTCATGCTACTCTTCTGACCACCAAACAGAACACGTTCGGCTCCTACCAAGCCTACTACGAAACCACACTCCTCTCCTCTTCCTCACCCAGTTCAATCTCCTGGATCGGCTCCATCCAAGCCTTCCTCCTGCTCGAAGTCGGCGCCCTCACAGGTCCCATCTACGACGCTGGTTACTTCCGCGAGCTCCTCCTCTTCGGCTCCTTCATGCTTGTCTTCGGGCAAATGATGCTGTCCCTCTGCACATCGTACTGGCAAGTCCTCCTCGCGCAAGCATTCTGCATCGGCATCGGCACGGGTGCATTATTTGTGCCCTCGGTAGCAATCCTGAGCACCTACTTCAGCACTAGAATTGGCATGGCCATCGGCATCGCCGCAGCGGGGAGCTCGTTTGGTGGCGTCATCTACCCGATTGTGTTCCACAAGCTGCTGCCGCAGATTGGGTTCGCGTGGACCACGAGAGTGCTGGGTTTCATCATCCTGGCCACCATGGTCGTGCCATGCGTGTGCATGCGCGTCCGCGTCTTGCCGGCCCAAAGCCGCAGTCTGCTTGATCTCAGGGCGTTTTGCATCCCGGCGTACTCGCTGCAGGTCATTGGCTTCTTTTTCGGGTTCATGGGCTTGTATATGCCCTTCTTTTATGCGCAGGTGTATGCCCTGGAGCGGCATTTGACCAACGAGAACCTCGCGTTCTACCTCTTGGCGATTATGAACTCGACGAGTGTGTTCGGGCGAATCATTCCCAACCTCTTCGCCGACCGCCTTGGCCCTTTCAACGTCGTCATCCCCTGCTGTTTGATCAGCGGCGTTTTGTGTATCAGCTTTATCGGGGTCTCAAACAGCGCCGGTATGTGCGTGTTGATGGCGTTTTATGGGTTCTTCTCGGGCAGCTTTGTTAGTCTGCCGCCGACCATCATTGTCAGGCTGAGCCAGGATAGGAGGGACAAGATTGGAACGAGGCTGGGACAGAGCTTTGCGATTGTAGCACTAGGCGTGCTGATTGGCACGCCTATCGGTGGCGCGATTCTGGATCACAGCGGTTATGATGCGCTGTGGACATTTGGTGGATGTACGCTGTTTGGCAGTGCGGCGTTGTTGCTGGCTGCGAGGATCGCATTGGGAGGGTTTGGGTTGAAGGTGAAGGTCTAACTGTTGACAGATAACTGGGACGGCTTTACGTTAGGACGTTGGCCTCCAAGTGCGAATAAAATCAAGTAAAAGAAGAACATCCTGCACTTGTTGGTGGTGACTGTGAATACTTATTGACTGGAGCTGGTGTAGATACACAGGGGAGATGCGCTGAGTTCCCTCTAGGGTTGCAAGCTATCTGTATTGCTGAGGAGATAAGACAATGGTTCATCTCGAATCATTGATGCGACACGAGCCTTCGGCCTTGACGGGGAGATGGAACCATCTCGCAGAAGTAGATACACCGAAGCAAACCATATCATCGGCTGATAAAACGACCAGATGAAATGGCATGATCACGTTTCGTGGGTCCTGAACGAAGACCGACTGCACCGCGCACGGAGCCTGTAGCGATGGTGGCAGTGTAACGTTCTTTTTTTCCCTGACATGTTACGATTCCTCGCGCACAGCAGCAACGACCGTACAATCTTGAGCGAGTAGCCCTCAGAGCCATCCTTGAGTTTTCGCGCCGTATGATTGATCAAATACAGCCGTCGTTGGTCGTAGAAAGGACACATGGATGATGCATGTACTTTTTAGACGCGGTCCAGACATGGGATCGTTGTCGGCAATATTTTCGGAAGTTTTGCATTGCAACGAATAGCTCGAGAAGCACACAAATCAACATCAGGCCATGGCCTCTATCTCATGACATGGCGAAGAAAGAAGTTCCTCTTCGATGTAAAGGGAAACTTGAGATTAGACATACATCGGTTGCGTTGTGGTTTGGGCAAAAGATAGACCGCAAGTCCACGGGTGCTGAACAGAAAAGACGTGAAATTTATTTGAACCAGTACGCAAAGATATTTCGTTTCGAGAATATAAGATGGTGTAGCACTGAGCAGAAGCTCTTCGAGTACCTCATTGTGCATCGGCACCGTGCCAGAGACCATGATCTGTGCATGGATGTGTTTTGGAGACCTGCATCAAGGAGTTCCAAGATGGGGGATGACACAGTGAGTGGAGTCCCGATGGTAGATGAATCTCCGGGTCATAAGATGATGTTCTCATCACCTTTGACAACCATTGAAGACTCGCGGGGCAGAGCAGAAGCATGATGAAGGAGAGAGAAAGGTTAGCGGTTTTCTTTGGGCAGCATGTAAAACTGCAGGCATGTATCAGTCTCCCGTTACTTTCGATAAAAAAGCGCAGAGGTTCAGAAGAGAGGGCAAAACATGTCATACCCCTGCATACGGTTTCGAGCTTCTTTGTGCAGATTGAAGACGTAGAAGGAGCAAGTAGGGGTAAAATGACCTTTATACGCCTCCAGTAGTAGTGTGCTAATGTGTCCAAAGCCTTCGACTGTCTGTCGTTGGGTAGCTCAACGATGTGCACAAACGCAGCCGTATTGTCGGCACAGTGGAGGAAGTATTGCATGACTCAGATCATCGAGAGTCATGGGAAGGCATTTCGAGCGTTTCGAGTCAGTAATCGATAAGCTTTTCGACTGAAAACCCCACCACCACCATCGTCACTTTTTTGTGACGATCGTTACCTACATTTGCGTGCTACTCTCCCGCTTTATTCTCTGAGCGCCTTTCTCTTTCTCTTTCTTTCTTCTTGAAGTATTCTCGGCTGCGCGTAGCACCCACCGCCATGACGCCACCAAAAGATATCCAAAAGCTCATCTCCCTCACGCAAACCACGCAAACTCTCCTGTCGCACTTCCAGACCTCCCTTACGCCCCCAAAAGATTCGAATACTTCTACCGACGCGCCCGACCTCCCTTACGGTCCCCTAACCGCCATCCACGCCGCAACCACTATCCTTAAATCCCACACCACCACACTTTCGCTACTTTTGCTCACGCCTCCCCTCACACCGAGCGCCCTGGTCGCAAAGATCGGTGATGTTACATCCGGCGCGCTCTCCGGCATGGTGGCCGCAGCATCCTACAGCCCTACGTCCAATATGCGCGACGATCTGGGGCAGATAATGCGGGGCGAGCTGCGCGCGCAGGTCAAGCGGCTCGTGGGTGCGTGGGGCGGGGTTCTCGCGCTGGTGCTTGCGATGGCTGAAGCAAGGCGAGAGTTGACCGGGAAGGATAAGGGCCCTAGTGAGGCGGAAAGGAAAGATGTTCTGGAGAGAACGGGCGTGGTGTGGGATGTGTGTGATGAGTTGTTGCGGCTATGCAATGGCGGCGTGGTCGAGTTGGTGCTGAAGAAGGCGCAGCAGTTACGTGCTGTGCTGCTTGACGCCGTCGAGGAGCTCAAGGAGTGGGGCGAAGATGTTGCAGATGAGGGAGAGGAGGACAAGGCGGAGGGGAGCGGCGACGAAGACGGCTTTGGAGACGAGGATGATTTCTTTGGCGCACAGAACAAAATTGGCAAAGACGACAAGGAGCTAAAGGTTTTGCTGGACCACAGCGTGAAGAAGTTGAAGATGGTGGGCATCATGTATCAGGCCATCGGCAAGAGGAGATTGAAGATCTTCCCTGCTGTCGCGCCGGACTCAAATCCAGCGACAGCGAGCCCAGCAACGGGAGCAGCAAACGGCGATGCCCTAACCGAGTCGCCAGCACAAAAGCTAGATCGCCTCATGCAAATCTTGAAGACCATTCCAGACATGGTCGACGACCTGGCATCCACATTCTACGAACTAGAGCACGAGGAAGCCGAAGCAGAGCTCAAGAAGGTCTGCGACGAGGCGAAGAGCGCGGTGGAGCTGGTCAAGAAGAGTTGGACGGGCACAGACGACGAGTTCACTGCGTGGTCGGGGAAGTGGATCAAAGCTTTGGACGCAGCATGATCGAGCAACAATACCAAAACGGTACAACTACTCTCCAACAATTTGAATCTTTTACGCCCCTCAGCGCAGATTTGGCCGAACGCACACGCCTTGACTCAGGCAGTCGGTGGCTCTACGACTTTCACACGCTTGTGGTCCGGCCGACAGATCGACATTAAGCCGGAACCAGCTCACGTATCACCGTCGCCTTCAATCTATGGAGTCAAGATGGAAGTGGGTATTGTAGTGGTATATTCAGTCTGTCATGGATATGTACAGTACTTCAACACTAGCACGGGCCCGACGCGATGGTCAAGGAATTCCTCGATGCTCTTATCCCCAATCATTACTCGTTCCATGCACACATATTCCCTTGGCTAATTAAAAGCCTAGAAGAGAGCAGCGAACATGCCGAGCGCAACGGCACCAAGGCCGGCAGCATTGGCAGCGGCGCCACCAGTGCTCTGGGCAGGGCCGGAGCTTGTAGCAGACGCAGCGCTGGAAGCGCGGGACGAAGCCGACGCAGCAGCAGAGCTAGCGGCGGAAGCCGCGGACGAACGGGCAGATGCGACAGCAGAGCTGGCCATGGACATGGCGCTGGAGACCGTGGCGGCTGCAGACGAAGCTGCAGACGCGACGGCAGAGCTGGCCATGGAGGCAGCCATAGATGTGCCAGAAGGGACGGCGACAGAGATGCCGGCGGCGCTGCAGATGCCGGCAAGGGCAGGGGCGACCTCTGTGAGAGGGTTAGCCGTGTTTTATATTGATGGGAGTGGGGAACGTACGAGCAGCTTCGGTGGCCGAGCAAGCGTTGGGGATGCAGGACTCGAGCGAGCTGGTAATGGCGGACTGGCCGGTAGTACACTGGCAGGTCACGTCGGTGACACCACAACCGGAACCGGGAATGGCTGCGATAAGGCAGGCAACCTCGAAAAGGTCAGCATGGAATTCCTATGGAGCATTGGGTAAAACTTACAGCGCAGTTAGGCACAGCTGAGAGGTCGGGAGTCTGAGCAGAGACGACAGCGAGCGAAGTCGCGAACGCAGCGATGGTGGAGAAGCGCATCTTGATTGATGTATTGTTGGTAATTCGTGTGGAACGAGGGTATAAGTTTTGAAAAATAAATAAAGATGCAAGCTTTCGAGGGAGAATTGAGTTCAGCACACTTTTGAAAAGTCGCGGGCAAGGCACGTTTTGTACCTGCTTGTCCGCCGAGGCAACTCACCCGCAAAAAGCAAGCTTGGTTGCACCAAAGCGCCTTACCCAGTCACGGTCGTAGGGAGTGGGAAGCCCCGAGCTATCGAATCGTCGGGCATTATAGGATTGTGCAGCTATCGAATTGGGTTTCACGGGACCAAGATCAGAGATTGCTGATGGGTTGGTCGCTGCAGTATACTGTACTAAAGTTCAGACCGTCAAGTCACTAGTGGCATTACTCGGTGGCGGATCGGTAGTCTGGCCGCATGGTAGCGTGGCTCGAATGCGGGGGAGTGTGCGAGACTCTGGGGAGACCGAGGCTGGCTATGCAGAGAGAAGCTTGTGAGTGGCTGTGGTGATGTTCTGGATGGCGATCGGGTTCTTTGTTCATGCGAACCGGGTGAGCAAGAGCTGAAAACGTTGGTAATGCTGCATCGGGAGGTGTAAGATTTGAAGATGGTCAATGCGAAAACCTGTATAACTTGACAGACGCTACCTGAATCGTGCGTGGATGTCTGCGGGAGGTAAGCAGAAAAATAGTTTGAATGAAATCATACTGTCGTTGCATCTGCGGCGCTCGAAGAGAAGCAATGGCATTGCGGCCCCCACGCTCAGAGACCTGCTGCTGTTGTGCAACCACATCTGTTTAAGCTCGAGGAGACGGTGGTTTGTACCTGGAAGACGGGAGGGTACCGCAGAATGATCGCATCGTACCAGAGAAATTTCTACCGCAGTACCAGAGTTGCCGTCGACGTGACAGGGCCTTACTGGTTCAGAGACAAAGCAAGCAATTGTGGGTTGCAGTCGGTCGAACTGGATGTGGTAATCCGTACAGGCAGCTTTTGTCCTGTACAACGTCACATCTTGATGTGTAGTTTGCGACATCGCTGGAATGTTTCAATTGCTCGTGAAAACAATGTCAATGCATTATTAGCAACTGCGAATCGTATTCTTGTGTAGCTTGTTAGCATCACAATTGTGATCACAGCCACTTGCAGCATGTTGTTCGTGCTGGAGACCCACTTGCGACCGGCTGAACTCCCGGATCCTGAAACGTGCACTGTGTGTCAATTTGCAGATCAGGGGCTTGTTTGTGTCGCATTTTTTTGTTGATGAGCCCTGCAGCTGCAGTATGCAGCCATACGCAGCTGTCACGGCAACTATCACGGTAGCGGTTTGTTTGCTTCTCTCAACCGTTGCACAGCGCGTAAACTCAACCCGAGTTGTACAGTCGACATGGTGTCTTCGAGTCTATTTACGCCCGAACAATAGACACATCAGTTGCAACCTACCGGCTGTCGTTCGCAAAAGTGCCTTCGTTTTTCAGTTGCACTCATTCTCCAATCTCGACGCCACCCCTGCTGTACACGGTACCAGTGTAGTTATTTTAGCATGATCTATCCGAAAAGAACAACAGCCCATGTTTTGTATAGGGTCAACATTCGACATTACACCTACATAGAAAGCTTGAGGGAAATCGAGGAGCACAGGAAGGCTCTTGCATGCTCCCCGCCCTTTGACCCTTCCGTGAAGAGGTTAGTCTACCCTTCGTTATTTCGATTAACGTTATGATAGATAACAGATGGCGTCCTGCTTTGTTATTCAAACAACAACGGGCGTAACATCGCTGCTCGTTCCGGCTCGCGGGTCCGATTCCGTAGTGGGTCGCAGTGGTCGCCTTGCTGTTCGTGTACTTCGCGCTTGTCGATACACTTCGGTGGGCTCCCGCACCATCGTGGCGATGATTCGCCGGGGAACAGGTGGAGTATGCAAGGTCAAGGGACTCTTCTGTCCATGCATAAGAGCACGAGTAAGTCTGCGGCAGCATTAGTTGGTGCGACAGCAGTCGTGTAAGTCAATTGGTGGAGCAGTTGTGTTTTCGACATGTTGGTCATTGATTGTGGCGCAACATGCGATTCTGTGCTTGATGTGGGAAAGAAACCACCAGAGATGCTCGACTAGCAGTACAGTAATTGACCTCCTGGGTGTATGATGAAGGAAATGTAGCCAGCAGGTTCCGTAGACACCGTGTTCAGCCTGGTGTCAGGTTGCGATCTAACATGTGTAGAGACTCCGTATTGTCCGAGTAACCCTGTCTTTGACCGTTGAAATAATCCAATAACTCAAAAAGACAGACCGTGAGGTATATTGCAGTATGAAAAAGGGAAAAAAACCAGGCCGTAATACAAAAGACAAATATAAGTTAGACAAAACACAGAAATGTAAGATTCAGAGATCTGAAAAGATCTTAACCACGGAATTGTTGCTTTTGGACCTTGCCAGCGAAGGTCGGCGGAGAAGAAGGTGTCGATGCGACGCAAGCGCACTAGAACATGGCACCGTTCATGTTCTGCTGAGCCGTATGCTGTCCATTGATAGGGCGAGGTGCGGCATTGTTGCGTGCGAGGAAGCCTGCGGGAGGCATGGCCGGAACAGCACCGGGCTGACCTTGCGCCATGCCGTGGAGGCTTTTACTTTCGCTAGAACTCTTCCTGAGTCTGTTCCTGGGTTGTGGGATCTGGCTCACAGCATCGGATGAGTTGGTACGTGTCGGCTCAGCGTACGGTGCACGTGGAGCGTCAAGGTCCGGGTGACTTGTTGGCCCGTCAGACTTGTCGCTGTCAGAGCGGCCGAAACCGAAGCGGCGTCTCATAGGATTGATCGGTGGGACAGGCGGTGGCTCGGATCCGTTCTTCAGAGATGCTCCCGCGGGGAGATTGACAGTGTCGATGACGGATGTTGTAGACAAGAAGACAGGCTCTGAGATCTCCGATTTAGCAATAGACTTCTTGCGCAACATACCCTGCCTGATAAGTGGCTGGACAGCGCCCGGATTGAAGGCCGCTGCATTTGGTGTTGTAGGGTTCGAGGCAGGAGGAGTGTGATTGGCGGAAAAGGGGGGCATCGGCGAAGCTTGAGGCTGGTACGCATTCATGCTTGGACTACTGTTGCCGCCAGGCGAAGGCCTTGGCGAGATGGGTATGCCGGGCGAGTACTTCGGCTGAGGTATCCCGGACTGTACTGGCAGCGGAGGGTGAGAGGTGTTCGTCTCAATAGGTTGCAGGTGCTTCGACTCGAAGTAGCTGTTGCTGCGCGACCGTGTGCGGCCCTGGCTGTCAACCGACGGTCTGGTAGGGGGCAAAGGGTAAGCATTGTCGACATCATCACGGTACTGACCAGTACGGCTTCGTGAACGGCCAGATGACGTGCCAGACCCAGAACGCTCACGAGTGCTCATCATGGGAGGTGAGTGGCCGACAGGTCGTCCCACCCTACTACTGTCCGTGCCGGAGCGTTGTCGGCCTTGGAATTCACTCTGCGAGTCTTGTTCGTTCTGCAGTCCCAAGCGCGATGATTTGGACTTCAGGGAGGGCATCTCAGCCTTCCAGTGTTCGCCAATGTATGAGCTGACCAGAGATGTAGTACTGGCGTTACCTGACCCGTTTCCGAGTGTCATCTTTCGTACTCCTTTGTGCGGCATGTCTGGCTGAGGCGACTTTTCACCAACAACTGCGAAAGACTCCCGGCTCGACTTAGCGCGGAGCATATTCAGAGCGTTCTTGAGTCCTCCAGAAGGTCCAGGTGCTGGGCTCGTAGAGCGGCCCTCTGCCCTCGCGCGAAGGTTCTCTTGAATGACACGCTGACGCTGAGCGAGATCACGTTGGAAAGCCTCGTGCTCTGCTTCAGTCTCATTGCTAGCAATGCGCTCGTGATTCCTTCTTGAGTCCCACTGCTGGCCAAGACCGGGGGCATTGTTCATCCGCTGCCCATCGACAGGGCTGCCAGAGCTGAAGCTACCGCGGTCGTTGCGGTACGGATTGTCAATATCGTCCAAGTCCCAAGGGTTGGAGTGGCTATAGTTAGAGGGTGCCGGGGTAGCCGAATCGGAGCCTGACTGTTGTGGCTGCAGACCAATGTCATGGGTTTGAATAGCAAGGCCAACGGGTGCATTTGACGTGGGTGCGGCTGCCTGCTGATCATGCTCACCGTAGTTTGAGGAAACGTTGCTGTCGTTACGTAGATGCTGACGGATCATACCGCTGAGACCTCCACCGTTAGGTCCGAGCGTGGGAGAGTCGACTTCCCTTTCTGCACCATGGTCAGGCCTGGGCCAGTAATCTTGTGCTGGCATTTGGCTGGGCATCTGAGGGACCGCTTGTGGGACTTGCTCCGCTGACACGTTGCGAGAGCGCATGGCCGGGTGCTCGAAGATTGAAGGAGCGGGACCGGTAGCTACGGGCAAGTTCTCGAAGCGGCGAGTGGTCTCCGTTGTACGAGCAGTGATAGGCCTGGTCGGTGCATGCTCCTCATCATCACTCAAATCTTGAGTGGTGAAGAAGGTAGCTCCTGCGTGCTCATTGGGAGACTCCTGCTGCTGGGGAATCGTCGCAATCTCAGCCGAAGGCAGTGTTTGTGCAGCATTAGCAGCAGCCTTCATTCGATTTGCAGCAGCTTGGAACACGGAGATACCTGCTGTAGCCTGAGCCGGCTCAGTGACTGAAGAGGCAGAAGAATTTGACCTTTGTCGAACAACGCTCCCCGCTCGCTTCCGCCTCTCCTGCTCGGCACGCTCCTTGAGAGTTGGCTTCCTAGGCGGCGATTTGTCTGACCTGACGACAGGCTCTAGAACGGGAGCCGGGAAACCAGGTACTTCTCGAGGCGCCTCACGCTCAGATTGCATGTGGCGTAGACGTTCGGCATATTGGTGCTCGCTGAAAGCTTCCTTGGGTTTGTTGAACGCACCCATCGCGGTCGCCTTACCCCGATCACCTTGCTGCAGAGCCGCGTTCAGAGGCTGCGTATCTCCACTGTCACTGATCACCGGACTGGCCGGAGGCGGTGATTGTGACTGTGATACAACAGAGCTGGAGCCGCCGCTCGACAACTGGGAGTTATTTCTCAATACACCAGAGTGTACCAATCCATTGGGGCTGTCTGAACGGAACATGGGGCCCCGATTAAATCGATCATTCAGACTCGTCGCAGACCTTGTTTGGGAAAGCGGAATCGGCGGGGTGGACCTTCCAGTCGGTGCTCGAGCTCTCTGTAACGAGTTCAATCTGTTCATCGCTGAAGACTGCTGCTCTTGGAAGTGTTGATCGAGTCCTTGATCGTAAAGCCTCCGTGTCTTGGTTGTTGAACGGTTCAGGTCAGCCATAGGGAAAGGTCCTGCAGACGGAGGAAGGACTGGTGATGTCACAGGTGCATCGCCAGCGCCTTGAGATGCGATCGATGTTGCGGCAGTCGATGTGCGGGTATTCTCTAGCCCAGAGTTGGTGGAGGAAGATGTGTCCCTCTTCTGACTGAGCGTTGTTGGGCTTGAAGGCTCGTAGTGCTGATCAGTCAAAGCTTCTCCCTCCAGTCTCAACTTTTCCTTCTCCTCGGCGCGCAAACGCTGGTATGCGGACATGTTCACATCGTCGTCGTACAGTGTCCGCCCCAGTCCCTTCGCACTGCTGTTATTGGAGATCATGTAGATTTTCTGGCGACCACCAAACAAGACATTACCCTCACCTGGCCTAGCCCGGGTCATCATGCTGCCTGAATCGTCTCCTGCCCTGTCACTGTCGAAGGAGCTCGTGCGGTCAACAGCGAACGGTGGCCGAATCGATCCACTCAATGACGAGACTTCCGCAATATCAGAGAGACCTCCAGGGGCGAAGCCGAACTCATGCAGTCGAGATGATCGTTTGGGTGTGAGGACGCTGTCGTCACTGGCTTTGCCAATCTTTGAGCTGGGGTCGTCCTGCTCTCTTAGCATGCTGAACCGCGTAGATAATCCAGGCATAATCAGACTGGTCCGGAAATCATCTGTGCTTGGCAATGCTGAACCCAGATCGAAGTTTGGCGTGGCCTCGTCTTCTTGCCTGCCCTTCTTCCCCTTCTTCGTCTTCTTTGTGATGGATACGTCATCCCCGGGAGCCTTGTCCTTCTTCCGGCTGAGAAACCCCATCGTAGTATGTGGTGTTATCTAAGACATGTCAGCAACGTCAAGTTGAGTAGGTGGCTCAACATGGAGCCAAACCTTCGGTGGACGCATGGGTGATCCATGGCGAGGGTGCCTTACGAAGGGGCGCGACTATGCGCAGTATTATACCGTCGAACGCTAGCTAGTGCTGCGTCTGTCAGGAGATTCGTTGGTCGGGTCGACGTGGGCGATTGGTAGATTGACGGAGAAGTGGAAAGTCTGTTGGTCGCGCGAACTACGTTAGTGAGGTGGCCTGCATGCATCTCGCATATACAATTTACTTTATGGAAACGGAGATAGTAAGAACTTTGTGGAAGCGGAGGGAGTTGGAACTTTGCGGAAACGGAGAGATTAGCAGAGGAACCATTGACATACTCAAAGTCTCCAAGTATCTTCAGCGCCGTCTAGTACGTTGTGCTTCGCGGGCGTCGAGTGTGGAGTCCAAGGAAAGGAGCATGCGCGAGCGCCACGGAGTGACACAAGACAGGGACAGCAAATATGGTCTGTGGTGGCGCAATTGGGCTTCGATGTTTCTTTTCCCCAGAATGCGTGCGAGGTACGTACGTCTAGTCGAGCAGTGTCTCTGACACTTTTGTTGGTAGTCTGGTCACGAAGTATTTGTCGACGCGTCTCTCGTGCTGGCGGCAGAGCGTCTAAACAGTAAATTATTGCAGCGATTGCAATTAAGGAGCGTATACGGTTGGGGTCGGTAGGTTGAAAGAGCGTCGACACGCGCACTGCGGGTGTTTGGAAGTGAAGGAAAGGAATGTGCAAGGCAGATCTCCCGTTCAGATGGCAGAAAGACGGCAGAGGCCTTGAGGGGGCGTCGGCTGCAGACACAGAGCCTGGGAGAGCGACAAGCAAATCGACTAAGAACAAGGTTAATTTCCACTAAGCTTCATTTCCGCACGCATGGGTCACATTTGCGACACGTCCAGCGCAGGTATGCCGCGCGGGCCATATGCCGGCATCGGTTCTTCGCCCACTGCAGCGGCAGGCATCCTGATCGAGTGCGCCTGGCTGCCTCATCAGCCCAAATCTACGCCGTCCCAGGGGGTGCGGATGGCGAAGGTGAGTGGTGAGAAAGGAAAACTCAACGGGTACTAGCGTCAGTAGCGCCTGCCCGTTGTTGCGCATAGCGCATTCCCAGCTTCCCTTAGCACGACAAACAGCCTACGACTGCCTCACCTCACGACTCACGAGCGCACGAGCGCACGACTCAGAACCTGCATTGCACGGTCTCGAAGGCTTGTGGACGACAGCTGCGGCGACTGTAACAACGGCGAAGCCACTTGCGCGCCGTGACGCGTGGTAGTGTAAGGAAACATGCAGCCAATTAGCGCGCGACTTCCCCTGGAACGCAAAGTATGGTTATTGCAGCCAGGCTTTGCCCAATGTGCAAGCAGTCAACCAAAGGAGCTTTGTGGTTGCCGTCATGATGATGTGCCTGCAAACAAACAAACAAGCAAACAAACAAACAAACAAACAAACAAGCAAACAACAATATCTAGGTATCATCCTACAGAACCTATACTTGCATTCATCTACTCGACACTGCGCAATTGCGAGGAATGCGGGGCTCAGCGGGGGGAGGGGGGGCGACTTCTCCTGACGCTCAGGGTCAAACGTGCACAGCGTTCCTGAAGCCGCTAGACTCATCAAGCGAACGAATCACCCGCGAACCACTGCCCCGGAGCACTTGCACTATGACTTCCTGGCCTAACCGCCCATTACCTACCTATAGTCTTATCGTCTCTCCTTTCTTTGTACAACATCAAGTCTATGGGCAACATGACCGCGCATCTCTTTAGCACGAACAGATGCGGATTACCAGTGCTACGGGAAACCGCAAAGGCGTTGCAACGTTCCTCCCCTTTAGGACCCTCGCGGCGCTTCATCTCCGGAATTGCAAGGCAAGCATCCCGGCATTAATACTTACAGCTCGCGTTGCTTCCGAGCGTGCTACACACCTACTTGCCATTCCCTGCTGCCGATGTAGCTCAACATGAGCCGTACCGAACCACGTCTGTGCTTTCCTTTCTCCAGCGACGATATCAACAGTCACCTCTTCCGCCAAAGTAGAGGGGTAAGCTCAGAGCCCATTCAACATGTAGCCTCCCGCTCCCGCTCGAACGCCGTCGCAGCAGATAAAGAGTCAGAATCGGTCCTGACGGCCAGCTGCGGACATTCTCACTTCATTTCATGTGCGATTAGCGAATGCGGAGTAATTTCTCAACGGCGCGTCAAACAAATGTGGACAACTCCCGGCAGCCCGGAGATCACCAGCTGAGGAGCGAGCCGAATTATTCAGATGATCGAGCTGATTAGGTACACCGTTGTTCTAAGATGTAGTTTCTATCACTACCAACCTACCACATTCACGATGCGAACGACGATCCATCTGTCTGCCGTCTGCGAAATTAGACCTGGATCTACGCTACTCAGCCCTGCCAGACAGAGGCTTCTTATTGGTCGCTGAAGTCATTCGGCACGCGACGAAGACGCTGAAGGTTCAGCGACGGCCTGCAAAATTGCTGATGAGGTAAGGTCAAATCTATTCTTTGGTCTGGACGTCTGCATGTGCGGAGAACCTGAAGGTATTCTACGGTGCGAACCTTGTCGGTCGGCGAGAACCCTACAACTTTTGAATGATGAGAACGAATTCACCCCGCTCTAGATGCCAGCGAACAACACCAACAAACATCATCGTTGCAGCCAGTCACATTTCCTGCAATCTCCGGCCGTGTTTGCGTTTCAAACAAACCCGTTCACGGTTTCAATAGCCACTGCAGCCACAATGACCCTAACACGACAGTACGTTAAACACCACGTTGCCGGCTCCACTTCCCTTTCACTCGAACTGACTCGACTCACTCTAGGCTACGAGAGGTGAGACAAACGAATGTGACGTCAGCGTATTTTCCCATACCTATGATTCATCCCTGCCAAGAGCAGACCGAGATTAAAATTGGCCATTCGGATGCTTCCTGACGGCCTTGCAGATCGCAACGCAAATCGAGATTCGAGACCTCCAGATCGACTTCCAGATGCCTTCTTCAGTAGGGGCAAGTGCCACGTGACGGTCGAGGGTCTTCCTTCTGCAGATCCATCTTTCCGGGCTTCCTAACGCAGAAGGGTCAGCCCAATGCTGATATTGACAATCGCATCCTTCAGGCCTTAGAGACTGGACACAATACTGTCAGCTGACTCAATGTTGAACAGTTCACCAATGTGCGTAATTAATTTCAAGCTGATAGCTGGTCACGTCAATTTAAAAGCCCCTTGAGTAGAGCGATAGGCACCATGCGGCACAGAAACGGCTACAAGTGGCTGCTAACAACACGGCCTGACTGACAGCAGGTGCGACGACGGCGAGACAGGTATTGCAAAGAAGAACTGTCTATCAGCTGCGCCGCTGCCTTCCTGTCTCTTCCAAACATCAACAGTCTTCGCCACGTATCGCTACATCGCTGCACTATCATCTCGTCCATCAATACAGCTCAGTGACTGACACCGCGCGAGTCTCGGTCATTTTTCTTCGCACTCTTGTCGTCGCTTTCAAATTGTCCACGTCATCATCAAATCGGAATTGTATCAACCTCACGCCGTACAGAGATGGACGGAACGAACATCATCTTCGCAAACAGCACAAGCTCCATCGATCTTGCACTCGCAGCATGTTACAATGTACCTTACGGCGGCTGGGGTTTGTTCTTCCACTCTTTTTTCTTGTGGAGCTGCTTCTGGATTCGGAACTGCTCGATACCTTTGCTACCGCACAAGGCCCTGGGCAGTCCGAGATTCGCCATGATCATGTGTGTCTTGAGTCTAGTGTTCTTTACAATCGCTGCGCACTTCAGCCTTGTTCAGACAGACTGCAAGGATGGCGTCCTCTAGTGTACGATGCTCCTCCATTACCTCTTGATCCCGGTCTTTGTGCTTTCGTGCATACTTTTGCGACTCGCTATGCATGTCGAAGACTACTCGCTAAGGACTTTGGCGGTTCGAGAGTGGCGCAAGTACTGGTACCGGGCAGCACAATGGGCCACGAACGCCCTCCTGGGTTGCTCTCTCTTCGCGGAGCTGTACCTTACTTGCTTGCTCACGCTTTTTGCTCTAAATGACGGTGCCGATTACCGGGCGTCCTTTTACATTTCCCTCGGACTTGCGCTCCTCGGCACATCCGCTCTGGCCGGAATCTTCACTTGGGCGCGTAACAGCTCGCAACTATACTTCTCTTCTGAGGTCCAATCCTGCTCGAAAACGAAATGCGTTCTCTGGTGGTTCGGTTGCTCAATCGTATGGATGGTCGCGGTCAGCTTTTTCTGGACGGACTGGGTACTCGCAGCGAAGATAAACCTGTACTCGGGGTATGCCCTTGTCGCAGGGCCGAACGCTACCATCGGAGAAGAACATATCTCCCTCAACTGGATTGCGTATCAGTTCGCTTGTTTCGCGCCCACCTTAGCGTTCTAGAGTGGAACATGCCAAGTAGGCGGCACAAGGGAGTTTCGAATGACATTTGCTCTTGAGCATTGCTCCGGCTCGTTGACGAGAGTTTTGTGGTGGTTTGCAACGGTATCATTGGCAGCAACATAGACTGCAATACCAAATTTCATGACCTTTGCGCTCAGCGCGGCAATCCCACCCAAGGTTTCGGGTGCTTCTATCTCGGCGAGACTGCGATTCGACCTCGCACCAGTTGCACAGTGGCGACGTTTTCTGGGAACAAAGCGTGTGCCAGTCTTCATGTGTGAACACGTGCACATGGTCAAACAATTTGATTTAGACCAGTCAGACTCGGTCCGGCCGTGCATCTTCGACCTGCACAAAAGACTGTCACCTACGTGATGTGATGGTTCATGCCGACAACTTGAAAGAGTGAAAGAAAGGCAGAGTATGCATTGCAGTCCTGATCGTCTTCTGGAAACAAGCGACAGAGTATACAGATTGTTGATTCGGAATATTCTCGTGTTGGGTATGCTAATGCAGCGCTTGCGCAGTGCACCTGCTCTGTCCATTTCGCTCGCTCCATCTACTTGGTTCGCTTTACTCGCATCACTCGCTTTCCGATGCCGAGCTCGTTTCCTCCGAGGAAGAAGTGTCCTCCATCTCTGCTACGGGGGCAGTATCGTTCATCTCGTCGTCGGACCCGTCTCGACTCGCGTCATCCATGTCGTCGTCCAGGTAGTTCTCCCTGTCGGGCGCGGACTGTGCGTTTCGCCCACGAGCAGCGTTGAGCGCAATCGAGGCCGTCATCATGCTGCCTTCGCAAGCGGCTTCGCTCCCGTGCCCTTCGCTCCCCTGTTCTCCCGAGCCAGCTCCCGCTCCTCTGCCCGCCTGCCCGCCTCATCCTCCCACTCGTCCAGCCAGCGATCCGTTGCCCGCACCGCCCACGCAAGCGCCCCGTCCGTCGTCTTTCCTGCGTCAATGGCCGCCCAGTGCTTCCGCGACGCAATCTGGTTGTGCGATGAGTCCGCATTCTTCTTCTTCTTCTTCTTCTTCTTCTTCATAGTATCTCGGGCCGTGCCAGCACGCATCTTGTACGGTTTTCGCGGCTTCCACTTCGCCTCCCCATCTGCCATTTCTTGCCGAATGACTACGCCGAGCGGCAGGTAGAAACCCATGACCGCAGGTTTGCCTAGTCCGCCCTTGTTGCTTCCGCACCTGGGACACGATCGCTTGTCGCCGGCGAGGTAGTACCGGCCTAGAGCGTGGTTAATGTCGCACTGCCACGCGATCTTCATGCGTCGCGGGACTGATATAACCTGAGTCTCCTGATGCACCTGCGGGTGTGGAGGGAGGTTCGTCAAGGGTGCCGTCACTCCAATCAATCTCATCTTCGACTTCGTATGCCATACTGTAGCAGAAAATTGATGTGCACTGAGTGAAGTATGCCTGAATGGTGGTGTTGAGAGTATTGATATGGTGTTGACGAGAAAGGGGAACACCGCATATACATCCAAAATGTGCGTCCCACGATGTATGATCAAAATGCCGCAAATAGCAAACAAAATACGCGCCGAACCCACTAGGCAGTCATGCTCATGCATGATCAGTACGTAGAGATATTGAAGTGGAGCAATGAGCAGTCATGTTGGGCGTTTGCACTGGCTGCGAGCCTCGACCGCCTTGAGAAGGCATCAGCAGCACTCCAAAAACCGTTCGCCCTTGTATACTCGGCCAATAAAGTGATGGTTACGCTGTCGTGATTGGTGGTTCAGCTGAGCTCGATGTAGTCTCGATGGCTGCTATGTGTTTGCCATGCATTGACCGCAGGGGATTTCGAGACGTCGGTAAGTCACGCAGGCTTTGACGGCAGCAGCAGGCGACGAGATACTTGTGTTTTCTTTCCAATATGAGGATGGCAAGTCCCAAGGTGCTCAGAGGGCATGTATCTCAACTGTTGAATTGCCGTGGCTTCCAGCTCTCGTCGTGGTGTTTATGGCATCACTTCTTCCAGCATCAGCTCCATGGCTCGTCTGATCATCGTTATATGATTGTGCCGTGAGTGACATGCACTGAGTTCATATGTAGGCGACTGTTCAACGATAGAGGTCGTCAAGCTTGGAAGTCGGTGGGTGTGGAGGTGTGGAGAGATGAAACGAAAAGCTCGGGCCGACTGGACCCTGGTAAAGCTGCCACATGTCCACGAGAGTGCCAGCTCTGGAAGCTCCAATTCCTCCAGACACAAGCAAAGATGGGGAGACAGACGCTTTCATCTATTGCATTGCTGCTTCCTCTTCTCGCCAGCACCGCAAATTCGGCGTCAGAGCCTCCTCGGCCGCGTGGTGTGGGTCCTGAGTGTACGCTCCCCCAATTGCAGCCGTCTATGAGATGTTGAAAGCTAACATTGAGCAACACAGTCGCCAAATTCTACAAAGACACCGAGACATTCACTTGCATCTCGAATCCTAGCATCAAACTCGACATCGCGCGATTGAATGACGACTACTGCGACTGTCCCGACGGCTCAGACGAGCCAGGCACCTCGGCGTGCTCCTACATCTCCCCGCTCTCTCCACCGCGGCCCTCAAGAAGGGAGCCCGGCTCTTTTGACGAGACACTAGCCCTGCCCGGCTTCTACTGCAAGAACAAGGGCCACATCCCCAGCTACATTCCGTTCACGAATGTCAACGATGGCAAGTGCGACTACGAGCTCTGCTGCGACGGCAGCGACGAGTACGAGGGCGTTGGCGGCGTAAAGTGTCCTGACCAGTGTGCGTCGATTGGCAAGGAGTGGAGGAAGCAGGACGAGGCTCGACAGAAGAGCTTGAACAACGCAAGGCAGAAGCGGAAGGAACTTATTGCTGAGTCTGGACGCCTCAGGAAGGAGGTCGAGGACCGGATATCGACACTGAAGGCTCAGATTGAGGGTCAGACACAAAAAGTGGATGCATTGACCAAGAGCCTGGCCGAGATCGAGCGCACGGAGAAGGGTAAGGTCGTGAGGGGTGCTGGCAAGGGCGGAAAGGTCACCGTGCTGGCCAGTCTGGCGAAAGAGAGGATCCGAGAGCTCGCCGATAACGTCGAGCGTGTGCGCAGAGAGCGCGATGCCGCCAAGGGGCGGATCGACGAGCTCGAGGCCATGCTCAAGCGCTTCAAGGACGAGTATAACCCCAACTTCAACGACGAAGGCGTCAAGCGCGCCGTTAAAGCGTGGGAAGACTATGCCGCACAGGACTGGCCTGACTCAGATGCCGCGCGCGACCGCGATCTCGACGAGATGCTGAAGCCTGACTCTGAGAGCGCTATCAAGTGGGACGAGTTCGAAACAGTCGAAGAGTCCGACGTCGACGTCCGTAAGTACCCTCCCATTTCCCCACTCTCGCTCCTACTCACACCCGCAGTCTACCAGTTCGAAAACTACCTCCCCGAATCCGTCCGCAGCTGGGTCGACCAAAAGCTGCGCGACCTGCGCATAACCCTGATCGAAAACGGTATCCTCGCCTCCCCTCACACCGACGGCGCCGAATCTAAAGCCGTGACCGACGCGAAATCACAACTCGACTCCGCCACGCGCGAGCTCAACAACGACAAATCCGAGCTCACAAAACACGAGGAAGACCTGACGAAAGACTACGGCCCCGATTCCATTTTCCGTGCACTGAACGGCCGCTGCGTATCCCAGGATAGCGGCGAGTATACGTACGAGCACTGCTTCCTCAGCAAGACGACGCAGAAGAGCAAGAAGGGCGGTGCACACACGGGCATGGGCAACTTTGCGAGAATCGAGATCGTCTCCGTGGACGAGACAGTGCCCGCAGATGGCAAAGGCCTAGGCAGTGGCGAGCGGATCGCGCTGAAGTATGAGAACGGCCAGCATTGCTGGAACGGCCCCAACCGCAGCACCATGGTCATTTTGGCGTGCGCGGAGAACGACGAGATATGGAAGATCGTCGAGGAGGAGAAGTGCGTGTATAGAATGGAAGTCGGTTCGCCGGCGGTCTGTGGCGTAGATGTCAAGAAGCCGGATACACCTGAGCACAACGAGTTGTAAGAATCGGAGGGGAGGGAAGGGAAGGGAAGGGAGGGTGTCCATACCACCATTGGGATAGCTGTGCCGCAGCATTGCTGGCGTAGATGCCACATATTCACATTGAATTAGCGACCAAGTTACCATCAAGTCGAACATGAAGACCACCGCCACAGACCAAGGCTTGAGACCAAGGGTATTTCTGTTCACTTGGACTCTGCTTTGTCAGAGGCGTCGGGTATCAAAGCTTGCGTGCATAAGTCTCCGTCCGGTGCTGTGGAGGCGTTGAACTGGAGGCCGTTTATTCTGAGTGACGTTGTGACTTTCGGATCGCCTGCACAGTGGGTGATAGCGAGATAGACATCTACGACCTCTTCGAGTCGTTTTAGTGAAGAAACTCGCTTCCCAAGGCACCATCATCCTCCGCATCTCTCACCACGCCCTCGCCCGTCCCCACCCTCGATCCTTAACCCCCTCATTCGCAAAATACCTCCCGCTAACCCTCTCCCCACCCTTCCGCCCCAACCCACCATCTCCATCTCCGCCACCTTCCACCTCCCCAACAGCAAGCCTCACGGGAATCCTCGCCCCCTCCTCCAGCGTCTTCGGCGGCCGACCAACCTGATGCCCCATATCCGTATCCACCCACCCCGGACAACAGCAATTCACTAAGACATCAGGGTTCTCTCTCGCGAGCACGACGGTGAGCGCGTTGATCAGCGCTTTGCTGACCTGGTAGCTCATCGGCGGGCTGCCGAAGCCGGCCTGTTCCTGTGCGGCGCCGCCGGCGCGCACGGCGCCGATGTACGTGTCTGCGAGGGCATTGACGTCCTGAACGCTCTGGACGGTGCGGAACTTATTCTGGGTAGATTGGTCGTAGTTGTTGAGCTGGCACGCGGTGCTTGACACGTTGACGATCCTGGAAAGCCGCCCGTTGGTGGTGGACAGCGCGGCGGCGCATACATCCCTCGTACCCTTATAGTTCACACTGATGGTTTGAGCTGCCAGCTCAGGCGTTTCGTTGTTGTTGTTGTTCACGCCCGCATTGTTGATTACGACGTCGATGTTCGGTGTACTTTGGAAGAAAGAGGTTATGGATGACGAGGAGCTGATGTCGAGTTTGGCGTATTGGATGGAACTTGGAGGGGAGACTTCGATGCCTAGATCATTGCCGTTCCGAGACGTTGCGATGATGGTTAATGGTGATGTATGGTGGGTTTTGACGAGGAGGTGGATGATGCCCTGGCCGATGCCGCGATTTGAGCCGGTGACAACGACGGTGAGGGATTTCGACATGTTGGATAAATTTTTCTATTATATTTTAATTGGACTTTCAATTTGAGTTTAGTATGCTTCTGAGACAAAGTGTTTATATGATTTGTTTGATGAAAGTCGTGATGTCAACTCAAATGAATGACGTAACTAGCAGTCTCGCCTTCATCGATGGCGCTCGAACGCTAAGGTACACGAAGGAAGTCTGAAAACATTCGATAAAGAGAGGCACAGGGTATTAGGCGTTTATGCAGGCGTAAGCCCGACCTTCGTGCCGTTGAACGAACAGCAAGTCAGTGTCAGACCCTCCTCCCATGGTCCGGGATCCCTGCTCTCCATCTTCGCGAACTCCTGCACCAGCCTGACTGTCACATAGCCCGCCTCCGTAAGAGCGTACTGCTGTCCAAGACAGATCCTTGGCCCACCGTTGAAGGGCAGGTATTCCCATCCAGGTCGCAGGGACTCCCAGCGCTCGGGCTTGTATTCATCGGCGTCGGGGCCGTAGAGATCCTTGCGGCGGTGCATAGTGTAGGGTGAGTAGCCAACAATAGTACCCTTGGGTATAAAGAGAGGGTGCTGGCCGTCTGAGCCGCCGCCAAGAGGGAGGACAGTGTCCCGGATGGCAAAGCGAGAGTTGCCGGGGACGACGGGGTGGACGCGGAGAGCTGTGTTCTGTAAGTGAGTGGTCGGCGCAGCGAGAAAGGAACAACTTACATTCGTTCATACACCACTTGAGGTACTTGAGGGTCTTCAATTCTTCGTAGGTGGGCGTGCGTCCATTCAAGAAGGCAGTCTCGTTCCTTAACTTGGCGTAGATGTCTGGTCGCTTTGCGATCTCGAAGAACATGTTGCTCAGCAAGCTAGCCGTGGTATCACGTCCGGCAAGCAGGATGTTGACAAGCTCGTCCCTTAGCCTCTTCCTGTCTATGGTCTGGTTGGCGAGCTTGTGGATGAAGATATATCGATCCTCCTCCTCCCCAGTCTTCTTCTCCTCATCCTGCTCCTGCTTGAACCTAATAGCTTCGTCAACGAACTTCTCGATGTACGTGTGACAGATGCGTATGGCCTCTTCGCCCTTAGCATTCTTCGTGAAGCGATGGAGAGGTCCGAGACGCAGGCGGGTCGTAATGTCGTATTGAGCATAGTTGAACATCTTGCCGAAGATGACGTCCTCGTTGGACTCATCCTTGTACCCGACCATACGAAGTGTATTCGTCGAGTGGTTGAAGAGGAACTCAGTAGCAGTGTCAATCGTGAGCATGAAGAAGAGCTCCTGAAGGTCAACCGTCGAGCCATTCTTTGGAATGTGCTTGAGCATGAGCTTGAAGTGGCGCTCAAACGCTCCTAGATCAGCAATCTGATCACGGGCGAAGTTTGGTCGCAGTAGATGACGGCTGTTGGCCCAGCGCTCACCATCAGCGTTGAAGATACCATGACCCAACAGCGGGTTGCATGCCTTCGCCCTGTTGCCGAGGCTATAGTCCTTGAACTTCAGGCTGAGGATGGTCTTTATGTTCTCAGGTTCGCAAGTGGCAATTACTGGCTGAACGGCCATCCTTGTGTGGAAGGTGTTGCCGAGGCGCTCGAACCTTTTCTTGTTCTCTTTGAGCAGGATGTGCTTCTTGCTGTGGGCGCCCATCACGCGTATCACATCAATGCCCAGGATTGGATCTTTGTTGAAGACCTTTGTGCATGGCTGGCAACCTGCGATCTGTTAGTGTAGCCCATAGATACAAGATGCGCGGACATTCCATTGTCCTTCTTGAATTGTCGTCGCGCAAAGCAGAGTGTAAGTCTTGTGTACAGGAGGTAGGCAGTGAATGCGCCTGCAAGCACGAAGAAGAGCGGCGAGTACGCCATGTTGTGTGGTTGTAAGGTTTGGAGGTCGCGAATGGTGTTGGAGGTCGCGAACGATGTTGGAGGTCGCGAACGATGTTGGAGGTCGCGAATGATGTTCGAGATCCGTAATGACGTAGCAGCCCGCAATCAAGACTCGCTTGTTACATGTGAAGGTACGGTGTTGAAATTGTCGTTACACACAATGCGGTGCGCACCTCTCGGAAGAGTTTGTGACTGCTGATCGATTGCGTGCAAACGTCGCGACCTGCGGCCACGATGCAGGCTAGTGATATCAAGGCGTCACAGCTCGTTCGATGCTCCATATTTCCAATTCTTACGCGTCCTGACCGTGGGGTAATTCGGGCTGTGGGTGTGCAGAGCGGGCACTTAGCCGTCGGCTCACGATGGTAATCACGAAGAAAGCGGCGCGCCTCTCTTCTTCAATTCTTGTGCGACTCCACCCTTGAATTCACCTATTAAGGGTTAAGACAAAGAGGAGCTCTGCTCCGCTGCGGCTGAATATAAAGCACGACTTGTCCATTTGACGTTGCGCCCGCTGCAGGCTAACGGACCATGCCCTCGACGCGACATCCCTGCTTCCGAGACTTCAGAATGGCAATTGTGATTGGCTGGAAGACCGCGTCTTACATCATTTGGGGAAATGGACCTTACATCTACTGGCAAGCGTCGGTTTTCGTATGCTGAGCTTGCACAGAATCTTTGATCGGTGGGAACGGAGCAGGTTGTTGCGGTGCAAGTCGGTCCTATAGGCCTTGACCGACACCTCTGTTGACTACCTCGGACTAGCACGTCTCAGGGCACGTATAGGTATATGGTCGTCTCCTAGCTAGCAAGCAACTCAGCGCAGCTCTCCATCGATACATACAGCGGCTGCGTCTGCTGCGACACAGGTGAATGGGCTTCATGGGATTGGGGAGCAGAAATCTGGACACGGAAATATCTCATGTGGGCTAACGCAAGAGATTCGCATTCATGACGTTGCCATTGAATTTCGGACCTCAATCTATGTCCCGACTTCAAGATATCCACTTTACGTGGTTAATGGTCTTCTCCTCGAGATACTTCGTAATTTGGCTGTAGTCTTTGCAGATATGCTTTGCATCCCAACCATCGCTGCCTCCTTGATCCTCACCGTTTGGACCTAGTGGGAAAGTCGTCGCGGCTCCTTCCAAGGCAATATCACCTGCACACATGATCGCTTGTCGGATGTACTCGAAGCAGTGGTTCACATGCCATGGCTGTTGGATAGGATTGACTTGGAAGAAGGGACGGTCGAGTGTGACCGTCATCGTGTTGTAAGCGTTGAGAATTGTATACAGACAATGCAACTGGTGTGTCATTGAGGTCGTGAACACAGTGTTGTTGATATAATCGTGAATTGGTTGGGGAAGGTTGTTGTGCCGTGTGGGATCTTTCACTTCGACGTAACCTAAGCCTTCTGCTCATCATCAGGACCTGAGTAAGCTGTGAGATGAGACGGTATACGCACCCGGGACGATATTTAGCCACGCTTGTTGGACGTCTTTACTCCAGAAGTCAGACGCGTTCTCCGGTGCGAAGATTGGGTCTGGAGTGAACGTGATTATCTGCTGTGAGACTAGACTGTGTCAGTCGCATGCCCTTGTTGTTTTTGTAAGACCTACATGTCGGCGCAAAGCCTGTGATATCGCCAGCGAATTCATACTGATAGATGTGATTGTTCGTCCACCTTTTCTCCACGAGCAGACCAACAATGACCAGAAGTAAGCCAGTGTCGAGCAACCAGCGATACCGCTCCACTCTGGTCCGGAATGATCTCCCCTGCCTTTGCTGAGACCTCTCATCGTATTCAGCATCCCATTTTCCAATTTCGATGCTTGAGTCAGATTCATTGTCGAGGTTATGCCACGTGTTGTACTGGTGTTCGTTCTTCATCTGACACTCACTAACATTGACGTGAGAGACGTCGTGCATCGATTTGTACGGCGCGAATGCAGGCATAATGAAAAGTTGTGGAAGCAGTGAGCTCAAGATAGCAGGGGGCCTTCATCTTATGTATTGTTCCGTTTCAGTTGCCACTACTGGGAAGCTGTGACGCCAAGTGTCGGACATATTGAGGGACCTCGATGCCTCAGTTCATATAACGTTCACCAGATGGACGTACAGGATTACTCTATTTGGTTTTCCAGCAATTACAGAATGTTAGTGTTCATTTAAATTATCATACTTTCGTCCCGCGAGCGTGAAAGTTTAGAGGTGACATAATAGTGTCAATTGTATTATACCTAAGGAAGGCCACATAAGGATCAAGTCAGGATTTAAATCAATCGCACCACGAAGCGGTTTCCAGACATGGCACACGTTCTTGACAGAGTGACAGGAAGCTTTGTTGAATTGAGAGAGATGTGTTAATGAGGTTGAGGTTGATGAGCGACACACGTGCGTAAACATGCCATCCACGCGGAGAAATTGCCGAGCTTCAGCCGGCACCCCAAGGCTATACCACAAAAGTTCGTCATCGGCGACCTGGAACCATCCGCTTTTCGGTATGTTCAGGCACACCACTACAGTGACCCTTCAGTGCGAATGTGTTGCCCGCTGACAGACTTTGTTTGGCGGAGTATGGGAGCCGGCTTGCCTTGTCTGAGAGCCTCAGCTGCGTGAGCTTTCACTACAAGCGCCGTCGGCATCATAGCAGCTTCACCATCAGTCTGCTGTGCGTGCTCTGACTTCGACCTCAGTCGATGCGCGTGCTGATGATTTTTGGCATGCATCCGCTTCTTCGCTATTGTCACAGAGTCTCTGTGTGCGAACAATTCTGGTCTCACTCCGCTAGAGTTGATCAGACGCGAGTGCGCAAGCGTAACGGAGTCTCGATGGTTACGAAATTTCAAGTCCGCTTCTTCGACGTTCGACAGCTTTCGTTCTTTGCTCGGTACTCCAAGCTTTCGACGAGCGGCAGCAAGATGGGCTGACCATGCTACCGGCACCACTGGATCCGGCACGACAAGCGTTGCCTCTGGAGAATTAGCCCCATTGTCGACTGGGAGCGGGGGTCCGTAGAGCTCTTCATGAGAAGTAGCTCTTGACATTCGAGCACTGGCGGGTTGTGAGGAACGGCGCGAGTGCGCGGCGCTTACCCTCTCGCTGTTCGGGGGCGCGGAGATCTCGATATCCTCATCGTCGACAACAGCGCATTCGAAGTGAGGTCTGCGATCGTCATCGTCAGGAAAGATGACAATGATTGGCTTGAAAGATTCGGGAGGCATGTTCCAGGTACCGGACCACTCTGTGAGCTTGGTGTTGACACGTTCAAGACCTCTTGTGCCCACTGAAGCAGCTTCCAGCGCCTGGCTTGCTGAGGAGCTGCGCCATCGTGTGCTTACGTTCTGCTCGGGTGGTATATCGTCCCAAACCACTTCGTAGCTGCCATTCCCTGGCTCGCCGATCTGCATGGTGGCAGTTGCGGGATCAGTTTCTTCAACCTCAGCTTGATCTGTTGCATTCATGGCCGGGAAATTCGACAATACAGGCGCAATCGCAATGACTTGGACGTCCGTTCTAGTCATAGCTGGGTATGCCGGCGAGCGCCTGGCTAACAAAGCAGCACCGGGGCATGAGTACCCACGGCCTGGGGCTTTCCCAACCCTAGTCCCTCGGTAATCTGAGGCGTTCCGCGAAGCCTTTTCGTGGGTAGGTAACGATTCGGAGATCGGCTTTTCGAAGTCAACGGTTTTTACGCGTCGGAGCTTCTGATTGTCGACCGAGCTTTCAATCGACGCCGTGGCTTCATTGGGTGGAGTTGTGTTCGCGCTCTTGGCCTTTCGCTTCAAGCAGGTCTTGAGCGGCTTCCTCAAGTCCGGCCTGCTAAATGCTCTGGGGGAAGAGCACGAGTAAGGGTCAGAGTTGGAACGTATACACGAATGCCATTCAGGCATGTTGCTAAGGCCTTCGTCCTTTGCGGTTGGACTGGTTGCGCCACTTATGCACTGGCGCTTACTGCGCTTCAGCGCGTCCGAACGTTCGATGTTGCTCAATCGTGCTATAATCTGCCGTCGCCTTGTTGTTTCCAGGCTGACAGAGCCTTTCGCATGCGAGCGTGTCTCGATCTGCGAGTTGCTGGACAATCGATGACTCTTTGCGTAGGGCGGCCGTAGGCTTACGCCTGGACTTGACGATGAAACTATCGACGAAGGAGAGACTCCGAGTCCTGCTACAGAATCTTCGGCCCTAAGTCGCTCGTGGAGCCTTGTATCGCTGTTTGACCTCCATACCGGTCGATGCACGTCCGTTGACGACTTGTTCTTTTTCTCGATGCCCTCACCCTCGTCAAGATGGCCAGTTGAGTCGCTATCTGCGAACAGTGGCTCGTGAATTTCGGTCTCATCAGCAGTCTTGTCAGCGCTCATGAATGGTACCGCTTTCGAAACCACGCTCAGTATTCCGGATAAAGAAGTCATCTCTTCAATGAAGCTGGCGGCGATGGCTGGCCTTCTCGAACTGAACGCTTGTGGCCGTGGGGAGATGCTCAGCTGTACGTACGCTGGTCTGCTAAGTCTAAGGATGACGTGTGTAGGTGGAAAATTTGGTAAGGAGAAGGTCCATAAGCGCTAGGGTTACGTGGCATTGTGTCAACTCGCTGTACGCGGAGCTTGTGTACTTTGTCGTGCCTTCATGGAAGGAGCCAACGTCTTACCGAGATTGCTCCTCGTCGTGGATTGCAACTACCCTCAGAACCGAGGAAGTCGCGCACCAACACTTCCTCACAGCCACAACACGACCAGCTTCATCGATATCATTATGCTGTGCTGCTCGTCGCCAAGGACCACAGGATCGGCGAGCTCACTAAATTGGTTGCAACGGCACCTCATCATCACAACGGCACGTGTTGAGGCTCGATGCGGTGATTCACTCCTGGGCTTTGCCTGATGTTTACAGTGTTCTGCGCATTTCTTCCAAAATGCTACTAAATCTAGTAGGCACTGCGCTTACTGGAGACCGTACTGCTCACAAGCAAGCATTTCGCCTGGCTCGAGCTTGGCAGCTTACCTCCCGTCCAATAAACGGACTCTACTGTAACCTGATGGGTACGTACCTTCCTTCTTTGGCAACCTTGTGCTCCAGAACCTCTTCGTATCGACCTAATGTCTGGCATGGTGAGCCTCAAGAATAGCAACACTTCCGGTTAATGGTTCTCAAAGCTGATTAGGTGCACATAAATAGGTGTCTGTGTGTGCTGCAAGAATTTGCAACAATAAGGAACTGTTGAGTCGTTCGTAAAGATGGACTTCGCGACTCTATTGCACTACTTTGTCTCCGTGACTACAGCTGCTGCAAGTATTTGTCCGATACTAGGCTCCGTCTTTCCCACACCCAGGAAACTTCACTCGTCTGCTGCTTTCCAAGAACAGTTGAAAGCTCTGCGCGCAAGTCTTGACGAAGCCTTCTTAAGCGGTAACACTACACACGGCGTAGTCAATCCGAACGATACATATTCTGTCCAGGTTTTCTCTAGTACAACTGAAGAGCCGCTCCTCGACTATCATCGACGTGGTCCTAACGTTTTGGGGGATCGAACAGTCGACGGCGACTCCGTGTATCGCATCGCCAGCACTTCCAAATTGTTGCAGCCAAAATAGAGGCAAAATATACATACATTTGCACCCCTGAATTGGCTGGTAAATAGGCATGATATGTGCTGCGACACAAATTGATCACTGTCTACCTGCTCCTGCTTCATGCTGGAGAGACCATCTTCAGCGACAAGGTGACGAAGTACGTACCTGAGCTCGTGGGTGCCGCAAATTGGGACGACATCACTGTCGGTTCTCTCGCTAGTTATCTTGGAGACGTTGCTTCTGAGCATGAGTATCGCTTTGGTTGGAAATGTCGCAATGCTGAATTTCTTAGTTTTTGACACCAGATCCTTGCCTGGCGGCGATCTCAACGCACTACTTCCCCCCGGTACCCTTCCACCACTGTTCGCAGATGAGATCCCGAAGTGTTCCTACGGCTCTAGTGGGTGCACCCAAGAGGTCTTCCTGAGCGATCTCTCTAGCAGGCGTCCAGCATATCTGCCCAATACCACGCCGGCTTATAGTAACGCGGCATTTGCTACGCTCGGTCTCGTATTGGAGGCAGCTGCAAATTCCACTTTTGAAGAAGCACTCCATCATCTCCTTCTCGACCCTTTACAGCTGAAGGCAACATCAATCTCTCAGCCGCAAAATTTGAGAAACGCCGTCATTCCGGGAAATGCGACCACCTCGGGATGGGATCTCGACCTTAGCGACACGCCTGGAGCAGCCATGGGCGGGTTTTTCAGTACCCCAAATGATCTCTCGGCGATCGGGCGTGCGATTCTCTCCTCGACACTTCTGCCAAGCTCAACAACACGCGCGTGGCTAAAACCAACATCCTTCACATCATCGCTTATTGGTGCTGTCGGACACGCCTGGGAGATATATCGCGCCGTGATCGATGTCAAGAACAACCGTGTAATCGATCTCTACACGAAAGCCGGGAGTCTCCCTGGGTATGGGTCTATTCTGATCTTAATACCAGACTTCGATGTCGGCATTACCATAATGATGGCAGGTGAACGAGGGAATGGCGGAACCACCATCGCAGGTGTGATCACCGACAACCTCCTCCCAGCATTGGAAGAAGCACCCAGGGTACAAGCGGACGTCTCGTACGCAGGAACATATACCGGAAGCAACGGCCTAAACTCAACGGTCAAGTTGACGACAGCGCCAGGAGTTCCAGGACTCAGCATCGAGGAATGGGTCAGCAATGGCACGGATTTACGTCACTCCGTGTACGAAACCGTGGAGTTACTCCAGATGTTCCCAACCAACATTGTAAGCGACGATGACAAAGAGATTTCGTGGCGATTGACAACTGGCTCTGCTCCAAACACGGGTTCGCCGTTTGATGCATGCCCTTCCTGGCTTGGTATCGATCGGCCCACCTACGGTGTTTATAGTCTGGATCGTTTCGTCCTCCACGTTGGCGAGGATGGTAAAGCATGGGGTCTTGAGCCCAAGGTGCTCAAGACCGTTCTCGAAAGAGTCTAGGCGATTGATTGAACGAAGCCCAACTGAGACGCTCTGCTTTGTCGTGCAGAGAGGGGACTGCGAGCGGACAAAAAAATTCGAACAAAAAACCAGTCAATCTGGATGCGCGTGAAGTTGGCACGGGTCTAGCAAATGCGGCCTTCACGGGCGTACCGGTAAGCGTGGCTTGCATTACCGGTACCAGTAAAGCTTCTAAATACAGACTTTGATCTTGGCGCTCAACAACATCACCGATGATGCATACAAAGATTCCAATGTTTCCATCGAGCTAACGGGATAGAACAGGATCTGACTGCTACGTCCATTAAGCATTTCCGACCTGAGCTTTCGTTGTATGTGTGATCCTCGGCTCCCCGCTCAGCCTTACCATTACTATACTATCACAGCCTTGCAGACATCGCGCAGTCTCACAACCGTACGGTCTGACTTTCAAGACTAACCCTCGTCTGCATGCAGTCACTCAGCCTAGGTATGCATCATGTGTCATTCATCACACCATCTTGTCTCTGCAAGGACCAATGATAGTATGCCTCGATCTTGGGAGAACGCACTATGGCATATTCTCAGCCTCAGAGAAATTTCCCCGCTTCCTTCAACAAATGCTTCCAGCAACGCCATCATATCTTGTCGAGCAGTCGCCTGGTTTTTTGCCCCGGCCTATCCTATCCTCATCGTACTTCTCTCCCGATTCAAGATGTTGCTCCTATCTATCCTGGGAAGTCTTGTGGTTTTAGTGATCGCGCAGGAGAGCATACAGAATCCGCTAGAGAGCTTTTGTCGACGTTATCAGCACCAGACCTGCGTCATCGACTCAAAGCTCTATGTGGACGGAGGACTTGCATACTATGGCAAGAGCGTCGCCGCCAGTAGCCACCCTGAGAGGAGTGAGTCGCATCTAAACCCTGAACAGTTATTTAGAAGCTGACCTTGTAGACACATGGTTGCTGTGGAATGACCTGAGCAGTCTGTCTTCTGGTTTGCCTCCTCAGTACAAAAATCTCACCAAGGTACTTCGTGACCCCATTTTGGCAATCAAACACTGATCGAGCTCAGGGCCCCGATATTCCCACCGTTAGTGGAGGCGTACTATGGCCTGATCGCGTCAACAAGCTCTTCTATCTGTTTGGCGGCGCATATGATCTCGGTAGCCAAGTAAAAGATTTTACTAACCTGTGGTTCTTTGACACCATTTACAACACCTGGAACAAGACTGAGTATGACGGATCTCAAGCGGATGTGGCTTACCCGTACTTCGGTGCTTCAACAGTCACTGATGAGGGTATAGCCTACTACTACGGCGGGTATCTGAGCAAAAGCTCTGTTCTGAATTGGCAGGGAGACAAAATGATGCTTCGTGGTCTTCTTTCATACGACATGAACAAAAATCTATGGAAGAACAGAACCTACGACCCGATCCGGCGTGCGGAAGGCTCCCTTCAATATCTACCGGCATCAGACAGAGGTATGCTAGTGTACATAGGAGGACTCGAGACATCGATTTCAGGGGTCGTGAATTACGTGAGTCTTCCCGATGGTGGACAAGAAGTCTGTTGGTACTGATACATATTAGACGAGTCTAAGTGTAAGTAAAATTAATTGTCCAATTTGCTTACATCTGACAACGTCCAGCAAATCCAGCTTTTTGATCTGTCAATCAACAAATGGTACACACAGACTGCCACTGGTAACGTACCACAAGCAAGGCGCAGCTTTTGCTCTGGTGTTGTATGGGCCGAGGATTACTCGTCTTACAGCATGTAAGGTTTGTGTGGCCTCGATGTAATCGTGTGCTGATTAGCCTTAGATATATCTACGGAGGTATCGGCTCGAAGGACACAGCTCTCGGAGACCTGCATGTTCTCTCAATACCCTCATTTACGTGGTCATCAGTAAAGTGTTCTTCGTATCTCTAGGCTCAATGGAGTTCTGACACAAACAGCTGTATCCGGACCCCCAGGTGAAAGACTTCCCTGGAGGCAAAGCCTGGTCTTCTTGCAACGTTATCCAGAACTCACAAATGATTGTGATGGGTGGAGATTGGACCAACCCATCGAAGATCGCATGCGATGTGCCTGACGGTTGGGGTCAGCATGGAGTATTGCTTGGACAAGAAGGCTTTGAGCTACCGGGGAACAACAAGTGGTGGTCTGGACTAAAGTCGAACATTTCGACGTACAATGTGCCTGGAAACATTGTATCCGTAATAGGTGGTGGGTATGTATACACTCGCGTGACTATGAATGGTCACGATACTGATGAACGGCAGCCCTGAAGGAAAAGCTACGGCTACGGCCCCTGCGGCAGGCTGGCAGACAAGTGACCTAGCCAATTATTTTAGAACTACGTATGCTGCTAACCAGCGGTCTGCGACACGATTGGTACCTGGATCATCAAGTTCGACATCGACGGCTCAATCGAACCCTACAGACCCGCCATCAAAGACCAGTGTTGGCGCTATAGCTGGAGGCGTCGTTGGCGGCGTGGTCGGGCTGGTGTGCGTCATTGCCCTAGCATGGTGTTGTCTTCGCCATCGACATCGCCAGACACCTGGCTCTCAGACGACTCCACATGTGTCTTCAGACGCTCGAGGACTGCAGCAAGACTCGGCGGCAGCGGCGAACGAGAAATATATCGCCACTCCAACGACCGCTTCCTACCCCAGCACGTTTCCTTCTCCGCATCCGCATATGCCTACATACTCTCCACAGGTCTCGCCTCCTCCTCCATCGTGGTCCGAACTTCACACTCCCAGCACACATTATGAGGGCTCGCCTCCAATGCCTCAACAGGCTTGGGCCTCTTACGACATGCCCGTCCAGTATGTCAACCAGCAGCAATACTACCCACCACCTACAGAACTTTCACAAACACCCAGCAAGCATGCGCACATGGCTAGTGCTGAGCTGCCCAGCATCAGGAGTCCTGCGAATGAGGTGGCGGAGATGCCAGAAATAAGGAGTCCTGTACCGAAGCGTGGACTGTGAGACGCGGAGGAGAATTCCTTTGGGATTGAAAGCTAACCTTCAGCTCATGATATAGTTCACCTTTCAGTCTTCAATTGAGAGGCGGTTTTTCTAGGTCATGTGTGCCAGTCTGTCGTGTAATATCAAGTCAATTCTACTGAGCACTACCTCGAATCATTTCCACAGAACGTACCATAAGTAGACTTGCCACTCGCCTTCCAGGACACAGGCAGTGTCACGCAAATGCTGGGAATGCGATAGAGCTCTAAACGATGGAGGCAAGAGAGAGCGCTAGTGAAGCAGCCTGCCCCAGACGACGGCTCGTACTGGGTTTCTGATGGGTATGCAGCATACGTCTACCAATTTGACAGAAAGGGAAAGATAATCCAGGCCACCCGAACCCCTGATGCTTTATCCCGTTACGCAACGGCACAGACTCGTTCAGTGCTGCATTCTCACCGATCTACAGTCAGGATTTTGAAATCACACCAGAGGACCCTTCGACAGGAAGAGCCAATAACCAAGGTCTTGAAGCATTGATATCTAGTCTGGATGGTAAGTACTTGTACACGATGCTCTAGAGTGCTGCCATCCAGGACGGCGGTTCAAAGTCTTCCACACGCCGCAACACACGTCTGCTCGAGTATCTTGTCAAGAGAAAGTCTGTCGAAATTGAGGCTGAGTATGCTGTTGAACTGCCTGTTCTGTCAACGGGCAAGGTGGCCGGGCAATCTGAGATTCACTACATCTCGGAGACACAACTCCTCGTTCTGGCTTGCGATTCTGGCGCTGGTCACAGTCAGGATGTATTTTCATCCATATACCGTAACGCCGATGTTATTGACATCTCTAACGCTACCAACATTATGGGTAAGTACGATGCCTTCAACGCTCAAATTGCGAGCAACAAGGGTGTGCTGAAGAGCGACATTGTGCCAGCGACATACTGTCCTTGGCTATCTTACAACACCAGTTCTCAGCTAAACCGTTTCGGGGTTCGCAATGGAGGCGCTCAGGGTGCCAACCTGCTGAACGAGAAGTGGGAGAGTTTCGCGCTCGCACCAGTGGACAGTGACTTCCAGACAAAGGGCGAGGGGAAGGAGTACTGCCTGATCTCGTTCTCGGATAACGACTTCATCACTCAGTATGGGTATATCAACTTTGGCAAACAGCCGTACAAGGATGGTTCTGGTTACAATCTGGACTCGCAAGTGTTGGTGTTCAAAGTCAGGCTGCCGAAGGGCGCCAATCCGTTGTAGATCAGACGTGTATAGTCCGATAGTATACACATAGAGATAACCACGTTTTCACCCTCGTTTCTTGTAGCTTCTCGTGTGATGCAGATGTTGACAGACGCCTTCGATCGTGAAGGGATCACTGCTGGTGAATAGATACGTCACTTTCGTATCGATAAGCGCGACACCGCGGCTGCCACATTTGTTTACTGGACCCACTCTGCATCAACACCAATTCCTCTACCCCACAACCAGCTGCAGTCTGGCCTTCAACTTGAATCGTGTGAGACATTCGGACACAATGTTCCGCAAAAGCCACCGGGAGTCAACGACCCCTATGGACTTTGAGTATGACAACAAATACGGCCCAGTCGACCAGCAGTCACCTTTTCTGACGTCCATCGCCAACTCGCCCGCCAGAAGACGTGAGCTTGATCCTACTGCGCCCAGTCCTTTCATAGGGCAGAGGACATCTCAGCTAAGTCAAGGGCCGCGCTTCGGCCAGCCAGGTCCCCAGTCGCAGTCCGATTCACCCAACAAGAGCGCTTTCGCGACGCCGAGCCGCGTACGCCAGGCGGCCTCCAACTTCCCCCAAAGCGGCGCGAGGCCCCTTCCTTCGATCCCACAACATGTAAACAGCACGTGGACACCGCGCACGCCAGTCGCCGACTACGACTTCAGCTCCGGCGGCGAGACACCGAACACTCCGGCGCAAGAGAGCGAGCAGGCAACACCGGACACACAGATAGCGAGCAAGATGCAGCTGCTGATGGACAGTCCTAGCCCAAAGAAGGCGGGCAGGCGACAAAGTATCTTGAAAATGGTCAGGGGTTGGAGCAGTCCAAGTCCCTCGAAGGAGTCGTCGCTGAAGGACATGGAGAAGGAGCTCTCGCGCAAGCACTATAACGAGAAGCTGGAAAATAGAGTCGTGAAGCGCCGCTCAACGCGCGAACGCTCGGATCGTTCGAAGAAGAAGCGGATGACAGTTCGCGACGAGGATGACTCTGACAACGAGCCGGTGCAAGCGCAGAAGAACGCACCGGCGGAGCCGGTAAAGGTGCAACAGACCTACAGCGCCAGCATTGCAGGCTTCTTCCACTGGATTGAGGCGCACCCTAGGTTGCCAACGGTACTAGCCTACTATCTGCAGTTCGCGGTCAACGCCTTCTTCCTTATCCTGTTCATGTGGGTGGTGTACATCATGTTGAATGCCGTCTTTGCGGATATCAACATTGAGTCGGACAAGCACCACTCTGAGATCATGGTCGAGATCGCGCAGTGCGCGAAGAACTACCGTGAGAATCGGTGCGAGCCAGATACACGTGTTCCTGCTATGGAGATGGCCTGTGGCAACTGGGAGACGTGCATGAGCCGCGACCCACAAAAGCTCGCGCGTGCCAGCGTCACCGTCAAGGCATGCGCACGTATCATCAACAGCTTCTTTGAGGAGTTCAGCTACAAGTCTATGGTATGTTCAGCCACTCCTATCCTCGTGTTTGGCTATTTCTGGCTTGAGCTTCGCAAGCAACTCCACACTATTGTAGAAGTCGGACAAGAATCGTGGCCAGGAGCCAACTCTAGCTCCCACCCCGCGACTTTCCACGCCCACCTTGCGCCTTCGTACCCAGCGGAAGCAAAACAGCCCCCTTCCATCCTTCATCAGTCACAGCTTGAAGTCCCTCAACCTACGTCAACCCCTCGACTTCCGCGCGGCTATGCTGATCAATTCTCTCAACAATAGATCTTCCTCACCATCATCATCTTCGGTGGCTTCAATGTTTCAAACTGGGCGTTCGGTCTATTCCGCCAACAGCACGCCCAGCCTCAACCACGGTACACCGATTTTGTTCCACCGCAAACGCCTCACCGCATCAATTCAAGCAGCTATATCGAGAACGGGCAGCATGTGTGGCAGACACCGTATCAGACGCCGTACGAAGGGCGAGGTTTTATACAACAACAACAACAACAACCGCCGATGCTGCAGCATACGCAGAGTACGCCGGCGTTGCCGAGCTATGCACAACAGGGCGCGGTCGAGGAAATGAAGACGCCTAGTCGGAGACGGGGCCCCCGGTAGCCCTGATAGTTTATCGATTTCTCGATTTGTAGGCTTTGGATACTGCCGCGATTGCACAACTGGCGTTCTGATTCTCTCCTATCTACGGTCAATTTTCTTGTCTCTTTCTCTAGGGATTTGGGTTAGGCGAAAGGGTTGGAACACGGTCACGGACGCACACTTCTCTTTTGTATACTTTCTGTGGCTACTTCTGCCCACCAATTCAGCGCCGTCGTTGCATAGCATAACGCCGCGGGTGGTTGGTTGGACCCCCGCAATCCAATCTCGCGGTCGTCAGTCACGTATTGCGCAGTGTCGATATATATGCATGTTGCAGCACAAGTTCCCATGTAGCTACCGTCCACCCTCATGAAAATTACAAAAGCTGCAGGCGCTCCGCAGCATGTAGCTGGTAGCTTTGTGGACCGAGTCTGAAGACGCCAAAACCCATATGCCCTTCTGTTCGCCAAGTACTACACGACACTATCAGAGTGTCATATCTGCTACTGCATGCCCTCTCTTGGCCTTTCGGTGTCGAATGGCCACCACGCCGGAACCATGTGTCGATCCGCTGGCGGAGCAACTAATGTGTTTCTTTGTTCTTCAAAGCGCGACGTTCACCAATGGTGTGTGGTTTGAAACTTGAAAGACCAAAAAGTGGCAGTCAAAAAGCGCTATGTCTGTTTCTTTACTCTTTTTAGTCATAAGATTCGAAAACGCTCGCGAAAGGCATCATGTCTGTGCCTCGGGGCTGTGCCTTCGTTTCACGGTGGCGCGAACTTCTCATGTGTACTGCTAGAAATAGTCTGTATTTTTACTTAATTTACCACACTTTTCGGCCATCAAAGCGTCAAAATCTCTAGATATATGGCAGAGTCGCGTCACCGAATTTGGCTCATGTGGTGTATATGTCTGGCCCCCCGTGAGCTTGAAGAACCGCGGGCAAACTTCACACTCACTACTATTCCCGCGTAATTCAACAGAATGTTCACAGGATTGATGGCATACTGCAGGTCTCTCCTCGCTTAGCCTAACATCGGGATTCTAAGCCCAAAACTTTCTGAAGTGGCAAAATCGCATACAACGTCAAGTCATGTCTGGTTTCTTCGTCAGCCAAAAATCACCTCTTCTGATCGATCCTTGCAAGACATGATTATAAAGGCTTCCTTAATCAACCTCACTACCGCAAACATCTTCAAACGTCTGTATCCATTGAAACAGACGGTTGAAGCCTCTATGTTGCGATTCTGTCTTTGCCGTCTTGGATCTCCACGGGTATCGTCTCTTGTGGCGGCGCTTGCCTGCGCCGGATCAATCTCGTAACACCAGACATGTTCTTCTATGTTGTGTTTGTGTTCCCAGTGCATGGACTTAAAAGTCCTGTCACAATGGACTATGCTGCTGACAAGATGCTGCGCACGCGGTACACTTTTCTATGGAGATGACGCGAATACAAGATACCCGCAACCACGGCACGTCTCCACATCTATACTTTAGTGCCTCACTATGTACCAAAATATTGAATCGAAATGCGCATGTATGTTTCTGGAGTCGTGTTTCGAATAGGACTCCATTTTGGGGCAGGTGTGCTTCTCTCCTTCGATTTTCAAGAGGTCCTAGGATCTACCATGTTTATGTTTGTCATCTAAGAGTCAGACGTTGTCTCACATGCGCCAAGGCGCCGAGCTTTTATACGTTTTCTCTATCTAAAATCGACTACTTAAGTGCTTTCTTTGCCGGAAAGGAAAGTCTTCGTGTGTTCATCGGAACTACATACGGGCTACACGTATAGTGTGTCAGGGAAATCATATGACTTTGCAACACAAATAAAGCATCTACTCAAGTTACTAGGACACTTCTGCGAGAGCATGCACGGTTGAGGAGAGGTTACGATGTGGCCACAAGATGGATTTGCTAGAATGTACAACGGTAAGGACAGGCTATATCTTCATCATCAAACGTTATAATGTACTCTCAGCTCGACCATTCTTGCAGATCGATCTAGAAGTCCTTGAGATAGTCACCAACAAAGTTGCTGAGCTGAGTCTCGATAGAGCCGACCTGAGGGAAGCCAAGCACGCCCGCGAGATCCTTAGCCTTGTCACCGAGGGAGGTAAGAGTGTTCTCAACATAACGGTGCTATCACATGTCAGTCGCCTTGGTGTCAACTGTGCGTCTGAAATACAATTGCTCACCTGGTACTGCTTGTTGTTCTTGTCATGGTAGACAAGAAAGCGCCTGGTCTGAGCCTTATCTTGTCCGTACTGAAAGCTGCCATCGACATCTACAGTGATACTGTCACCCTTATTCTTGTTCTTGAACTCGTCGAGCTTGCTGGCCTGGACGAAGATCGCGCCTTGCGCATCGCCTGTGTTGACGTCAGATGGTCCACTATATCGTCACAGAAAAGTGAACTAACTGCCTGGGACATTGTAGCTTGCAACGTAGTAGTCCTCGCTGCGCGACTTGAGACTCTGACTCCACTTGATAGTGACTCTCTGGTCCTGGATGGAGGACGCAGAGACGTGGATAGTGTTGCCCTTGTTGATGAGACCCATTTTTGCTTTGATGCTAAGGTGAGATATAAGAGTGAAGATTTTATGAGTATGAATGAAGTGGTAGAGGCTGAGTGCGTGATGATGAGTATAGATAGGCGGGCCTCCTCATCTTTATAGCTGCCGTCAGGAGCGCAACACCTCCATACAGACTGTGATCAGTCACCAAATCTCTGTACCTAGAGCTCCAATCGAGTTGGTTTGCATCTTGGAAGATCCGTTATAGCTACTTGGGGTGTTGTCGTCGTCAGACCGATGCCGAGCAACGTACGTTCAGCCAGCCACTGTAGGTCGAAGGGCCTTTCTCAGTCAGAAGCGAGCCACTCGAGAGTCTCATCTCTGTACCAGCCTCGACATTCTAATCGCCGAAACGTAAGTTGAGCTTCTTCACAGCACGTGCGTGCTCGTATTCCGACAATGTCTCCACTTAGCTTGAGTGGCTTGAGCTGAAGTCAGGGTCTCGAGCATGTGAACTGTCATTGTGGGGACATCTGGTTTCGCTTCGAAACATCGTAGCTGTGGCGTTCCTGAGGTGGATGCGGTCCGTTGCGCTGTCGCCCCACTTAAAGTGTGCGAGTCGTGCATACGAGGTAGACCAAAGCTGCACCTTCCCCAATCCAGTGATGGCATTCACCGATCGGGTAAGACTACTCTCCGCAGTTCCTGTATCTGGACGGCATGGCCGACCTGCCCGCCTAGCCATGCATGTCGTCCAGTTTGGGCATGATACTGTTAGCATAACATTATTGGCTCTGCAGTGTGGCTGGCGCACTCCTAACATTATCCACGAGGAGCCACCCACAGCAGTCGAAAACTGTCTGCTGCAGCATTCTACAAGGCTGCTCTTTCCACTGCCGTATTTCAGTGACGGTGCTTGTGCTGTACATAGGGTGGCCACGTCCGCTCGTATACTTCTAGATCCCAATATTCTTGTAGCAAGTTGGAGTCGCTCCTACGCCGATTAGTTAGCTCACGCTTCTAATACAAGGGGTTGACCTGCATGTGGTGAAATACGAGGTGTTTCATATGTTTTCTCTTACAATAAAGAACGATATCTATACACAAGATGACTGGTACCGGGTCGCGGCAGTGGCAATCGTAATCCACTCCGTTCAGGGCGACCCCTTGTAGCTGTGTGACGGGACAGGACTGGACGTACCGATGCGGTCATCCCCTGTAGTAGCTCGTACCCATGGTGCCGGCGGAAATCACTCCGTCTCCACAGAAGACCAGGTTGGCAAAGATAGACGGGTACTCCGATCATATGAGTAACCTCAACGTTTAGTCATCACACCGTTGAAGCTCCAATCGTTATCGACACTGATCATGCATCCTGTCTTTAGAGATCAGTGCTTTGATGAGGCATCTTGAATCGCACATGGAACGTTCTAGAAAAGATGCGTGTATCTCCAAATCCAGTCCGCTTTATAGTATGTTCGAGCAGAGCATGCCGAAGCTGTGTTTGTTGAGGAGCGACCTGAACGCCTTCAAGGCCATCCCCTGCAAGATCTCCAAGTGTCGTCAATACCGTCTGAACGCCCTAGAAATATCTCCAAATGCAGAATTTACGCCATATTCCATATTTGAAGTATGAATTTAGTGTGAAAGCAAGGTCCACTCGTCGTCGCTGATGGCTTTTTCGTCGGTCATTGTTCGAGCAATCGATGCCGCAGGCACGAGTTCAGGGCTTGACATCTGAGTGTGCGGGATGCTACTCCTGTTTGCCTCAGAACGGTATACTAGGGCAAATCCCTCGTCTTCACTGACATTTCCGGCTGCGTTGTCTAAATCTGATGCAGGCTTAGGGTCGCGAGATCGGTGAGGGAGTGTGATAGATGCACCAACATCGGTCATACTTTTGCTCAGCTGTGTGACCAGTAGGGGTCGGGCGTTGCGGCGTCCATACTCGAGGAGCAATCGTCGAGCACTCTGAGATGTGCCCCCCGTGGCAATCTTGGTAACCTGTGTTTCCGTCTCCCCGAAGGCGCCATCCCAGTTGGAGTCGTCGTCCACCTTTAGAGGTATAGACCTCTCTTCTTCAATACGAGGCCCACTAGATGGATCTGCTTCAGGCAAAAGGGGTCTGCCCTCCAACCGTGCGCTTGTCTTGTCGACCCTCGCCCGCTTGTATCTGCGCAATGCATCGTTTACGGTCATCACCCTATCGGTGTCGTCTTCATCTGAGGACTCGATGTTGGTAAACTTCAATAGCGCCGCGGACAATGCAGGAGCCGACACACTGTGCTTCGACCGGTCTGGGATCCTGCGACGGCTATCCGATGCTGCGCGCCTGGCAGTGAAGGTCGGGTTTGCGCGTTGAAAGGCTGTTGTAGATCCAATAGATAATGTCTTGATTGATGCCGGGTCAGTGGTGGCAGGGTTGCGAGGCAGGTTAAATAACATCGCGCTCGGCAGCTCACGAGAGGCCAGAGTCGTGGGAGCGTTGCTTGACTGAGCCATGGGGCTGGACGGCAGCCGAATGATCTCTGCAGCACCTGTATATAATTAAGATTAATTGATAACAAAGTTTTGTGCATTTACTCACAGTCGTCTTCGAAATTCCTCGTGATGTTTGTGCGGCAGAGGTCTTGTCGGAAGGCTGGAATCTCACGTACAGCTGTCAAGAAATCCAGGCTCTCGCCCAGCTTGTGATATAGGTAGACAGCTACACAGTAGTTGAGTAAAGTGTCCACAAGATTGTGATTGCGGCGCGCATCATCGCTGGCGAAGTGTCGATAGATGAACCTGATCGTGTCGAGGAGGTCTCTTGGGTGCTTGGGCAGACAACAGGCAAACTCGATCTGACAAGAAAAATTCCCGTGTGCCATTATCTCTAGTTCTGGTACATCGAAGTCCTCGGCAATTTTGTACGTTTCGGCATGCTGCAAAAGCAGGATGCTGTCTCCGTCCGGTTCATCTGCAAGATAGCTACCAGTGTAGCAATACCGCGCAAGTGATATGACGGCAGTCTCTGAGGAAGCTTCAATGCTTGCTTGCAATCGGCTCTGCGCGTTGTACTCGAAGGTGTGGTACAAGAGTGGGCATGTTTCCAGGAACTTGAACGGACTGATGGCGTTTGAGATGTGGATGACTTTACCGTCAGGCAGGACCGCTTTCAGGATTGCATCGCTGGCACCGTACTCATTGCCGAGCTCTGTGTCGATGAAAGTGATATCGTCCATCGTGTCAGTTGCAGGGTCCTTGGCCTCTCTGGCAGGCAGGAGCGAGGTATCAGCGTTCAGAGCAAGTTGGCGAGCTTTGGAACAGAGGATGTCGAAAGAATACAGCGGAAAACGAAGAGCGAGGAGATGCCTCAAAATTAAGAGATCGATTGTGCGACCGCAGTCTGACGAGGCTGGACTGACCGGCTGAAGGATTAGGCTACAGCGTGACTGGAAGGGTGGCCATCCAGCAACTCGTTCTTTCTGGTATGCCCCAATGACCACATTCCTTAGCTGATGCTCTAGATCCTCTCAATATTCTTGAACATGTTGTATCGAGTCAAGGTTGTATTGCAACGATACAATTGACTGTTCGTGAATGTGTCACGGCGGGCGGGGGAGCTCAGGACGGCCTGAGCAATGCGACGCAAACCGGCACCAGTCTGGCCATTGGATTGGCGAGGATCAGCCTTGAAGGCCATCCAATGATCGCTTTCAGACTTGGTGTAGCCTTACATAGATGCCTGATGTCAGCTGCGGAGATCTTGGTGTTGAGGTGCCAAGGAGGGGTGAACACACTAAGGCCCCTTTCGTCTGTGCGTGAGCTACAACCATACAGAACGATGACGATCCGGGAGGGGATCCGCTTGGTGGTCCCGCGCGCAACCGCGTCTCCCTAATATCACGCTACCACATCGTAACCGCTCTTCAAAGTCTACGTACTGGCTCGATTGCTACGTCTTCCAGGTCGATCTGCGACTTTGTCTTCCTTGGACCTCAATTGGCTCAATGAGCTGCAATTAGCGGCCGTACATGATGGGCTTGCTATCTATTCTCCCCGCGAGCTTCTCAACTGTTGAGACATGGCTCACGCGCGTATTTGTGAGTCGACCTGCCTTTCCAGTGTTTACTCCTGTAATAATGTCATTGAAAGCTGTTCTTCGGTCTCGTGATCATCGGTCCATGGGCAGCGCTCGTTGTCTATGACCTGATACTTTACGTCTTCCGCGCCGTTACCTACGAAATCCCAATGATGGGCGGTCGCGCTCGAGGGAAAGCACGACCACGCGCACCGAGCCTTATCGAACGACCGAATGGACATAGAATAAGATTCAGTCTGGCTCGACCGAAGGAAGATGCAGGAAACAGTACAAGTACTGCAGCAGCGGACACGCCGGACATTCGGTCTCGATACACACAGGAGGAAGCAAGCATTGGATCCAGGATATGATTGCTGTGAAGCGATAAGAACCTAGTCCACATATAAGGCTGCAGGGGTAACTCCAGTTGCCTCCGGTGGAGAATGTATACGATCGGCTTCGCAGGGTTTAATCCTACGAAAAGACACAATGTCTCACTTGCTTGTGTTACTCCAGACAACGCCCATCTGTTGACAATAATACAGAAACTCAAGCTTGAAGGACAGCGGACTGACTCTAGGCCCGCTTAGGCTAGTTTAGTACCAGGGCTTCTCGTGATGCGACAAGGCTAGATTGTGGCATGAGATAAGTGATTCTGCCCTCGTGGATACTTCTCTGAGTACAATTGCCGGCTCATGTAGTCCACCTTACTTGTCAAGATAGTGTCTTCATACCGACAACTTGTTACCTAATCGAGAACCGTTATGGATGCATAGGTGGAAGGGTGAGCTTGGCATCCTGTTGGTTCATGGTTTTGCTGGCTGCATGTTGTGAACAACTACATATAGCAGTGCCACCATCGTCATCACCGCGTACAGCCATGCTGTAATAGGAGCCATACCTGCACTATACAATCTCAGCCTCGTCGGCCATAGAAGCATGACAGTCTCCATCATGCTTCCAACTTTTGGTTGCAAAACAAAACTCACGATTATCAACAGTAGCTACTAGACCCAATCACGAGCTCAAACTGTTGATCAGTCGGCAACAGTACGAGCCAGTCGACGTGGGCACAGAGCTCGGCCAGATCTACTCCAATATCGAATACCAAGGCCGCGACCTCAACAACGACCTGAGGACGACTAAACTCACAAGTCTGACTTCGAGAAGCCCCGTGTTCACGCGTTAGACGTCCATGCAGCGCTTCCAGCCGTCAAGCTTTCGATTACCTAGCCGTATCGAACGACGGATTGGTCCCAAAACATGGAGATTTGGGCTGCTCGCTGGTTTTTACGCTTCTCCAGCCGTTCCGATCAGCAACATGCACTCTTGATCTACCGCGCACTCACACATGCCACAGTGAATGACAGTAATGTCACGTTAATGCAAGGCGACATGAAAGCTGTGCCGCGTGTGAGTGCAGCGTTGGAACGTACTAAGCACGATTCTTCCCACTTCAACCAACTACGCCCTGCAAATCCTGTGCGCTCCTACTAGAAGTGAAATAGTACACAACCACCGAAACGGAAGACGGGTGGAAATTGAACTAATCAGCTTTCGCAATCTAAAGCTTGTGAAGCGGAAGAGAGTAGTGCTCCGGTGATCTCGCTCGCAGACATTAAATTTAGTACTACCAAGTTGCTGAAACTCCAAGTAGCTATAACTCGCCTCTCTTCCAAGTCACCAGCGGTCAGGAATACAGCATCGAAGTAACAACAAACGCAACTGAACCGTCTGCAGATGATGCTTCCTGGCAAAGACTTAGCAATGCTGACTGGACGAAGATCTACAATGACTAGTACGTGTCTGGATACAGCGACTTGCTTTTAGCCATCAATAACGCATCTTCGAGGGTAATCGTCGGCTGGAGAATGTGAACGATATTCTGAGATAAAGGTTCAAATTCGAATATGAGCAAACGTTGGCGAAATTTTAGTTCAGCAGTAGTCGGCAGTCTGTCGTGTGATGTAGAGATGTGTGTTGGAAGACTGTAAGGTGCAACTTCGGAACGATTCGGGGATGACATCACTGACCTTCCGACGCGTTCAGCCTGAAGGTCACTCGGTTACTTCGCCATCGACTTTCTACCGTCAGTTAACACGACCACACTTCTGGGATGACGAGGTCTCTGGGGACCACAGCCTTGCCATTCTGGCCGGCGCTCCTCTTCACCTACCTTGAGCCCAGTAAGATCGTCAGTGCATGACCACGCCGTTTTCACTGAGACACAAGCAGTATCCCTCATCATCGGTGCTCAAGCAGCAATAACCGCACCTTCTACGTTCGTCTCTTCTCAGCTCCAAAGCCTTGGTTCGGCGGACCCCGTCTCGCCAGCTGTGGACATACTAGCGTATACGCTGGGCAGTCTGTTTCTGCTTCTTGCTGGGTACGCGTTGACCTGCACCGTACTGACAAGAGATCCAAATGTCACAAAGTACTACTTGGTGTTCGCCGCATGCGGGGATGTGGGTCATCTTGCGGCAAACTATGTAGGTATGGGGAGTTCCGTGTTCTGGGCATATAGAGAGTGGAACGAGGTGATGTGGGGAAACATCGCTGTCACTATGTTCCTGTTTCTGAACCGGGTGGCGACGGTAAATGGGGTGTTTGGCACACCGGGATGGGTGATTGGGGAAGGAAAAAAGCTATGAGGATACGGTTCCTGTGGCAGGATTGTATGTAAAAGGTGCAATGGTTCGGATGTTGGCAAAGTCGTCAGAGTTTGACCCGAGCGCAGTTCTCTTTCTAGAGTGGTACGTTGACGTCTCCCAAGACTCAGTCCGCTAAACCGACCGTTGATGACTCCAGCCGCTCTGTCCAAGTATCACCATATCCGATCCACCTTGGCAACTGCTTCTTCGTGCTCTTTTGATTGATAGTTGTCAAGCAACTGTTTGGCTGCGTTGACTGCTTTGATTGGTTTTTCCAATATGCCTTCAATTCTTGGGCTTGTGCTCATGGCATGATGGAATGCAGCTACCGAGATTAGCCAGTTCTGCAACACAAGATAATTCGGTCATAACTCTTCAAATGACAATGTTGCCACGCTCACGATGTCGTTGACAGCCGAGAGATGCCAACATTCGATTTATCTCACCAAGACAGCATGGCGTCCGCGAAGTGCTTCGCCGATTGCTAGAAATCGGCCCTCAATCGTTACTGGCTTTCGTGAGGCTATTGACTGTGACCTAGTTGTTTGGCTACAGTTGTATCGAGCAACTTACACTGTTCTGGATGAGCTCAAGGGCTGCATCGAGAGCATTTGCCTCAATTATCAAAACTCTAAACGTAAGCCGATTCGCATAAAGCTTCTGCAAGATTACTGATCGTCTGGTTCTTGCAAGTCTACAGGGTCCGCAAAGCAACACCTTGAAGCTGGTGCAAGACTGGATGCGCAAGAGTTAGAACAAGTGGCTGCCATACTTGGCAATGCAGACGGCTCTAAACTCTTGCTCGACAACTGAAGTGATAATTAAGGTCAGCCTTCGAAACCACTCCGAGAATCCTTCTTGAAAGGCATGCCGTCAGAGCCACTCACTTTGGAAAATTCTCACGCTGTGTGAGCCATGATCGGACTACAGAGCAGATAGTGTGATAAATTGCAGATGTACATCTAAGGGTATCTTAAAACAAAGCTCCCTACATGGACCGCTCACAGTCGTGACAGTCTTGTCGTGCGGAGACATGAGATCATCATCCCTCTACCTCACTGACTTCCGCGAACAACGGGACATTGACGTCCCACTCCTCATGTGCTCCAGCTGTTCTACCCACAATGCACTTTGTCTGGACCATCGACTTCTGTGACATGCCACTGACATGCTCAAGCAAATGGTACATGAGAGTATCCACATTGCCAAATATGCTTGTAACCTTCAACTCAACGCTGCAAATCATACAACCGTAGTTACAGTCTTCGCTTGTGCTGTCGGTAGTCTTCTTCTTGACGTGGCTCTTGGCCAAAAAGATCCATCGATACCGGATGCCAGATTCCGAGGTATGTATGTTCGGATCTATGATGGTCTCCTTCTTGCCCTTCTTTCCAGTCGTGATGATGTATGTGTTTCCACGGAAGTTGCATGACCTGCATTCCCAGACTTCCTTGGTATTGTACATACCAGAGGGCATCGTACGCAGTGCAAGACCTTTCATAGCGTCTTCGCGAACATCCCAGGCACCTTTGCAGAAGCCCCAGTAGTCGTTCGCCTTACATGGGCGGCCATTCATCATGCGCTCCTGCCCCGGTATTGGAGACCTGATAGTGGATGAGGGAATGCTGCTGCTACTTGAACGAGGGAGAATACCGATTGAGCCGGAGCCGCTACTGTCAGTTGATGCAATAGAAGGCTGTCTAATTCGGTTGACTGGGCCAGACAAAGCTCTGGACCATGGTGTTACCTGTAAGCCAAGTGTCACAGTATGGCCACTCGAGCTACTGCGCGAGCTTGGGGGGCCGGAAGAGAGCATTGTGGGCCGTAGAGAGCTGCTCTCCGCACAGCCGGCTTCCTTAGACACTGGAGAGTCTGGAGGTGAGCCGAAAGGTGCGATCGCGTTAGGTACCCTTACATCCCGCTGTAAGCTAGATGTGTGTGGACTCTGTGCATGTGGATCTGTCGCTTGAACGGGCGCTGGTGGTGCATGGACTGGTCCGCCATTCTGTAGAGATAGCCGTAGCGGACTCCGCTGGGGAACAGAAGGAGGTGCAATGGAAGAAGAATAACTGCTTTCTGTTCGCGCGTAGGATGTGGCATACGGTGAGAGCTGGCCATAGTGATCGTTGATCTGCTGTGCGCTTGGAGATGTCGGGAACGGGAAGCCCGGTTTGTTTGGAGGAGGTGAGATTGAACAGCGAGGATCACTCTGGGCGTAAGAGCTGTGAGACGATTCCGAGCCGTTGCGTTCCCACGATGTATCCGAATATGGTATGCTAGACATCGAAGAGTTGGAGAATCGATGTGGCATGTATGTTTGATGATGAGGGTAGGGATTCGACCCTGAGTATGGTGAGTACTGAGACGACTCTGAGTATAGCGAGTGCTGAGAGCTTGCGTTGAAAACGTCCTGGTTGAACATGGGTAGATGGCCCGTATGAGAGTACGGTAGCGGCTGTACATGGTGGCCTGCCGGGGTAGTAGTCCAGAATTGAGGGACCATGTCTGTTTGCTGGGTTTCGTTCCCATTGAGCATGTCAAGCGTACCTCGACGCTCGGGAGACGGGTTGGGGTGCTGATGGTTGCACGAAGAATCCTTCCACGGCTGATCTATGGCCCTGTTGTTGACCTCAAGTCCCTTGTAAGGGACCACGATCTCATCGATATCTTTCATGACCGTAGCGTGGTTCTGGCCCTTGGCTTGAGCCATTTGCTCGAGAGCTGCACAATAATCAATCTTTGGGGTTCCTTTCGGTGTTTTCGCGCTGATTGACGCAGGTTTTGAGCCCGCGCTGCTGCTGCGTTTCATTTGAAAATAGCGTGCCAATCCAGACTTCGTCTCTTTCAACTCTGTTGGCGAAGGGAGGGTCACAGCCGAGGGTGTATATCCATCCGGGACCATATCCACAGGTCTCAAATTGCTTGGCCACGAAGACGGCAGAGTTGCGACGGGAGAACGTTGCTCAGTCCCTTTGATTGGACGTGGTATCGGTCTCATGAGAATGATTCTTTGTTTCATCTCATCCAATATCACGAAAGTGTCTTTGCGGTTCATTATCGATGCTTCGTGAAGCAGGCGGAGGTTCAAGATCGCTGTCTCGTGCTGCACCGCCATTTGCAGGCTCTTAATGATCTCTCCCTGCAGCCATGTCAGCGATGAGCTTTCTGTCGAGTCATTTACATTACCTGCAATATAACGACGACATGCATGAGACGCTGGTAGGCGATAGCTAAGTATGTCAATTCAAGTTCAAACGGCCGGTTGGTAGCTTGACTTACTGTCACCAACTCGCACCACATCGCCCATCTCCCGAACATCTTGCGTATAGCGATAGCCAACTTGCTGTTCACCAGACGCAAGAGAATCCTGCAGCTGCTTCTCCTCGAAGTCTTGTTGCGCCTGGGCACGTGATTTCCGTCGCTTTGCTTTGATGTGTTTGAGCAGCTCAGAGCCGGCGTGGAACGCAGAGACTACAGCGCTGACCGCAGCAACGACCTGTGCGTTCTGTTACATTTGGTCTTCTGTATGTCTGCACAGGTATAATGGACTAGCCATAGACAAGTAGCAAGGAGATAACGTACCTCGACGCGTGACATCTTGTAGGCCGTCTACAGATACCGCCTGTCTGGCGCACCCACGTCGATTGACAACCAGCACCTAGGTACTGGAGTACTACGAGCTTGTGTAAGTTGGTGCTGTGCTTTTAAACTCCGCTCCTCACGTTGAGAACAGAGACTTGTCAAATGCCGCACGAAACGACCACAACTCGGCAAGTCTTTGTAGACTAGGCTGGCTGTTGGCTCCGAATTCGCAACAGAATGACCTCCGCGGGTAGGTCCCGAAGGAAGATTGAGCGACTGTGCGATTAGGCACGAGGTGCCCCTCCGACGATAACTTCTTGCAAGGATAAGAGCGTGTGGGGAAATCGTAAAGGGAACAGCAGGAAGAAAAGGTAGCAGGGAACGTCGCGCAAGAGGTGGGATTGCCTACCCACCGCAGTCCGCAGTCCGTACTCAGCCTCACCTCACCCCTCGTCCTCTGTGAGCCACCCAGGTTAGCCTTGAGCTTCGCCGCCAGACTCGAACCGATCGGTGCATGATTCATGTATCGTGAGGTATATCTCCGCCAATAATATGAGGCTGTGGCGATGTCCTTATCAGTCTCGTGCAATCTTTTTGCGACTCGGGCCGTAATGGCTGATGAGGTTGCAAAAGTGGTGCGTCCCGTTGGCCACGTTGAGCAAAACGGCCGGGGCAAGCGAGTGTGCCAATGCGGGGTCCGGGATGGAGCTTCATGCTGTCGGCGGTACAAGGCCACACCGGTGCCTGCATCGATTCGAGCATCGCCAGAGCCCAGACATGTAATGGGGAAGCTTGACAGTGGCTGCAAAGCTTGGTGCTCAGGTCGCACTCTGTGTTGCGGGGAAAGGACTGTGCTTGTTCGTGGGGGCGCTATTGACGCGAAAGCTGAGGCATAGCCCGCTCTGGCGCTGACCGGCGTTCTGCAAAGACTGTCAGACACTGCATGGTGATAAAGTGAAAGGAACCGGGTGTTCAACAGACATGGAGGCCTCAAGTGCGCATGTGAGCTGCTTACGCGTTGAGCACATGACATGAAGGAACAGATGAGCACGACGGATGGAGAAGAGCAGTTGTTTGTATCTTGTGTTATTGCTTCATGTGAGAGTGCAATTCTGTGCAACATGTCGTCCAAAGCCTAGTCTACCTTCGCTGTGACCCTACGTTAATGAGATGCTAGAAGCGGAGTGAAGTGGCAACTGCTCTGCAGCGCGTCGAAGCTGCATATGCGCGAAAGTTGACAAAAGAGAATGTGTTCCTTCCTGACTTTTCGGCCTGTAATTGAAGCGCCTCGCTAAATAATGTGCGGCATGAAAGATGTTCCTGGCCTGTGACTCCAAGTGTGTCTCCGCGAAACACCATCTGACAAATGCCTCCCTAGAAAATGGAGCAGGATCTACCTGTGAAGAAGGGGCTCAAAGTGAGCTAAGGACAGAACCTCACGCCGGTACAGAACTGCTCAGATGAAAAGGAAACTTAAAGTGTAGGACATCGCGCTGGAAAAATTGCTCAAGCATCCACCAGCTGCACTCGTTGGCTCTTACGATTACCAATCTCGACCAGTGTTGGCGTAAGAGCCATTCCGTCTCCAAGGTTCCTCTCTGAACTCGTCTGCAGATGCCTGCCCAGGTCTGTCGGCGTCCTGTTCAAGGTCCTCGGTCTCGTTGCCTTGCTAACACTCACACTTCTCGCAATGCCCACTGTCGCCGTCTGCACACTGCCGCCCACAATCGTCGCTTTTCGCTGGCTGTGGGTCCTGCGGATCACTGGCTTTTCAGCTGTGGGTTGCTTGAAGGGTTCGGCAGAAAGTGGCGGCGAGAGGAGCGTCTGGAGATTTTGAAGTGGTGATGACACCTCGAGAGGTGCAGAAGAAGGATGCGAAGAGAGCGCTGAGGCGGCGGTTACGCGGGGCTGTTTGCGAGAGACGGAATGTCCGAGCGAGGTGGTAGAGGTGTTTGCAGGTGCGGATGCGGATGCGGATCTGGGTTTCGGGAGAATTTCCCAGTGAGGTTCTTGCGATTCAACATGCGCTTTCCATGCTTGCGTCTCGGCTGGTGTTGTGCGGGCTACCACAATTGTGACCGACTCGTTGTCGGAGATATCGAAGCTGTTGATCGAAGAAGGTGTGGGTGGCGCTTGTTGAGGCTTGAAGTTGGGAGATTCGCTATACTGGCGGGTAACGCTGGTTGATGGCGGCTTGCGCTTAGTCTCTTCTGTCGCCTTGAATGTTTGTTGTGTGGGAGATCTCGCAGGTGCAGTCTTCGATCTAGCGCGAGGCGAATTCGAGACAAGTGGTGATGGAGCTCGTAGAACCGGTGTGCCCGCTCGTAGTGTTGGCGTACCTGCGCGCAAAGTAGGTGTAGAGCGTCCGGTCGAGGGAAACAACGATAACCGTGCTGACGGAGGGTTCGAGGTGGTAGGCGACGCGGCTCGTGGCAGCTTGGGTGGCTCCAAGACCTCTTTATTCTCCTTCTTTTGGTTAGCCAAATTTCAAGGTGGTGATGTCCAACATTGTCAAGGCATACCTTGATCGATATTTTGTCTAGTGGTTTGACGTTATCAGCATCTATCCTTGACTGCCGCCGCTGATACAACGAAGCTCGGTCCGTTTTAGGCTCTAGCACGCCACTGAACATGACGCTGTACCTGTCCAGCTTGGTATCAGGTATGTCAACACCGAGTAGTCCAGCCCCAGCTGAGGTCTGTGGTGACTGAGTTGGTGGACCTTCCAAGAAATTCATCTTTGAGTTTCCAGAGGTAGCCGGCGGCGGGTTTGGGGTAGTAGCGGACCGTTGGAACCTGTAAGATCGAGGTGCTGAACGTCCAGCGTCGAGAGTTGCTGAACGTTTTCTTCCATGCTGGACCTCCCTCGAGGACACATTTTCTTGAGACTTGTTACGGGAGGCCCTGATATCAGGATTGTACACCGAGACCGGCAATGTAACGCCCCCGTCCGTCTTCAGCTTTGGCCTGGTCTTCGACTTTGGCGATGTATCATGGTGACTATCGGCACGTGCTGGTGTAACTTGTTGTGCCAGCTGGTAGAAGGAAGACTTCTCCTTCGGTGGCGGCGCGGTCTTCTTGAACAGTGACTTCCACCGGCTGATCTTGGGCTTGGGTTGTGTCTGGGCTCCCGTGATGGTAGTTGTCGATGCATTCGCATGGCCTTGCAACGACATCTGAGCGTCGGCAATGAGGTTCTCCGTGGTAGCCTGAGGCGTCGAGGTCCAATGCGAGCCAACAGTTGGGCTGCCCAGCGCAATGCCAATGACGTCCACAGGACTCTCGACAGCGTGTAGTACGGCGGAAGAATTCGTCGGTGAAGAGAAAGCGAGGAACCGGTCCTCTGAATATACTGATGGAGCAGGCACTGTCTTTTTGTGGAACTGTATTGCGCGTTCCCCCGGTCCACTTGACGTACTCGGCCGGGCTACCATCTCGGGTGCTTCAAGCGTTCGTTCAGCCCTAGGGACAGGTGTAGCTGCTTTGAACCTGTCAAAGTCTGTCTGGGGAATGTTCGGTGATGGAACAGAGCTTTGGAATTGAGACTCTTCTTGCTGGGCGCCCCTCCGATTTCCCTTCAGAAGCCGGAGCGACTTTGATCTCGTGAGCAAGCTAGGCATCGCGTTTCAAGTGGATTGCTAGTGGGTATCAGGTATGAAATTGAGGACGGAAGGAAAGTGATGCACGACCAAAGGAGTGGACAGCCCCGAAGAGCAAACAGTTGCACAGTAGAAGGCGACTTCGTGAGTCGGAACAAAATGAAAGAAGAGAAGGTGATGAGCAGAATTGCGCCGGCATCAAGATTCTAGTCTCCGGGAACCGAACGTCCTCTCCACAAATCTCCCTCATGCCAGTGGGCATCAAGTCTTCCAGACGCGACTGGGGCCGTTGGGGACAAATTGCGCAGGATTCAGACGTTGAAGGGCCGACAAATTACCAGGGTGGAGACCAGGGCATGGGTGATCGGCACGCGGGACACCATGTCTGGCTGTACCTGCCGCGTGCGATAACGGCAGCCATGGGTGATAGCGACGAGGATACCCGTTGTCGCGATAGTCATTGGCGATTGGCGGTTCCTGCAGCAGCGAGGAGGATGAGCCGAGCGCGGGCCACGCAACCTGCGCAATTACCGTCGCACACGCGCCCATAAGCGCGCAGCCCACCAAAGACGACGGTACCTACCACACTCCAGCGGCGGCTTGATCACTCATTACTGGAGAAAGCCGTTGTCACGGCTTTTCACCTCCGTGCCACGGATACGGATTGTGGAAGGTATGAGCGGTTAGTGTTGGCCTTGGGCCACGGTTTCAGCCCCATCAGCAATTTCACGATGCACCGCCAAGAGTCCCTCATTGATCTCAAACACCTTGACATCACACTGTGTACTCTCGTGCCGCTGACAAGGGATCGTCATTTCCGCGGTTGAGTCTCTGCTGTAAGTACCATCAATCCCAGTTCCCGTTGGCGACACCACACGCGATCTTGAAAGCTTCGACGTGTGAACCTGTAGTGCACCAAGATCGACCGCTTACTTTTGGTGGTGGACCTGGGAGATTGGGCGTACGCAGGGAGGCGGCTAGCCACAGTTCTCGGAAAAAGCCAAAATTGCTGTTATTTTCTGAGGGCGTCATTGTGGACAGTGGCGAGCAAGAGAGGAAATTGCACATGCCTGTCGTTGACAGAAGCAGCAAGTCAAGACGGTGACAAACGTAGACGGCTGAAAAGACGTAGGTGTCGGTGCTATATGTGTTCATGGCAACGCTGTACATGCACGGAAGGATTGCAGTGGTCACTGTGGTCGATGCCCGATACATTGCAACGGCAGACGTGCTAAATGAGTGCCTTTCGTTGCAGGCTTTGGGTTCGATCTCAACAAGTGCGTACAACCTTACTCCGCCCCATTTATTAGATGTCGTGAATCCCGCAACGCCTGTACCCAGGTGTTCATATAAAGAATCTTCAATGCGCCATTGTGCGGGAGAGTTGACGAAAGAGAACGTGTACAAGTTGAACTGCCCTCACTGAAAGGTCTTCGACGCGCTCCGAAACTGCCCTTGACCTCGAGGATGTGCAGGGTGATCGTTGGCCACAAGAACTTCAGCACGAGACTGGACTCACTGGACTCATGTGTCCGGGATCTTGAGCGGCGCAATGGTCCACTCGCCGCCGTATAATCTCCTCGTCGCTGCTGTAATATCGTCTCCCTCCGTTTGGAAGAATACATACAGACTGTCGTACAGTACATCTCCGTCGTTGTCCTTCTCTGCCACAGCGGACACAGTCAAATGCGTGCCGCCAAGAGCGTATAACGGTTGTGCAGGCGTCTGGACTGTAAAGTTCTCGTGCCCAGGATACGATGTGTTCTCCGCGTTGTAGTTGATGTCATAGCCGCGAATGCTTCGATCTGCGGACTGGGCGTAGAAGTAGGTGGTATATCCCAACGACGTTGAGGGCCAAACATCAGGAATAGTGGCGCCCGAGGCATTGACGAAGACGTTGTAAGGGTGATCCTCGTCCTGGACCTTGGTAGTCAGGTTGGTATCGGTGTCTTTCCAGTATACCTCGACGTCATCGTTCTTGTTGACCATCATGGCGTATTGTGTTGTGCCAGCCCCCCAACTATAGCAGCCAACACCAGCCTGTGTATTGAAGCCCTGCCACCGCTGGATATGCTTCCAATCGGGGCTGCCGGCATACCAGGCATACTGCTTGAAGGTAGAATCATCCGATGCGTACCAGATGTTCATGCCCAGTCTGTTGTCGAAAGGTATATCATTTATGCTGCCATTGACAGTTGGAAATTTGCTGTAGTCCGAGTCGCCGTAGAAGTTGCCTTTCCAACACGCTTGCAGTCCAGTACTAGGAGATTCACGGCTGACTTCGAGATTCTGCTTGCTGAGAGGACCGTCTGTCCATAGTTGCGTGGAGGTTGTCTCGTTGGTCTGAGTAACCTGCTTGACTTTGTTGTCGTCTCCAACATAGAACACATGAAACTGACGTTGTCAGCGCAGCGATGACAACGGAAGCGGTCGGACTTACAAATTGCGTCGCGTTGGCAACGTAGGCTACAGCTGAGATGGGCGTTGCATTTTTTGCGTTGCTGGCAACTGTCTCTGTGATACCGCCGCCGATCCACTTCTGACCCTTGGTGTACTTCAAATACCGAATTGCTCCTGTATGATGCTGGAAGTACAAGGTAAAGAGCGTACCATTCTTTGGATTCCAAGACTCTCCAGCCAGTGCAATACCGGATCCATTGAAAGCTCCCTTCTTTGACAGGTACTCGGCATTCAATGAGCCGCCAATACAAAGCTTAGGGTGGTCACGGCAGAACGGGTCAACCTTGACCTCATTACTACTACGTAATCAGCAATCAAGACGACCGAATGTATCTGATGGAGAAACATGACTCACTTGTTTTTCTTTGACAGGCCAATACCTAGCCCAGCTCCGAGGCCCACGGCGAGTGCCATGAGCCAGAAGACGACACACCCCGTCAGCATCCAGAAGGTGCGCTTCTTCAATCCACACTTCCTGTCATCTTTGGGTGGTACAGGGGGCGGGATAGAGCCTGGCCGCGATACTTGTTGGTCGTATGTGTCGACATGCTCCTTGAACGTATATGGTCTTGGCTGAGGCGATACAAGTGTGCTACCGCCATGTGAAGAAGGTGGGAACGGTTGAGCTCCAAACGGATATGCTTGCTGGCTAGGGACGACTTGCGGTGCAGAATAGTCCGGCGTGGGACCACCAGTCGCTGGGTGCGTGGCATAGGGTGTTTCCTTCTCCGTCGATACGCTGAGCGGTGTCAGTAAGCTGTAACCGCACATGCGAAAAAGCATTCTACTCCAATCCATTGCAAACAATGGCGTTGACAGAATACTCACGGGCTGTTAAAATACCCATGCTGATACTCCTGCGTCGAGGAATGTTGGTAGGCATGTAGAGGTGGAGATAGCGGCGGTGGTGGGGAATGTGGCATCGATGAGTACGGCGAGGGCGGGGAGTTGGCATGAGGTGACCCATGGGCTGGGTATATATGATCGTGCTCCTCAAACTGTGGTGGTGGAGGGCTCCACTCTGCGTGCGAGGGAGCACGATTGGGGATGCTCATGTTGGCGTAGTCATTTTCTCGGTGTTCCATGGCGTGAGATGTAGGAGGTTGTCTACAAAGTGACCGGAGCTTAGAGAAAGTACAAAGTGGGCTGTACTGCAGCGGCCAGAGGCATATACCCAAAGCAGGTTGCCTACAAGAATTTGAGGCGCAATTCACGTGGCGATAAGCGAGAGAGCTGATTAATAGGGCAATGCGGGACCGGGGATTCCCTGAGCTTGCGGTCGAAGCAGTACTTCCGTGTGACTGTAAGCAAATGACTGCAGTGTACTGGATGGGCATCCAGTCGGAAGTTGTGTACCAACAAGAACAGTAACCATATTGGGTAGCGTCTCGCATGTGCAACGGCTTGACTGATGCTCTCGTGAGATGTGCTTCTTTTTGTGTAACACTCTGGCCTGATAGTATGCAAGGTCCAGGTACATGATTGCTCATGTACTCTAAGCAGTATATGTAAGCGCATAAGCAGGCAAGTCCTCTATCATGCCTTTGAAGACTGTTGATATTGCAAACTTTTGATATCCACTCCAGTGTTTCTGCTTGCTCGTCGTGGATAAAGATTGGTCTCAAAGCTGAGGTCTTCGCGTTAGTTGCAGGTCAAGCTCCACAGTCCTGCAGCACAGCCGAGAGCTGAGCTGAGACTGTACTCTGACATTTACCGGAAGCAGTCATCCTGCATGCATAGCAGGAAAGGTTCAAACAGCGCTCAGCTCTTACAGGCCATGGAGGTCCCGTAAGCGGTGTATGCGAAAGGTTTCGGTCTAGGCACGGTCGTGAGGCATGTGGCTGGGGTCACCGCTCGTGGCCTGTGACGGAATATACCTTGACCCCGCAAGCTCATCTGATCTTAGAGATCTCGAGCTGCCTGAGATACTTCCATGGTTTAGCGAAAGTTATCGTGATATGTTGCCGTGCCGAAAAGGCGTTGTTGCGGGCGTTGAACTCCACCTTACAGCACGCTGTCGCTTCCGCGCGATAAGGAAGGACGAGCGTATGCGATCGCCTCGCCAATTGATTGCGCAAGTACTTTGACGGTCAATCGAAATCGTTGCAGATGCTGAGCTGCAGAGGTACAAGCCCCCGGTGCTGACCTCGAGGTTGTGCAGCTGCGCAGCGGCGCGGGGAATCAGCCGGACTTGGTGGGGAGGGTTCGAACAGCATATGTTGGTCAGAGACCTTCAAGGATGTCTGCTGTATATGTGAGAACAGTCGTCAGTATCTCACAGCAGTTCCCGCCGGTTGGCTGGATGTATCGACATTGATGGAGGTGTGGAGGCCGAAGGCGGAAAGTACGGCGCTCAACGCACCTAGGTACAGTGCATACGATGAGACCTGCAGCCATGGATTCTTCCTGCCGAACGCTCATTACACAACGTACACTTCGCGTAGTAGCACGAAAGCTGGTTTCCTTCATTCCATGTGTCTCGCCTTCACACGAGATGTTGCTGGTATTCTCCATCTGTCGATGCCGACTTGTCGTCAATGCGGAACCCTGCGACGTCAACTGTTGAACGCAACACTGGCTATCGCTCACTCCAGTGTCCATTCTTTTCGGTGAAGTCTGGCTCCATGAAGAGGGTTCCCAGGAGATCTTTTTGCGAGGATGCTCACGTTTGATTGAACTGGGCAATGAGTTTTCGCCACTACGCACATGAGAAGATGCCCGTCCACAACTCAGGTTGATACATGGCGTGACTATGCAATCCATCGTGTTGGCAGACTGGGAGTTCGAGTACCCAGATTCCGAGGACCCGGCATCAGAACTCCCTATCTCTCTGGGCTGTTTAGATATGTGCCGGAGATGAGCAACCATTTCGACGATTAGAACCACAGGCTGCAGAAGAATGAAGGCATCAAAGATGGTGATGAGGTCCACGCGACGAAGGCGAAGAGGGAGAACACACGAGATGATTAGCAATCAGCGTTTCGTGAGAGCGATCGATTTGGTAGCTCGCAAAGTTGTGGGTACCACATCCTAATATTGCGTTCGCGGTTGAGGTCACGCACAAGACGGCATGAGCCTCATCGTTCTTATCCACATGCAACACAGTCACCGAAGCCTCGTCCACATTTGCGATAACGAGGAGGCGATATTGAGGCAAATGGGCGGATAGGGTTTCGTAGACTCGTAGGCTCTTAGACTCGTAGAGGAATACAGCATGTTCTTGGATCGTACTTCCATTGCTATTCGTATACCTTCAGGACAACTCATGTGTGCCGTCAACACTGGGCGCTCGGTATCCATACTTCGTAGAGCGAGTTCGAAGCATCATGATCATGTGTCGTGTCGCGTTGCCAGCCTGTGAAATTGTCTATGCGTGGTGACATCATTGCGCCTTCTCATGCGAAACCTGACACGGGAAACGTCAGTTTCCCATCTGTTGGCAATTACAAAACGGCAGTCGGCAGCAATGGCCCACAATCCAGACTACTGATTTCATCATAACGAAAAGACTCCAGCCACACAGAGGCGCACAGCTCAAGTAAGCTCCTGGCGCACGGCGACTAAGCTTCTGCCAACCGTGCCAACTTTTTCCTGCCCGTCTCAGAACAGAGCACACGGCATCGTGATGTGGCTTTCGTGCCATCCCTTCCTCATTGAGCGCTCTGCAACGTGCGCTGAATGGCCAATGTTGCTGGGACAGGGATGAGGACCGGTTTGTGGCGTCCCAAGGGTAGGGTTATTGGACGCTCCTTACGTGAAAGCGAGTAAAGGGTGAAGAATGATGTCGTTGTTTGTCGTTTTTTGGGATGCGCGGCCTGTGACGACGGCAGAGAAATTTCGCATGCGTTTCTGAGGGAGTATATAGGTGAGGTGCATGCGATTTCAGCTTTTCAGCCACGCTTCTCCCCGCTGGTGTCAACAAAGGTGTAGGCACCTTCGATCCACCTCAAATCACCAACAACTACAACACCGGTCTACAATGGGTCTCTTTAACAAGAGGAACACGGCTGCGCCTATCGACACGACTACCGCCACGGGTACTCCCCAGCACCGCGAAAAGAAGGGCATCTTCGCTAGCAAGGGCCACCATGGCGGTGCGCGAGCTTGGAACTCACGCCCTACCTTTGGTGCATGGATCAAGGCCACTGCTCTTGACATCGTAACCATGGCTGTGCTAGGAGCTATTGGGCTGGGTGTCTACTTCGCTGACCCAGCACCGAGCCGCAGCTTTCCTGGTGAGTCTCTTCACTAACGTCTAATACCAGCATTGCTAACAGCCACCCAGTCACCTTCGGCGATGGAGAAATTGTCTACCCCGAGTTTGCGTACCCTCTCCGCAACGAGATCATCCCTATCTGGGCAGCTGCTATGATGGCCTTCTTCATCCCTTTCGTCGTTTTCCTCATCTGCCAGATCAGGGTCCGCTCGTTCTGGGACGTCAACAACGCTACCATTGGTCTTTTGTACTCCCTGATTGTCGCGGCCGTCTTCCAGGTCTTCATCAAGTGGCTCATTGGAGGTTTCCGCCCCCACTTCCTCGCTGTCTGCAAGCCCGTGATCCCCGACAATCTCGCCTACGACACCGACACCTTCGAGTCCGCTGGTCCCACCGGTGGCAACGTCGCCAATGGGTTCCGCGCCATCATGTTTGACCGCAGCATCTGCACAGGTGACAAGAAGGAGATCAACGACGCCCTCGAGTCTATGCCCTCGGGTCACACCACCGCTGCTTTCGCCGGCTTTGTCTTCCTCTACCTCTACCTCAACGCCAAGCTCAAGGTCTTCGCCAACTACCACCCAGCCATGTGGAAGTTAGTCGCCATCTACGCTCCTCTGCTCGGCGCCTGCCTGATCGGCGGCGCACTCACCATCGACGAGTACCACAACTGGTACGACGTCTTCGCTGGCGCTTCCATCGGCACAATGATGGCATTCAGCAGCTACCGCATGGTCTACGCTTCCGTCTGGGACTTTCGCTTCAACCACGTCCCCGTCCTTCGCCACGCGCCCTTCGTCTACGGCGCAGGACCCAGCACTTTCGACGGCTTCCACGACGCCGTCTGGACGCGCAAGGCGGGCTGGGGCTCACACGACGGCAGCGCCTGGGCCGGTGCGCCCTTTGATGCTGCAGATGGTCCCCGCGGCACCATGGTGCCTCAGGCCGAAGGCCCCATCGCCGGCCCTGGTGCAGCGCCCGGCCACCATGTGCAGCGCAAGCCCATCGGCAACAACCGCATGAGCCACGAGCATGGCGCACGGGGCGAGCAGATGGTCTGAGCGAGGGCTTGCTCAACCGAGCCTCTCTCTACACGGCCATGGCGATGATAATGATGCAAGCAGATTTGCTCTGCTGTGATGATGCTCCTCGGCGGTTTCCGGGGAGCGACGAATTCTCTTTGCTTTATTTGCACGATACCACTGTAGCGTTGTAATTGTAATCTAGTTAATGACGATATTGAACTACACAGCCTTCCAATGTGGTGCTCTTGGTGATGGTGATGTTGCTCCTGTCCAATGCGAACTGGATTCAGTGCAGACCGTCCGCCAGCGCCCCGCACCGCCGTCTCTCAACGAATGGCAGGCCTGGAGTATCATTTGGCGTGCGGTGTCTGTAAAGTGGTCGGTGTGAAGTGGTCGGTGCAAGCTGGGGCAGAATTCGGTCTGCTCGGGGAGGGAAGACAAGGGCTACGGGCTCGGGCTTATGGGTTCAGCAATCAGACATGGGGTGGGGAGCTGGGCTTACGCTCTCAGCCTCAACGCCTCACGCAACAAGCAACACACGCACACAACATCTCGTCGCTGCAAAATCTTGATTTGTTAGGGTATACAACACGACACGTACCGCCACTCAACGCGCCCGGGTATCGCAACACCACGTCACCATATCCCCCCCTCCCGGAATACACCTCCGTCTACGAGTGGATATGCACCTCCGTCGTGCCGCTACGATGCCAGGTCGCAAGCAACACGCCGCAGCGACCACACTTGTGCGAGACATCCTTGAGGCTGTTCATCAGATACGGGATGCATCCCACAAGGCAGAGACAGCAGAGGCCCAAGGCCCACGCACTGTGGTGTGTTAGCGCTATTCTGCTTTTCCGATTCCATTCCATTCGGATTCATTCGCGGGGGGGGAGTAGAGGAGGCAGAGTAAGAGGGACTCACTGCGTCGTATTCCCCGTCTCGAAACTACAGTTCGTCATGCTGCGCTGGCCGCACGCGGGACAGTCTGCTGGCGCGGGCCCGCGGGATAGACTCGCTATGGGCGTTGCATTTTGGTACACGGCGCCGGACTGCTGCTGCGGCGGCATGCCGGGCTGGGGGGTGGGGTACGCCTTTTGTTGCTCGTAGGCGTGCGCGGGCTGCGCGGGCTGCGCGGGCTGGGGCGGCGGCGACTGCGCGTATTGCTGTTGGTGCTGCGCATATTGCTGCTGTTGGTGCTGCGCGGCAGGGTCCTGGTGGTAGACGGGCGGTTGGGGTGTGCCGGTTAGGTCGGGCGATTGGGGGTATTGCTGCATGGGGACTGTGAAGGTCAGTATCTATTGGGGGATGTCATGGGTGATCAGGTTTTGGAAGCGTGATTGAATGACGAAACACAGAACTTCATTATTGAGAGAGATGTTGCGCGATTGCAAGGCTTCCGGAAAGAAAATGTACTCACCACCTTGTTTCTCCATTTTGTAATCTGTCCTAAGCTGTGGGAGGTTGTGTGAGGTTGTGTGAGGTTGTGTGAGGTTGTGGGAGGTGGTGGGAGGTTGTGTGAGGTTGTGTGAGGCTGTGTGTAGGATATCAAGAGCAATCAGACAGACCACTTTGTTAAGTAGACGTCAAACTCTCAAGCTGAAAACCAGACTTCAAATCTCCACAAGGCTCACCGGTACTGTTTATACATCAAGCCTCCCACTTCAAGGCGCACCGCGCTCGCCCCTGCCCCTCGCAGCCCGCAGCACAGTCCTAATTGCGGCGACGATCTGGCGGAAGCGCATTGAAAGCGTAGTTTAGAGCAACGACGTGTAAAGCATTCGGCCCTCCCATTGGGCGGCGTGCTGCAGCTGAGTGCCCGTGCTGCAGCTGAGTCCCCGCGCTACCAAAAGGCGCTTTCTGGCCAGAGGCGTGCCGGGGATGGTCAGAGGCGTGCCGGGAATGGTCAGAGGCGGTGCAGGGGAAGGCGAATTCAGCCCCCAAAGTGGCGGCCGCCTAGGCCGAGAGAGGAAATTGGCACTTGGCGCGTCAAGACACACGACTTTGTGTTTGCATCTGAGATGTGACAGGCTGTGCATGCATTGTGAATGGTGAGCTGTTGTGAAGCCATGTGTAGATTGAGTTGATGACATGTCTGCATGCAGATGTGCTGTAGAGCGTTTGCAGGACGCTGGCGGTGTTGCTGGCGCAAGGCTGTGCCGCCCCGGCAAGATCTGCACGACAGATTTGGACTCGCTTTGGCGCTGGTCCTGCAGGCTGGTGTTTTTACGACAGGGCCCTGCGGGTAGAGAGGGAGACCTGTGTGACAGGCTTCAAAGACAAGGTCCTTTCAGTCTCATCTTGCTCACCGGTGTCGAGTCAGTACCGCTGATCCATGTCGTCGAGCTCAGCCTCGTCCTCGGAATCGGCGGCATCTTTCTCGGAGCCAGTGTCGGCTCGATTCAGCTCCTTGAGTTGTGCTGGTGTCAGGTCGACGACTGTCGGGGCATAGTCTCCAGCCTCCTCATCCTCGGACGCATCGTTGACGTCCATCTCGACGCGCTCGCCGTCCTCGAGATCCAGCATTCCACGCCTGACGAACAAATCACCACGCTCCCAACCAAACTGTTTCTGCAGATAGTCCTCCAGCTCGTCCAGCTCGTCCATCATGTCTGACTTGCACTTGCCGTCGAAATCATCCAGGTTCTTTCGAAACCGCCTGAGCAGCGGTCGCAGGAAGCCTCCCCCAACCTCGGCCATGTCAAAAAAGCCATCCAGATCCACGCAGTGGCTCAGCTGGACGCGCAGGGTGCGCAGCAGCTCGAGGAACAGCTGGGAGCGCTCCTTGATTGCTGTTTGACACGTCAAGAGCAAGGACAAGATCCTCTTCCACTGTTCCAGGCAAGAGCTGTTGTTGAGCGTGAGGACCATGAGGAACGCAAACTGCAGCTCACCGAGCACTTCAAACTCTCGTCCACGCTTGTCTCCCGCCTGGCTGTGGTTTTCAATCAGATCGCCCAGGTACCAGGATCTATCCTGTGCTGCGTCGGTGCGCTCTCGCCCAGTCGCTCCAACCCTCCACGTCCGCCTCAGATCGATCGGAAGAAACCTGAGCTCCTTCTCTGGATGCTGCATGGAATTGCTCATCTGCAGTCCCGGTATCGTGTCCAGGTCCATCAGGCCAGACGAAGCAGACGTTAGGCTCCAGTGATCGGGGTTGAGGCCACATATCCGGGACAATAGCGTTTGCGTGATTCTCGACGTCAGTTCGTCCCAGTCCTGCGACTCTTCCTGGTAGTCGGCTTCTGCGGAGCCGGCTTCTTGCACAGTCTGGCGATATGGCGTCAAGCCGTCCTTCCATATGCTCCCGAGGTTGGCCTTCCATCTCAGCACCTCGGTCTGCGACGTCTCAGCGACCATATCCTCGGTTTGAGCATCCCAGCGCTTGACAAAGACTTGCGGTGAGCCGGTGCCGGGCGACACGTAGAACCATGCTCCGTGGCGTACTGACAGCGCACTGTCGCTGGCTGCAAAGACAAAGTGCAGGCCACACGGTAGGTTTTTGACACCTCGAAACCTCGGCGATGCTGTGAATGATAGCAGGTCGATGCCGGCGAGTGCCTTTTCAGGCAGATCCAGAAGCAGCACACAGTTGTTGATGGAGGAGGCCATCGGGGGGCCGTGGAACAGCTCCTCGAACCACGTGTGCCGCAGAATGATGGATGGTGAGATGTGACGACTGGATGTTTGCAGGTATTTATGTTCCAGAAACGGTAGTGGCGCCGGGACACGTGCGGCTGCCTAGCTCGACATTGCAAAAGCTGCGTTGCAAAAGTGAAGGTGAGTGGAGGCGGTAAGCAGCAGACTGGATGATTGTGGAGAGTTTGTCGAGAGTTGCAGGTTAAGAGAATGCCATGTCGGTGGAGCCAGGGCCACGATAGCGTCGATGAGCTGTGGGCATCCGCTGGGCGGGAAGACCGCCGAAGGTTTCGCCGAAGAGGACTGGCTGTAAAGTAGGCCTCGCCGCTTCCCGTCATCGGGACTGCTCCTCGCCATGCTGTCGATGGAGTCGCTGCGGTGCCCCGAGCATCTCGTCTTGTCTGGAAGAGATGGGCACGCATGGGCGGCATGGGCGGCATGGCACGGCATCGTGTGCGTGCAATTTCCCGCCGCCATGTCCGTCGGAGTGGTGCTGCTGGAGTGGCAACGAGGTGGCACGAAGAGAACATGGGGTGTCTCAGCGAAATTCCTCCGGGTGTTCCTGCATCTGCTGTGGACGACTGGCCTTTTCTGAGGTGCACGCATCCGCGGAACGGCCCCGCGTTTCATCGTGAGGCTCTCCAACCCCACGTCATCTTTGATCGACTACATGTCGAGAACGCGAAGAGACATCCAGATCAACACGAGATTCGTCTGTCCCACTCCACACGAAATTCGGGCTGTCCCAGTCCACACGAAATCCGAGTCTGTCCCACTCCACACGAAATCCGAGCTGTCCCAGTCCACACGAAATCCGAGCTGTCGCAGTCCGAGCTGCCCCAGTCCGACCCTCACCATGGACCGCCGCCGCACACCGGGCCTCTCCTCGCTCTCCACAACGCGCCTGCAGACGCACCACTACACCTCGCACGGCGCCAAGCTACGCAGCACAGCATCGCAATCGCTCGAAACCCAACTCTCCGTGTTCCAGTCCCTCGTGCACAACTTTGCCCTCACGCACTCGAAAGAAATCCGGGCCAACCCCGCGTTCCGCGCCGAATTCGCGCGCATGTGCGCCGCGCTGGGAATCGACTTCCTCGCGTCGTCCTACACGCGCGACACAGGGAGCAAGGCGCGGGGCAAGAGCACCAAAAGCGGCGAGGGGGTCAGCATATGGGCGTCGGTGCTGGGCGGGAGCGTGCACGATTTCTACTTCAACCTGGGCGTGACGATAGTCGATGTTTGCCGGGAGACGCGGGCAGAGAACGGCGGCCTGATCTCGCTGTCGGATCTCAAGACGCACATGGCGCGCGGGCGGCTGATTGGGTCCGCGCAGCATGTCAGCGATGCGGATATCGAGCAGGCGGTTGCCGCGCTCGCGCCGCTGGGGAGCTGCTTTGGCGTCGTGGCCATTGGGCGCGCGCGGCTGGTGCGCAGCGTGCCCAAGGAGTTGAACACGGATCAGGCGACGGTGCTCGAGGCGGTGCAGGTGCTCGGGTACGTGACGGTGGGGATGCTGCGAGACAACCTGGGGTGGGAGCGGCCGAGGGCGGTGGCGGTCGTGGAGGATCTGCTTGCGGACAGCCTGGTGTGGGTGGATTGCCAGGCGGGCGAGGAGGAGTACTGGAGCCCAGCGTTTATGACGGGCGGGGGGAAGGAGGGGAGGGGAGGGGTGTCGTGAGCGGGGAGGTGTCGTGAGCGGGGGGGTGTCGCGAGAGTGGCGAGAGGTGTTGTGAGCGGGGAGGGGTGTCGTGAGCCGAGAGGTGTCGTGTGAGGTGTCGTGAGAGGTGTCGTGTGAGCAGCGAGGTGTTGTGAGCGACGAGGAGTCATGTCATGAGATACCCGGCACACCAGCGCCAACAGCAATAAATGATCGGATCTGACCGGGTCACTCTAACTGTTGGACATTCCATCTAGCTTATACTACACACCCCCACATTACACTACACACCCCCACATCACACTACACACCCCCACATCACACTACACACCCCCACATCATACAGCACACCACCACAGCGTCCGCCGCACGCCTTCACCACAGATACTCGGCCTGCACCCAGCGCTCCTCCTCGACGTCCTTCCAGGCGCCATTCCGCTCCTTGGCAGCGGGCAGCACGACGCGGTGCCACAGCGCCGCAAAGCGCCTCGCGGCGTCGGCGTCGTCGAACTCGACGATCCAGCGGTTGTAGACGCGGTTCATGACCAGCTGGTTGAGTTCGCGGGCGTCGGCGTCGGCGTCGGCGTCGGCGCCCTCGGACGCGTCTCCGTGCTCGGCTGCGGACGGCATGTGCCCGACAGAGGCGCGCGGGCTGGCGGCGGCGGTGGCCTGGAACTTGTCGCGGGCGAGGGTGGGCAGGCTGATGGCGTCGCGCAGGCGGCGCAGGGCGGACGGGCGGTCGTCGCGGAAGGGCCAGATGATGCCGCGGGCATGGGCGTGGCGGGCCAGCGTCTGCCACAGGTCCCAGTGGCTGGGCTCGTAGCCGTCAATGTGCAGCAGGACGCGGTGGCCGGCGGCCCCGCTGGCGTCGGCGGCGCGCACAATGGGCGCGTAGCCGCCGGCGTCGACCAGCGCGCGCAGGGCGCGGTTGTAGGGCTGCATGACGGTGTGCAGGTGCAGCGCGTGGCCGGGCGGGTGCAGGACAAAGGCGGCGGCGACGGCGGCCATGTCCTCGCCGTGCTCGAGGAAGCCCGCGGGCGGGGCGACGGCGCTGGCGATGCCCGACGCCGCGTGCAGGGCCGTCAGCTTGCTCAGGCGGCTCGCGTTCTTCTGGTACGCGAGCGCGGCGGCCGGGGAGTGGAACAGCAGGTAGTAGAAGGGCAGGCGCGCGAGCGACAGCGGGTCGCGGCCGGGGATGATCTTGTAAAAAGCCGCCGCCGGCGACCAGGCGTCCATGTGGGCGCCGCGCGGGACGAGGCGGCGGAAGTCGGCCTCGGTCAGGGCGGTGCTGCAGTGGGACAGCTGCAGCACTGTCGTGTGCTCGCCGCGGGCGCGGAACGAGTCGATGGCCTTTTCGCGGTCGGTGCGCGCGTCGGAGAGGGTCAGGCGGATGTGCGGGTTGGCGTCGGGCGCGGGCAGCTCGAGCTTGGGCGGCGCGGGGCGGCCGCGCCGGTCAATGGGCTCGCGCGGGGCGAGACTGCTGGCCTCGGGGAACAGCTCGTCGAGGAGCGGCCGGTCGCTGGCGTCGGGGGGCCGCGACTGGGGGAGCGACCGGTTGCTGGCCCTGGGAGACAGCTCGTCGGGGAGCGGCTGCTCAGTGGCCTCGCTGGCCTTGCTGGCCTTGCTGGTCTCGCTGGCCTCGCTGGCCTCGTCCGGGGCGGTCGGCGTCTTGACCCTCGGCGTCTTGACCCTCGACGCGTCGTTCCTCGGCTGCCTGGCCAGCTTCGTCTGCAGCGTCGCCAGCTGCTCCTCGAGCCTCCTGAGCCGGTCGCGCAGCTCGGCCTCGCTCTGCGTCGACGTGTCCGCCTGCGTCGATGTGTCCGCCTGCGTCGACGCGCCCGCCTGCTGCGTCTGCTTCCCCCTCTCGCCCACCGGCCGCTCCATACTGCCCGGCCGCTCCATGCTGCCCGACCGCTCCATACTGCCCGACCGCTCCATGCTGCCCGGCCGTCTCGTCTGCCACGTCTGCGACGAGCCGCTCTCGTGCACCTTGCGAATCTTGAGGCGCGACGCCGCCCTGTGAATCTTCAGCGCGCCCGTCCCGCCGTCACCGTCGGGCCCCGAGGGCGGCGGCGGCGGCGGCGGCGGCGGCGTGTCGGACGCGAACCGGACCTGGCGGGCGCTCCAGAGAGGTCGACATGGCCGCAGATGTCGGAAAAGGCGCGGCGGTGGCATCAATTGTCGCGTCGTCACATGGCATGCGGTCCAGTCGGCCCATCGAAAACACTCCTGCGCGTGTCCGCCTGTCCGGGCGTGTCCGCATTGGGCCCTAGCGCCGCCCGCTTAGTCAAGCTCCACCATGCACAATCTCTACCGCAATCGTGCGAGTCACCGCACGAGCACATTCTTTTCCATGAGCGTGGCCTTCACTCTCCGGCCGCTGGAGCGTAACCCGCCAAGCACTCCCGGCGATGCGCTCGAGGGCGCCTTCCGCGTCCACCTCGCGCCGAGAGAGCTGAGGGAGCACCGCCTGGCCAACGGCGACTTGATCAGACTGAAGACGGCCGCTGCTTTCAAAGGATACGGCATTGCCTGGACAGCGGCTGGCACGAATCCTGCAAAGAAGCCCATAGCAAAAGTCACCGACCTGCTCAGAGAAGAGTATGGCCTTGCGCTGAACGATCCCACGTGGATCGAAAAGGCCAGTGACGCGTGGAAGCCTCTTGCGAGTGTCCACATTGCGTACCAGGAGTCGGTTGATGAAGGTGCGAAATTCTCCACCACGGACCAGCTGCTGTACTGGGCTCGCTATGCCCTCGTCGACGTCGAGCTTGTGCTGCCGGGCTGCAGCCTGCAGGTCCAGGCCAGGGGGCCGACAGTGCCGTCCAAGACGTCGAAGCTGCGCCTGACCGTGCAGAGCATTGATCCCCAGCCGGACGAGAAGAGCGCGCTGTACTTTGACCCCGTCACTACCCGGATCGTAGCCCCGGACGAGCCTCCTGCCCAGCACGCTCCCGAGCCTCCTGCTCAGCACGCCCAGTCATCCGCGGCACAGCCTGCCCAGTCATCCGCGGCACAGCCTGCTCAGCCCGCCTCGGGAAAACTGCAGCTGGGCGGCGACGGCATCGGGGGTCTCTCCGAGCACCTTGCGACCGTCAACAAGAGTCTTTCCTTGTTCTCGCTCCCGGCGTCGGCGCTGCCGGACCAACACCTCCTCGGGCCCACCACCTTCCTCTTCCACGGGCCCGAGGGTACCGGTAAGAGCATGCTGCTGGAGCGCCTCGCAGAGGCGCCCTGGAAAGACGTGCACCGACTGAGCCTTGAATCCCACCCCAAGAACCAGGCCGCTGGCATCCAAGACACGTTCGAAGCAGCAAGAGAGAACCAGCCGAGTCTCGTCCTGATGGACAACCTCGACCGGTTCCTCGAAAAGGCCGAGACGCTGGTCGGCAGACTGCGCTCCGAGCTCGCAAAGCTCCAGGGCAGCAAGGTCGTCGTCGCAGCCGCCGCTCGCAGCATCTACGACATCGACTCCAGCCTGCGCACAACCTCTGCGTTCAAGACCGAGCTGGAAATGTTCCCGCCCAACCTCGCGCAGCGCGAGGACATGCTGCGCAACATCCTCGGCCCTGGCCGCCCGGCCGCGGGCGTCGACTTCACTGCCATTGCCGAGCGCGCCCACGGCTTCGTGGGCCGCGACGTGCACAAGCTGTGCGGTCTCGCACGGAACCACCGCGTGCACCGCGTCTACGACGCCCTGCACGACGACGACAAGGGCCGTTTCGCCCAAGCCCTCGCCGCACAAGACTTTGTGACCCAGCCCGATTTCGACGCCGTCATCGACCAAGTCCAGCCCACCGTCCTCAAGGACAGCATCCTCCAGGTCCCCAAAGTGCGGTGGGACCAGATCGCCGGCCTCGACGACGTGCGCGCCCTGCTCGAGGCCATCACCGTCCGGCCCTTTAAGCACCCGGACCTGGACGCCAAATTCGGCGGCCCGCAGGCGCGCAAGGGCGTGCTCATGTTCGGCCCGCCCGGGTGCGCAAAGACGCTCATCGCCCAGGCCGTGGCGACCGAGTCGCAGCAAAACTTCCTCGCCGTCAAGGGCTCCGAGCTGATCAAAATGTACGTCGGCGAGTCGGAGCGCAGCATCCGCGACGTGTTCCGGCGCGCGCGCGCAGCCACGCCGTGCATCATCTTCTTCGACGAAATCGACAGCATCGGCCGCAGCCGCGACCGCGCCGGCGACTCGGGCCTGAACGTCGTCGCCACCCTGCTCAACGAGATGGACGGCATCGAGGCCCTCAAGGACGTCTTCATCATCGCCGCCACAAACCGCCCGGACATTCTCGACTCGGCTCTCATCCGCACCGGCCGCTTCGACGCACACATCCACATCGGCCTGCCCACGCGCGAGGCCCGCAGCCAGATCCTGCGCATCCACACCCGCGCCCGCCCGCTCGCCGACGACGTGCGGCTCGACGACGTCGCGGACCGCACCGAGGGCAGCAGCGGCGCGGACCTCAAGGGCCTGTGCGCCGCCGCCGTCGAGCTGGCCATTGCCGACTACGAGGCCCACGGCGGCGCGCCCCTGGTGCGCATGCAGCACTGGGACAAGGCGCTCGACGCCCACCGCCCGCACACCCTCCCTGCCGACGCCGACCGCTACAAGTACTGGCGCCCTGGCGTCAGTCTGGGGGCCGTGTGAGGGCTGTCGTGCCGCACTGCGCTGCTGCCCCCGGGTCGGGAGCTGTGCAACGTTTGGACGGGCAGGGCTGCGTTGTGCGTGTGGGGGTGTGTCTGTATCTGTGTGTGGGGGGGTGTCTGTATCTGTGTGTGGGGGGGTGTCTGTATCTGTGTGTGCGTGTGCGTGTGGGAGGAGAGAAACGGGCGCGAATACAACACAAGCAGAGTCGTGATAACGCAGTCGTTATGCAATGCACAATTACCAGCCAATCTCACTCCCCACCATCTCGCTGTATATTCACCCACCAATCCATCCTCCAAAACCTCTCCCCACCCCCCCGCTCAAGCCTCCCTCGTCTTCTCCAGAATCGCGCGAATCATCTCATTGCCCAACTTTGTCGCCTCCTCAAACCTCGGCTCAAAGTAAGTCTGAATAGCCTCGAACTTGGCCTTGTACGCATCAAAGTGGCCCAGGCTGACGCGCTGGCTCCAGTCGCGCGCCGCGAGCGTGAATTCTAGATCGTCGCCGCGGAACGTGTTGTCGTCGATGCCCGTGGCGATTGCTTCGGCGAGGAGCACGGGGTTGCGGAAGAGCGATTCTGTTATGCCGAGCCACATGCGGAAGAGCTAGATACATGCGTCAGTCGGGTGACGTTTTGTTTGCGAGGAAAGAGAGTGGGGAAAAAGGGAGAGTGGGAAAAAGGGAGTGGGAAAAAGGGAGAGGGGAAAAAGGGAGAGACGTACAGGCGTAGAGCAGATCATGTGATCATACGGCACGATACCGAGTTTCCACCAACAATCCACAATGGCCAGGAGACTGAGATGATTGTTCTTCAATCGCCGCTCCGGCATCTCGCCCAGACTGAAGCGATCCAAAAGGTCATCCCTAAGCAACAGTTCCTGCCCTTCCTTCTTCTCGTGCGCGCCGCCAAACACGGCGTCCCGCGCGGCATACACGCGGCGCTCCAGCTCCACCCTGTTTCCCGCGAGCATCAGCTTGAATAGCTCCGTCACCGACGCGGCGTACTGCTCGATCTGCCTGCGGGCGTCTGGGTTGAGGATCGCGAGCCCGGCGTAGACGTGCCACTTGTTGGCGTAGATGCGCAGTGTGATGTTGATCTTGACGTTTTCGATGCCGCCAATGTAGCGGGGTGTTTCCCAGGGAAACTGGTTGTTGGCGGACCACGCCGCGCCCATGCTGAGAAAGGCGGCGTGTGTGACGGCTTGTGTGTCGGCTGTTATGCGGTCGTGCTGCTCCCGCGTTAGGTACACGTGCTTGGATTGCAGGCACGAGAGCACCCGTTCGACAAAGGCAAAGTCGGCGTCGGATGCGCGGTGCTTGATCAGCACGAGCGGTTGGTCTTTGGGGTCGACGCCGGGCCCGTGGAGTGAGTGGCACGATACGATGCTGACGTCGGCGGGGAGATGCTTTTCGAACGCGTCAATCTCTGGCGCTTTGCAGGACGTCTGGCCGCCGACGACGGCGCCGACCTTGGTCGCTGTTCAGGGAGTCAGTTGAAGCTCGTCCGAGAAGCGAGGAGCGTACACGGCCCAAATGCCTGCACAACGGCATCAATGTTCTTCGCCTCGACGCTGTAGATGATGTAGTCGCTGCAGCGGGAGACAAAGTGGCCGGTTCGCATAATCTCAACTTTGGGCTGGAGCAGTCTCAGCATGCTTCTATTCGTCATGTACATAGGCTATCCTACACAGTTCCCAAACTCTTCCACCAGCGTGTCATACCTCTCCGGGACGTCGCAGGCGTTAACCCTTTACGGCGCGTCAGTCATAGCTCGTCTGTGGGCACTGGTTAGCAAGGTTCAGAGCGCAAGTCTTTGAACAGTGCGAAGAGTTTGTTGGGATCAGAGTTGTATAAGTTAAGGTAGCGAGAATTCACATCATGGGCGGCCACACGTCCAATTGCTGCCAACCAAGACGGCGACAGCGTGGCCGTGCGCCACACTCGAGCCAAATGCACTCACAGTCATCATGAAAGGGAAAGGGAACGTAGAGCAGGAGCTGACTTACCAAGTGCAAAGCTGCATGACCCGTGCCGCGCACTCACTTCCATCCCGCTGCGCTCAGCCGGCGCGCGTACATCTTCCCCATGTCGCCCATGCCGATGATACCAACGCTCTTGCCATCGTCCATAATGATTGCGTTGCACAATGCAGTGCGTGTGTCGAGCGCGGTGTTCAGCCCATGGTGGAGGGTTGCAAGAGTTGCGGCGCGCGAAGACATGTCTTTTCTGCCGCGCTAGCGTAGTGACTAAGCAGCGCTCGCTTAGCCGTGGGGCCCACCTCAATAATTGCAAAAGTTCGACGACACCCTTCGGACCTCCCCACGAACCGTCAGCCAGTCACTAATACACAGCCAACATGCCTCCCAAGAAGAAGGTCGAGCGCGGTGCGCAGGAGAACATCCAGGTGCGACACACCCGCCATTGCAGATTTAGCGCAGACAACGCGCCTGCAAATTGCGCTTCTAGCTCTCGAGTACTGACTGCGTGCGCAGCTTGGTCCCCAGGTCCGTGAGGGCGAGCTCGTCTTCGGCGTTGCCCGCATCTTCGCCTCGTTCAACGACACCTTCGTCCACATCACCGATCTGTCTGGCCGCGAAACCATCTCGCGTGTCACCGGTGGCATGAAGGTCAAGGCCGACCGTGACGAGTCCTCCCCCTACGCCGCCATGTTGGCTGCCCAGGACGTCGGTGCGTACACCCGAAGAACAAGGACAGGAGGAACTTCCGGCTAACGAGTACTCAGCCGCCCGCTGCAAGGAGCTCGGCATCTCTGCCCTCCACGTCAAGATCCGTGCCACCGGTGGTAACGGCACCAAGACCCCCGGTCCCGGTGCCCAGTCTGCCCTCCGCGCTCTCGCCCGTGCCGGTATGCGCATTGGACGCATCGAGGACGTCACCCCCACACCCTCCGACTCCACACGCAGGAAGGGTGGTCGCCGTGGTCGCCGTCTCTGAGCATGTGCGCAGCATGTGTTTGGCCTGGTGGCGCATGGCATGTCATTACTCAGCTTCTGGTACATGCAATGGCAGCACGATTTACGGTTCATGTTATATGACCTCAATCACAACAAAGTCGCGGGGAACGGCGAATCGCCTGGTCTCCTTGTTGAACTTGGCGAGTCCGTAGAGATATGGTCGTAGTCAGGGTAAAGCAACAGAATCCTTTCTTGTTCGAAAAGATTCCTGACAATGAAGTGCTGTTGTGTTTGATGCTTTATTACGATTACCATTACCGTTGATCTGGGCTGTGAAATGTAAGTCGTGCTATATTTCAACAACCTGCACCGGGTTGCCCAGCTTGCCCGTGTTGCCCTTGGTCAGCGCAGCATTCACGAGTATGGTGTGCTCGCTGCGGCCTCCCCACACCCTGTCCCACAGCAGCTCCCTCACCCCCCTGTACAGCACCCTCACCACATCCCACCACGATCCCGGATTCAACACGCCCCTAGTGTACCGCGACTCGATCCCCATACCCCTCACATACGCCTCATGCGCACGATCCCAGTACACAACCTCTCTCCCCGCGCCCCAGTGCACATGTCCGAAGACATGCAGCACAGGCTTAGCCCGCTGCACTTCCTTGAGTAGATGCTCACACCCCAATCCCCGCGGCATGGACAGATCCATGTGATACCTGGGCGGCGTGTGCGTCACTAGGATATCCACCTCCTCCGGGACCGTCTCACTCCACGCATCGCTGCCGCGGGCGTACTGGAACGCATGCACGCTCACGGGCCCACAGGCAGGGATCTGCGGGGCGCCGTAGACACGCAACCGCCTCGGTGCACCATGCAGCAGCGGCGTTCGGGAGTCCGTGGCCGGCGACCAGGATTGTGGTGTGAGCGTGAGCGTGAGCAGTTTGTGCTGCAAGTAGTGCACGCGGCCCCAGTCCAGGCCGCCCTCGCGCTGCGCAGCAGTGAGAGAGGGCCGTGTCCGTGGATCGAGGTACGTGTCGTGGTTCCCGCTTATGACTATGATTTCCTTGTGGGGCAGGGACGAGAGCCAGTCGATTTGTGCCTGGATCTCTGCCGTGCTGCCGCCGTTTGTCATGTCACCGGCGTGGATGAGGATATCGCCATCTGGTACGTCGTCGGAGATGTTGTTGTGTGTGTCTGATATGCATACGACGCGGATTGGCGGCTGCGAGGGTTTCGGCGTGGAGCGCAGGCTGGTGAGGATGTGGTAGAGCTGGTAGAGGAGCAGTTTTACAGGGCCGTGGAAGAGGAGCGCGGGGATGGGGGTGGGTTCGAATTCATCTTTGGGGCTGGGCCATGGGTTGAGGATCTCGAGGACCATTACCGGGCGTGTTGGAGTGTATCACGCGCGGTTGAGGGGCAGTGACAGCATTGATGGGAGCTTGGGACGCCAGGGTCCAGGTTTGGCGCTAAGAAACAGTCGACGCTGAACCGTCCTTGAGCTCTTCTCAGTCAACATACATCTCCCTGTCAAACGTGCAACTGGACCAAATGCAGATGCAGCTACTTGCACGTCACTCTCAGAAGTGCCTCGTGAAATGCTGTTGGCGCAGAAGGTAAGAGCGGCTGTGCATGGCGGTGCAGATGTAGCTGCCGAGGCGGACTCGACTCAACCTCGAACGCTGCGACGACGATGATGTCTTCAAACTATGCTCAGCCATAGCAGCAGGCTGCAATGTTCGCTCCTTGAAGGACGGGTCATGGCTTGATCGAGTTCACCGGGCTCCACTGCGCTATGGCTGATTCGCCTGAGGCTTGCAGCAGAGCTCAGCTTGCGGGGCGGAGCGCGTAAGTACTTGCATATGAGCCAGTCTCGTCCGGTTGGGTTGGGCCAAGTATCGGTCTGCCGTCAGTGCTCTACTCTCGTCCTTATTGTCGCGGGTCGTCTCGTGAGTTCTACAGTGAAGATGTCAGGGCTCGAGATTCCAGGCCTCGCCATCGGCGGTGTCTCCTTCTTCTTCCAAGCGTTTGCGGGATGCATTCAAGGTCAGCGCCCCTCTCGATCTGACCCCTCCAATTACTGATTTTCCGCAGGCTACGAGCTCATCGCGGATGCTTGTCGCCTTGAGAAGGCCTATCATAACATTCTAATAAAGGTCAAGATCGAGGAGCACCGCTTATTCGACTGGGCGAGATCCATCGGCCTAGATTACACAGATGAGCGATTGGTCCTCAATCACATGTCGAAGAACCTTATCATGGGTATTCTGGAGCAACAGCAAAAGCTGCTCTTTACCTTTGGACGTCTCGACAAGAAGTATGCCAAGTTGGCGAGCCCATCGTTGGTGGACAGAACCGAAGGATTCGTGTTCGATGCTGAACACCTGCTCGAGAACGGTGTCAACGACCAAGGAGACAATGCCGTCCGATTTCCAAAGACCGACAACCTGCTCGAGAAGGTTCGTGAGTTCACAGCACAGCTGAAGACCGCGCCTCGAAGACTCAAATGGGCTTCGCTGGACAAAGAGAAGGCGGAAGGCTTGGTTGCTGATCTGGTGCACTTCAACGACAAGCTACATGAAGCTCTCGACAAAGCTCAAAGAGACAGTCTCCGCGAAGAACAGCTCCGGACAAGCTACCAGATTGTACTCCTCAACCGCACCATGGAAAATCTGGTTCAGATCGTCCAGTCACAGCGTATTGAGTCATCGCCTCGATATCCTGCACTGCTTCACCGATCAAGTTCAGTTTACAGTGACCTCAACCACCGTGCGATTGCCCGCCAACCTGACACGCGACCACTCGCAGCCTTGGCTCAGTTCGCAGCAGTGAACCTGCAGAGCGAGGAGGATTACGGTATCGGCGCTGTCACTGACAGTATCGTGAGTGCTCTCGATCTCAACCAGACAGCAGAGGAGATTCATGACAATCGAATCGAACTCTCCGCGATTGAGACCGTGGAGACGATCGACGACATCGATGATGCGGAACGAACCGAAGGTACCTACGGTGACAGGAGTGTCTGGATCGAGTGGAAGCTTCCGGAAATGGACCCAACACATGCGAACGGTACCGGCAGTCTGATCCATGAACGCATCACCACGCTTGCTGGATTGCTACGAGAGATGAACAAGATCGTCCAATTCCGTGCCCCTCAGTGTCTCGGATATTTCGAAGACGAAGATAATGGCCGCTATGGATTCGTCTTCGCGAAGCCAGACCATGCCACCAGCGACGAAAGCCCCACAACGTTACGGGATCTCCTGGCAGAAGACATGCCCCCTCTCGCCGACCGCATCACCCTCATGCGCCTCCTTGCCGAGACAATCGAGCAATTTCACGCCGTAGGATGGCTGCACAAGGGCCTGCGCTCAGCCAACATTCTATTCTTCAAAGACTCCGAAACGGGCCTGATAGACATCGGCAGCCCGTACATCTCTGGCTTCGAGTACTCGCGCCCCGCAACCCGAGACGACATGACGCAGCGCCCGTCCGACGACCCCGGAGCAGACATGTACCGCCACCCTGCAACGCAGAGCAACAACCACACCGCAGGCTTCAAGCAGACCTTCGATCTCTACTCCCTCGGCATCGTCCTCCTCGAGATCGCGTACTGGCAACCCATCGACGAGATTCTGGGTATTGATCTCAGCGCCGCCAAGCCAAAGGACATCTTCAGCGTGCGCAAGCGTCTGCTAGAAGACACACGCTATGAGAAACACGTCAGGGGCTACCTGGGCGTCGCGGCTCAGCAGGTCATCTGGTCGTGTCTCACCGGCCCCGAGGGCTTCGGCCTGTCTGAGCCTTGCGACGAGAAGAATCCTTTTACGTCCGCCACCCTGGGCTGGGAGTTTGGGCAAAGGGTGGTCAAGCGACTGGCGCTGATGAAGGGCTTGTAGGGCGTTGATGCTGCGCTGCACCGAGCGTGCTGGATTAGACTACCTTCGTCAGTCACTGCGCCGTGCTCGCGTTGTGCGTAATCCACGATTTCCTTGGTGCTCCGGGAACTGATGGGCAGTGCTCGTGCTGTTGGTGGACAGAGCTTGTGCTTTCACGCTTGTAGAGTTGGGTAATACGGAGTGTTCAATCTAGTGTGGTGTCTTGATAGCATGTAGCAGATAGTCTCCACTATCCGCCCCCCGGTCATACTCCCCGTCTGGAATATACTACGCCTTGGTCATTTCTGTGACTCACTGTCGCTTATCCAGTCACCACCGTCCTTGCCCTGAACCATGTGATCGTAGAGCACTGCAACGCAGTACAGCAAGGGTCTTGATCCTGACCAGTCTTTCACTGCAACACGCAAAGGAATCATTTCAGCGCGTTGTTGTAGACAAGGAAGCACAAACGACGCAGTAACTCCTCAGCGGTGTAGACAGAAGCCCGACCAACAAATCCTGGTATACCTCGTGGCAACGAATCCTCTTCCTGTCCCGCGCCGTTGGGAGAGCGGGTGCGAGGTGGTCCGGAAGCTTTCTGCGACGGCGCTAAATGTGCGCGAGTGCGGGATCAGATGAACGGGGAGCTTGGCGCTCGGCTCGCGGTCATGATGGAGGATTGTCTGGTGGGAAATGCAGAGCCGTATCGTCGTCGACAAGGCTGGAAGACCTGATGCTGCACGAAAACCTCGCGTACCAGGACCTTGCAACACGTCCCCGTTTCTCAACTACCTACGCCATCTTCAGCATGAACCCCGCCCCCTTCTCACCATGCTCCTGCGCAGAGAAGATGCCGCTGAAATCCACCCTGCCAAGCGCCGACGCCTCGCCCCTCTTCGGCGCACTCGGGCTCGCCCTCCTCCTCTTCTCCTGCCCCGCCTTGCTCGGAAACGTGGGGAACATCTCGCTCGGCTTGGGTTTCGGCTGCTCCCTGAAGTACTCATGGCCGGGGACGTCTCTCGCGGAGGGTCGAAGCTCGGGGTTCAGACTGAGCAGCGATGAGAGCAGGGCGACGCCCGCGCTGCTCAGGAAGGGGAAGCGTGCGCGGTCGAAGGCCTGGGCGGTGCGCTGCTCGCGGGGCAATTTGAGCGAGGGCGCGTTGGGCAGGCGGTAGAATGCTGGCCAGGACTTTTCTGTCGGGAGCCCGCAGAGACTGAATGTGCGCGAGAGCTGGTCGACTTCGTTTGTGCCGGGCAGCAGGGGGGATTTCAGCAGCAGCTCGCCCATGATGCAGCCCACGCTCCACATGTCGACCTCGGCGCCGTAGTTTGGGGTGCCGAGGAGGAGCTCTGGGGCGCGGTACCACAGCGTTACGACGAGCTGGGTCAAGGGTGCGTTTGAAGGGGGGATGTAGCGCGCCATGCCGAAGTCTGCGAGCTTGAGCTGCCCGCGGTTGTTGAGCAGGATGTTGGATGTCTTGAGGTCGCGGTGCATGATGAAGTTGTCGTGCAGGAAGGCGACACCAGATACTAGTTGGCGGAGCAATGTCTTGACTTCTGACGCGACGAAGGGGTCGTGCATGTCTTCCTGCAGCGTCTTGAGGTCGTGTTCCAGGAACTCCAAGACCAGGACGCATTCCTCGGGCGCATCACCGCTCAGCACCTCTTTGAGGTCGACGATGTTGGGGTGCCGCGCTTTTTGCAGAATGGAGATTTCTCGCAGCGCGGTGATGGGGAAGCCGTCTTGGCTGTAGTCCATCTTGACCTTCTTCAGGGCGACGACTTGCGAGGTCGTGATGTCTTTTGCCCGCGAGACCCATCCGTAGCTACCCTCTTCAATATGATTCAGCGTCTCAAAGTTTGAGCGGTGGCGGCAGGGCGCCCATCCTCCGCCGTCGAATCTGAGTAGTTTTCTCTCTTGTGGTGAATCTGTTGGCGCGTCGGCTGCGTCCTCGCCACTGGATAGCCGTCTGCGCTTAGCTGGCCGCTGTCCGGGTGCTTTAGCCAGGCGGGCTGCTTCTTCAGCTTGTTGCTGTTTTTGCAGCTTCTGGCGCTTCTTCTCTTCCTTCTCTTGCTTGCGGCGGAGGGCTTCTGCTTTGTCGGCCTCGGTGTCTGCCCAGCGGGAGGCCATTGTACATGGACTCCAAATCAGATGAAGTCCAAATCAGATGAAGTCCAAATCAGATAAACTCCAAATCAGATAAACTCCAAACCAGACGTATCCTCGAAACGAATTTGTGCAAGTGGAACGCAGATGTGAATGAGGCTCAAGATTCGATGTGTGTGGGTGTCAGGCACGTGTTGGCTTCCTACACCCATGGCCATAGCTCGCGGTTCCGACACGATTTTGCGCTCGGAACGCGCAGACGTCATGGACCGCCTCCTCCAGCACCCGCCATGAGAGCCCATTCTCTCCGTCTGCTCCGCACAGCGACACGATGTAGTCGCGCGCGGCCGCAGCTGCCGTCCTCCGTCTTGGCGCAATGCGCGCTCCGGCTGTCCTCGACCTCGGCGCCGTCGCGTCCCCCAACGCCGCCGCCAACGCCGCCGGCGCCCAAAGAGGGCGAGCGGACGTGGTCGACGCCGCTCGCGCAGTTCCTCGGGCAGGCGATCACGACGACAGGCCCCATCTCGGTCGCGGCGTACATGCGCCAGTGCCTCACGTCGGAGCTGGGCGGGTACTACACGCGCGCGCCGACGGCGGGCGAGGACCAGTTCGGCGCCAAGGGCGACTTCGTGACGTCGCCCGAGATTAGCCAGGTCTTCGGCGAGCTGATTGGGATCTGGCTGTACGCCGAGTGGCTCGCGCAGGGCCGCCGCGACAAGGTGCAGATCATCGAGGTCGGACCCGGCAGAGGCACGTTGATGGACGACGTGCTGCGGACGCTGTCGAGCTTCAAGCGCATGACGAGCAGCATCGACGCCATCTACCTGGTCGAGGCGAGCCCGCACCTGCAGAAGCAGCAGGCCCTGCGCCTGGCAGGCACCGAGCAGCTGGAGAAGAGTGACGTTGGATGGAGGGCCAAGTGCAAGTACTTGCCGGACGTCGACATACAGTGGTGCGAGGACATTCGCTTTGTGCCCAAGGGTGCGTCGCCCATTGCTCCAACTGTGCCTGCGTGTGCTGACTGTGTGCAGACGAGACGGGCACCCCCTTCATCCTCGCCCACGAGTTCTTCGACGCCCTGCCCATCCACGTCTTCCAGAACGTCGCCCAGTCGTCGATACCCAAGGCCTCCACCATCATGACCCCAACCGGGCCCATCACGCCCAAGCACGGCCCGACTGCGCCAGGACACCAGTGGCACGAGCTCGTCGTCTCGCCCACGAACCCATACGCGTCCACCACCCTCAAGCCCGGCGAGGAGAAGCAGGACTTTGAGATGACCGTCTCCAAGTCGCCGACCCCGCACTCCCTCTACCTCCCCAAGATGAGCCACCGCTACAAGAAGCTCGAAAAGACACCCGACGCCATCATCGAAATCAGCCCAGAGTCGCTATCCTACATCTCTGACTTCGCCGTGCGCATCGGCGGCAGCGAGGGTGCAACCTCGCGCCCACCCTCTCCAGGGACCGGCGGCGCACCGACAGCCAAGCCTGTATCCTCCCCGGACGCACCCTTCACGAAGACGGAACCCAGCGGCGCAGCCCTAATCCTCGACTACGGCACCACCGACACCATCCCCGCAAACACCCTGCGCGGCATCCGAAACCACCGCCCCGTGTCGCCCTTTGTCTCGCCCGGCCTCGTCGATCTGAGCGCCGACGTGGATTTCCTCGCCCTCGCCGAGTCCGCGCTCCAAGCCAGCGACGGCGTGGAAGTGCATGGACCCGTCGACCAGAGCTTCTTCCTGGCGACTATGGGCATCAAAGAGCGAGCTGACCGACTGCTGCGGAACGCAAAGGACGAGGAGACGCGGAAGAGGCTGGAGGGCGGGTGGACGAGACTGGTTGATCGCGGGCCGAATGGCATGGGCAAGTTGTACAAGGCTATGGCTATACTGCCGTACACGGAGGGGAAGAAGGTGCGGCGGCCCGTTGGGTTTGGTGGAGATTTGCTGGGTTGAGAGTCGGGTGTGTGATGGAATTGTCCATGTATGATAGAATTGTGCAAGTCTTGTATGCTACAGAGTGTGGGCTTTCCACCTCGACATGGAGAGTGCTGTGAAATAAAATGCAGGAGAGGAAGCAGCACATATTCTCGTGGTCATGAAGCTCAATTCACTGATATCGAGGCCACTGTATTGTTTCACTGCTGACAATCTCATGGTCATAGAGCTCAATTCACTGATATCGACGCCACTGTATTGTTTCACTGCTGA